GCAATTCGGTCGGTATAGGTTAGATTGCACGTAACAACAACGTATATATTAAACCAAGACTGATAAATTACGAGGAATTATGACATATAAAAACATGTTCAATGCGTATTCTCTATGACGAATAATTATATATAGCCGGTGCATGTTTCTACAAAAGTAATGACTAATGTATATATACTATATAGCCGCGCGGAGGTGTTTGCGTGCGCCTTTGTTTCCAACGACACGCATCAAAAAAGATGAGTTAAATGTCTTCTAGAGTGGCGCGGTTTATATCATTTAGTGCGTTCGACTTACAAACTCCTACAGATGAAGGTGATATATATGTATAAATGAACATAACATTACCCCTGACGCCTTTCTATACTTGCGAGACACGAAACACCCCCCCTTCAGATTACCTATATAGGTCAATATGCCTCAACATTGTTGACTATAGTCGTTGATTATAGCATAAAATATTTAATATGCTGCTAGAACGTGTGCTCCATGGACCATATTTGTACGACATTTGCATGTTAATGCGCATATATATATATATATATATATATATATATATATATATATATATATATATATATATATATATATATATATATATATATATATATATATATATATAAGGTATATCAAACCAGTATATAGATAAAATATACCAGCTAAGCCTAAGCCTACGTCTGTTCCTAGAAAATCATGTCATTAGGATTATGTGTTCAGTCCTGATAATACATACAGGTAGCAGGAATATTTGTATTCCAGGTCCTTGTTTGCCTTTACAAACATATCTATTGTGAAGTGTGGATAATACAAAAGAGGTTTAATGTGCTACGGCTTTCTTGTAAAAAAAATACTTTATCAGCAAACAATGATCATCGCGGTAATTGTTCTGTTATCTCTTCGTGCGTTTCAAGTTTAATCCTGATAAACTCTAAACATACACGCGCATATTTTTTATCAGTTTTAATTGCATCATGGCGAGCACTCAAGTTATCTTCTCGGTTTGAGCTTAAAATGATATCTCGGTTAATGTCAATGCCACAGGGACAACACGGTGACAAATAAGCCACAAAATAAAGTCGCCCCTCGCATTGTTGGCACGAGACGAGCGTGCCGAGCGCGTGTGCTGCTGTGTTGTACGTTTCTAATTATTACTATAGTATTACAATGTTTCAGATTGTAAAAATGGTCCACAAAAACAAACTCCTCAGGAACAATGTTTGCTAATTCGGGGATTATTTGTCTGATTTGTTTGCGTGACAATTTGTTTCATTATTACTTCAGTTTTGCTAACTAAATACATGAAAAAATTCGAGCCCAACACAGACTACAGGGCGCCAAATGTTTTTGCTAACACAATAACATTGCATTTTTATGACGTTTCGACTCAAGCTGAGCTATCGCCAGCTCGTTTGGCGCCTTTTTATAATTTGCTAGACTTTACTTGATCCAAAACAATTCCCCTGATGGGGTACTGTCAATAAAGCACATTTCCTACATTTTTTAGCCTTTCTATGAGAAAAGTTATAGTTTTGGCGGGAAAATTCCCGCGTCTTGGTATTAATTGACGTCATCGTATCGAAAAATTGTACACGTTTTAAGTAAACACGACTTTTATAGCTCGTATCGCATGGGGTTTAGCACACGATAGGCAATTGCGTTCTTTGTAGGAGACAACTGTATTTGTTATCAAGTCCAGTGGCCATTTAAAACGTATTTTTAATTATGATACGCAAAACTCAAGTGAACCTGCCCGGGCATGTCTGATTGTATTTCAATTTAAATCCTGTAGTCATGCATGAAAACGAAATGGTTTAGTATTACGCGCTTATACTCCTTTGTTTTAGCAAGATTTTGGAGGATGTTTGAGATGTATTTCTAGTCATTTGACCACAATGTTTTTATTCAATAACAAATGCTAAATATCGTTTGAACATCTGTTTTAAGTAGACAATAAGTCTGAAGGGCCTAAAATTATTTCGCTTGAAAATCAACTACAATATTGTGTTTGCGAGAACTGGCATTTTAATATATTGAGGTAATGATTGCTGTAGGCGGAGCTACGAATTATAATCTCATTGTTTGAGCACACAGAAAATCTTCCAAGGCGCTACGGGGTGCAGTATTAGTCACGAGTTATTATATAAGTCACTGTAATCACTTCTTTGAATCATTTACTGATTGGATTCTGTGGTATATAGAGGATGAAAATTGCTCTAATCCTATTGCAAGAATATACTGAAGAGCAGGCAAGACAAAAAGAAATATAACTACATTTGTGTAAGCGTTATATGATATGTATATGTACACACTTGGATATTAGCGTATCATTATTAAAGAGAAACGTATAGGCGTAACTAAGAGCGAGTTGTATTAATGATAAGCAAAATAGAGTGCACTAAGCCTAAGGTCATGTTCAAATATTGTTTTGAATACATTCAAAAGAATCACAAGAATTGCATGCACCTATATAAGACGCGTTGAGTTAAGTGTTAGAAAACGATATTTACGATGTTTAAAAATATTCAGTGGACAGCTTGTGTTTATGTGTTGTATAAAATTTTGAAGGATGCAGTGCAGTTTTCTCCTTTAGTTTTTCTCATGATGATTAAGTTTGCACGCAGCATATTTCAATATATGCATGTTTTTCATGGCTCCGGATGTATATGCAAGTGCAGCAAAATCTTTCAATTATTTTAATGCAGCTAAATAAAACCTATGATATCTAACAATACACCTCAGCGAGTTCACAATCTATTCAATTTACTACATGCATATTCATTCGATTGTTATCGCTGCCATCATGACACAGCTATATACGTGGTCATGGGTTCAGGGTAATTCACATGCACGTCATGCACACGGCCGGCAAATGCTTTCGATATATTAAAACTGTACTGCAACATGATTTTATAAATATAATAATATATATAAGATGAGGAAATTAGAATGTGATGTAATTGAGGAAATTGTGGAATGTTTGACCTCTATCGCTGTAAGTCACGTCCGTGCTGTAAAAGATTGTATTACCCACACAAACTGGACGTGATTCCATTCCGTACTTTCCATTTTCAGAAGCAAATAGATTCAACTCTGAAAGAACATTTTGAGAGATATGGGTACCACATCAGTCAAATTGTACTATCATAGTAATTACCAAGAATATCACAACATTGTCAAAGTTATAGCAGCTTTTGAAAACTGAAAATTCGTAAAAATCGCGTCCTTAAAAATTGGGGAAAACACCGCGAGCGTTTCAAGCTGCCTCGCAGGCAAAAATGTCGTGAACTGGTAAAACATGATAGTCTTTTAAACTACTTTTCAATAACAGAAAAGGACATTCATTAATTCATTCATTAGCATGGATCTCAATACCATTCTTATCGAAGGTCGATTAATAATATTCAAAGATTTGAACACTCTTCCTGAAAATTATTGGCACGAATACATGCACGAATATGTTCGGTCTATATGTAAGTCGTTGAATTGCGGAAAAGTGCGTCTTCCTGACTCCGGGTCCTTCCTATATATAGCCCACGCCTATACCCATATAAGATTAGTTGAACCGGTAATAAGTTCTCGTCACAATTGCTGTAAAGCTTCGAGATATCAGATTATCAGCAGTTCTATATACCGGCAGAAAAACAATTGTCAGCTTATATACTGAGACTAATGACAAACAGATTTTACTTTATTTTGGCAACAATGAAAAATCTATAGCCTGATTTGAAATGCAGCCTATATGCAGGCTCATTAATGGTTAAATCCGTCTGTTTCTAAAGTAACTACACATAGCAATTTTGGAAACTGTATTCATTTGGCTAAAGCAGTTAATTATTGTCTTGTCTTTTTTGCAATTGCGCGAAGCTGATAAAATAAAAATTTAATGTTTTTGCATCTAAATTGGGCTGTTTCAGTTTTCCCAATATTGGCTTTTCTCATATAGCGCGCGGAATATCGCTCGGCCTTTTTTTAATAGCATTGGGGAATCCATAAGCATGCATGCATGACCTTTGTTGGGAAAATTCAAAAAGATTAACTTGTCAGCAGATTATAATTTTACTTGTGTGAATTTAATCAATATTTTAACGTTTCATGCACTGAAGGGTGCAATTATATCTTAATTGATAATATTCTACAACTATACATCATTGTTTTCTGTTATTTTCCACCAACAGGATGTTTGAATTTCATTTTGACACTGCATGAGCAAATTATGATCTCAGTTACTTGAATTTAATCGCCTACGTAATCGTTTTAGGGAGGGATTCCCATTTTCAACAACAATACCTCGTTTATATTTGGTCAACAAAGAACTTTGATATTTATCATTTATCTTCCGAAAGAGATACATTATCCTTCAGAACTTCCTACGTTTAATAACTCAGCTATTCTAAATTAATCGCATATCCAAATAATGGTTTGAAGGGATTATCACTAACTTTAAAACCCACAATGTTTTTGTCTTCTTGTCAAGATAATTTCTAGCACTCAGGAAGCATTTGAATGATGCATGCATGGACGACATACTTTAATCCATAGATCTGAACCTGCCTACGCTTTCTATACCAACCCAAGTTATCTAATCTAAGGTCGCTTGTTGAAAATAGATGATGAGAAAGTAGTTACATATACGCGGTAGATTTTAGGTTCAAAGAAGCCTTCGGTCCTAATTAATCTTGTTATATTAGTTCTGGTGTTTTTGAAAACAGGAAATTTAATAACAGTTGAGAAGCATGTTGCGAGACATTTGGGAGGAGAAATGTACTTATCATGCATGAATCATGGCTATCGAGCCACCGGTGCATGCAAAAGATAAAGAAATTACATTTATATATAGCCTAATATAAAAAGGAGGAAAGTAGGCGCGAATTTTCTTTTCACTTCCTTAGTACTTTCTATAGAACCCAACTCCCTAAAACCTCAACTCATGCACAGGCCCGACTATTCTGTGTGGGCACAATGTTTATTTAATAATCAAATTTAAAACGTGACTCTTTTAGATCCGATTAAAGAAACGTTGTTACAAGCACTTCTGTGTGGACAAACGTATATCCCTTGACTAAGACAGAGATTCGTTGCATTATCAAGTCGTCTGGTAAAGCAAACAATTTTGATAATTCTATGACCATTTGTCAGTCCATTCTGAATTTTGCGTTCTCTGAACAAACAATCATGAACAAGCGATCAAATCGCGTTAATCTTACTCAATATTATGGACGGGCGCTTGCAAGAGCGGGAGATATAACAAACAACAGAAGAAGGCGAAATAATTGGAACTTTGACGAAATGATAACGTTGACTAGCTGTGCTTCATTTGGACTCACAAGTTTGGGGTTGTTTTTTTTCTGTCAGTTTTTACACAGAAAATTTCTCAAGAATGAATAATGGGAGCATGGGATACTTGTGATGTTTTTCTTATTTGTTGGATGCGCCATTTTGTGAAATTAAAGTTGGATTGGAACATTAGACGGTTGAGCAGAGGTACCACCAAGAAAAAAAATGATTTATGACTTCTATACATAACATAATTATTGACTTAAATTCAGCTGTTCAAACACATCTGACATGGCATGTGCCATTCTCTAGACGATTGCTCTTGGCCTTCGGGATGGAAGTTAGATGACTGTAGCATTGTGTAACCAAATTTGGCCATCGCATGAATGTGTGCCCAAATATGGACATTGTATTGTATTGATATGTAGCTATTTACACAGAGCTATGCTGAGACCTCCAAAGTTCTCAGTAAATATTTGGTTCTAATTTGGTAGTTGCTCGTCGCTATACCATACACAACAAATGACGGATGTTATGGAGGGTTGCATTCGTGCAAAACGTTTTGTGGTCGATTTTCATCCACCTCATAAATAAAAGAAAAGATATATTTTGACTATTTCACATCCACCACTTGTATGGTATAACGATAGGCAAGGACCACATGCAACCATGCGCCAAATGTCGCAATCGTCGGTAGAATTTCGGTAAAATCGTCGGTTCAATTTTAAACCTCTTCACTTTTTTTTGGGTTGATTAAAAACGTAAAAACTTCGAAATTCTTCCGCAACGGAAAACGTGATAAAAAAATTCCAAACTTTTCCCTCCTTCAATTGGTAAAGATCCTTTATCGTGACAAGTCAAATTTATCTTGCATATTTGAATATTTTTCTACACAATTTTCAACAGAAAAATCGGGTTGACCCGTCGCATACTATAATAGTTCATGGGAAAATCCCTTAAGAAAAAATATCAAATTTCAGCAGGGATTGTTTAGAATTCTGCCTACTTGCAAAATGGCATCGTCTGGTTATATATAATATGCATATACCATAATGATGGGAACCTGCAAAACCGACAAGAAAGGATATAATTTGTATATTAAATAGGGGATGTGGATAACTAAATAAGGAGTACTAACTTAAACTTTGTTGTAAATTTATAGTAATTTATGTATACATGGGAGCACATAGTGTATCGTAGGTTTTTGTACAGGGAAATGGTGTAAAAATTGGGATTTTATATATATATTAAAATTTGTACATAATTAATCATCAAAGATATAAAGGCATGTATATAATTCTACCTTCAGTTGCATGGGGAAAGAATTGTTAATTATTTATAACACTTCTTGTAAAGTAATAAGGTTTTTGGAAAATCGGGGAATACAAAGTGTGTGTTTTATATCTGTGTTGTCCTTACTATATATATATATATATATATAAATACATTAAATCTTCCATAAGCGTAGATTTTTGCTTTGTTTATCAAAATTGTGATTTGTGTTCTGCAGGGTTATGACATTTTCCGATGTCAAAAAATTATTTTATATTTTTAAATTTTTTCTTTGCCAACTACTAACTTTCCTTAACCACACGTGCCGTTTCTTAAAATATAATAACGGAAGTTACTTTTGAAGAGAAGAGTTTGACATATGAATGACAATCCCCTTGATAACCGCCGCTCAGCAATCATGCATGTGCGTGCGCGCGTCCTGGCGGCGTCATTTCCAGTGAACTGTAATATGCACGTTCCCAATGACAGTGTGTATCCGAAACAAACTATATTGATATTGCCAAAGGCAAAGCAACAAAGCTCGTATAGCCTTTTCGTCGCTGCATGCATGTTTTTTTTATATACGCATGCACAAACACGCCCGGAAATCATGCGTGTATAACCTTAATAAAAAAATTCACGTGCATATACTAACGTTTTCAAAACACTATACTTTCGTTCATTTACCTACATATATAGCTATGTCATAAGTAACAGCTAAGTGATTTAAACATGTTACTAACTCAGGCTATCGTTGAAGAGAGTCAAAACGATAAATAATCAGACAAAACGATTTTGACTAACGCGCTCAAGAACGACGTTCGTTAGATCCTCACTTTCGGAACTGAACAGGCGGAATATATATATATAGAAAGGAATAAAAACGGACAAAGAAGCACAACTGTTAGTACAGAGTTCATTTTTAAAAAGCTGGCATATAAAGTATTAATCCTATTAAATGCAGGTTCAAAATTTTTTATTTCGAAACCAATTATAATATGCAATTCTTTCTGTGCTATTTTTATAAAAATAGAACGCATTTTATATCATACAGAACATGCGTGACCTTTACAGTATTGTTATTTTCCATAACTCCTTAACCCGTGAATCATAACATCCCACACATTTAAATTTTGAAGGAGTCAAGTGAAAGATGTCACCTCGGAAATATTATTCAAACCCTTGGGCTTCGTGTTTGTTATATAAAATTAATTATAGCTTTTCCTGCTTTGAAGTTTCCAGAGCCAGAGGGTTTTCAATATTCACTGTCAATAATACGGCGAAGGTCACCTTGAGAATCACAGTTATTCATTTGGCAAGGTTGTATGATAATTTCACTATTTTTAGTACCCTAGCATGCATATTTTCACTTTGTGTCTGAAGGCGGTGTGTATAATAGTGAGTCAATTATTAGAAATACAAAAACGATTTCTGTCACGCTTGCATGTATGTATATATAGTTTGTTAAAACTAAAAGACTTCAATTCAAATATATAATAATATACAGTGAAATCAAACAAATGTGTTATGCAATATTTTCCTATAAATAACGATTACTTTCTTTGTATCAATATCACTCGTCATACAAATTTATTAATTCATATTGGCTCAGTTACAAAACAATTAGCACTTTCAAAATCAATTAAGCCAGTCAAGGGCTTAATAAAAATAGCGCGAAAATGAATCCACGAAGAAACGCGTACACGCAATTGATATTGAATAAAATAAAACTTTAAACTGCTTGTTTCAGTGTGACGTATATATTGATAAGTTCAACATAACTGAATGTCAAAGTTGGCAAGAAAAATCGGAAACTCGCCTTAAGGCACTCGATAACTCTTTATCTTTAACAGATAGAAGTATAGAACGTGTTTGGGCAAGCGTGCATAGAGATCACAATTTTTCAAAGCATTTGTGATGTTGGCACAGCATGAAAGACGTAATATTATAAAGAAAAACAAAGAAACTTCTGAAAAGGAAACGTGTATAGATTATTTTATTACACAGTTCACTTATATTTAATGCAAGTTAGCTAAGTGCCAAATCGATTTACAAACACAGAAATGATTCGAAAAATCGAAATACAATAAAAGACGTTTCCTGTTCAATTATAGAGGGGCCTAACTATAATATATAACAATTAACACTAATTTGTAAGACTCAATACACAGTATAAAATGGATCACGTAGATTTGGGATATGACTATATGTTCAAAAGCCGGTATGGCCATATTATATATATATCAAACATTTTATCTAGTTTTTATACTAACCAAAACATTGAATATATGAATAGTTCAGCGGTATTTATATAAATACATCCATACTTAACATAAAGTGCATGCATGTTGCTACAGAAACATAACATGTTTGCTTACACATCAATTATGCATATAAAACTAGCTGGTTTCGTAGATATCCCTGACCAAATTTGGCCTGAAAAGTGAATCCATGCATGTTCGCGAACTGTTTAAATACAAAGCCTTTAATGGCCAGGCGCTGGTCTGAATGTGAAAAAATATTTTTATAACACACAGCTAAAACTGTGTTCTAAAATTAGTCTCCTAAGTCATGGTTTATGTTGATATTAGTTAGCTACTAAACATCTTGAAAGTTTCAGACGTTTGTCAAAAGATGTTATCAGGTCATTGTAGGCCGATCAATATCAAGTATCCTAAGACTTAACGGACAAACTTGGACAAAGAATACAGGATGTACATACTACATATAAATAAATAGGGTTTATGGAACTTGACTGAAGAAACGAAAATTTAGGACTAAAGGTATGAACCTTGTCAATTTTAGCGCGACTATATTTTTCACAACAGCCTGAAACTTGGATGCAAGCCAGGAAGATTAGCCCATACACGTATCATTTCTGTTTATAGAACAGATTATTATGGATGATCATCGGTCCTAATTATATAATAGAAACATTAAAATTAGATTTTTCCTTTCCCAAAATAATCGAGAACTTACTGTGATTATTTGAATGGCGTCTTGATTCATTTGCCGGTGCAAACATCACGTGTCTATTGTTGTAAAGTTGACCAATGGGAATTATGGGATATCATAATTGAGTCAAATCGCAAATGTTGGATATTTTAATAAAGATAGTTAAGATACCTCAAATAGGTCCACTTGTAACTTGAATATCTGACTGTTCGATATAGCTAATTGCGTTTGAACCCACATTAAAGTTTGTGGAGGCTTATACAAATAGCTTTACAAACGGGGCAAAATGCATCCGCTCGGTACGAGGTTGACTGGTTAGAAATCGTAGGTGGCTAAAAATCATGCATGAATAGTGAAATAAATATATATACTCTTGGCATACTATATACTCTTGCAAATTATCTTGGGCGAACTGTCCTATATATATATATATATATACGTCAATGATCACAGGGTAACAACACCATGCAGGTCCATGCCCTTAATCCTAAATCTGAGCCTAATCCTTGCCAAATTATAACGAATGAAGATTATTTCGTCCATGCAATGAAGCAGGTTTGGTTCCAATCAGGAAAACTTTGAGGTTATAAATTCACATGTATTTATGCATCATAAGGCATAACTGATTCATTCGCTCTCGTCATCAATTTTCAACACATCCTAGGCGTATAGTTAAGACCTTTTCATATTTGTGACAAAATTATACCAACATAAATTGGACTGAAAACAAACTTGACCGTTGAACTTTAAAGCCAATGTCACGCTGTTATAAATTTGATATAGTGCATGCATGCACATGTATCGTGCGGTTTAAAACGTGTATTTATCCAGCATTATCACAAATCAATTTACGACAAAGTTGGGGGCCATTTCAAATATATTAGAAACCTTTTTTTGGGTTGGATGAGCAATTAAGGCAAGGCAATTAAGCCTTTATGTAATAAAAATGACGCTGCTATATATGACAGGAAAAAAAAATGCTGCCTAGAGGCTAGCGGGATTCATACTCAAAGTAGGAAGCACAAAGCGACACGTCAATTTCAACCGCATGCATGCATGTATGGTTTATCGTCTTTATCCTATAGTCCTATGCAAATATTAATAGGTATCCTGTGCGTCTCTTATGATCGCATTGCTTGATTGAGTGCAGAAATAAATAACAAACAAGAAAAATAAACTTTAGAAAAATATACAAAACTTTCATCTATTTACTCCATTCCAATGTCGATTTGTCGGATCTCAACAACTACAAGGGATTCGGAAAAATCCCCCCAATTTTGACTATGTATAAATTATGCTATCAACCTTATGACCTTGGTTGGACCCACTTAACCTTGTAGTTGTCACTAATAAATTATCATGTAATGCGGTTGGGTACATTTCCTTAACACAAACACCTTGACCGAAACAATATTTAATATTAATGACATACGTATGCGGGTATTTCGCTTAAAAACAATTACACAACTAAACGTGACGTCGTGCCGGAGTTTCATTACGTTTCAAATTATGGCAACAAATCGTTTTCGTCCAGAATGAAAACAAACAAAGCTGGACCAAATTGTCACGCGATGGAAAAATCAAAAACAGCAATTTTTTCGTGAGAAAACATAACCTTTGACGAGCAATCACGCCACTTCTAATTTTTAATAATTTCCGTCAGGAAAACGTAAATATTTTTGCGTTTCAGCTAAGAGCCTGAAGCGAAATTCGTTCATTAAAGCCGTTCGACTTTTGTCTTCTATTCACGGATACGGACGTCATTACAAGTATGTTTGACGTCATTTCATTATATCAATGCTTGTCAAGAGTTTAGTCGAGTTTTAATTTTTGTTATGCATATCTAAAGATGGCTTTTAAGTGTTCCAAAGTAGTTATGTTTTATGACTTTTGAAAAAGGGAAGCGGACAGGACGTGGCCAGTAATCCATGCAACCGACCCTCTATAAGACCTAATATTTTAGTTTGCTTGTTTTCCATGAAACCTTTCCCTAGACTTGTAGTCGTGCATGCAAATATATATTTTTTGGTTGTATTGTTTGTAATCTACGTACGTCAAGCTGGTTGTATTTCCTGACCAATGACGTACCGAGACTATAAGAAGAATATTTGTACTTGCTGACACTTCAGTTCAAAACAAAACGTAGCGCGCTGTCATGAAAACAGTTGAATTGCTCTCTGTAGACAAAAACTTGTGTCGATGACATTTGATCCAGATATAAATCTAACTCTTTAAAGGAAAAGTTTCTTTCACAAAAGGTAAGACTTGATTTCTTGCTTTATTATGTTTTTTATGTATGAAATAATTCTCTAGATAATTAATATTTAGTTCATGCGTCGATCGCCAATACTTTCCCCTTGCCCCAGGTGACAACATTGGCGGCTTCATGCAATTTCACAAATGCAGGCATGGAAAGAATGCTTTTTAAAAACAATTAAACATCGTTCCCAGGGTGTTTGCTCTGTGAACAAAGTTGCGAGCAGTTTTAATATCACGAAAGTGATAAAGTTCAATGATTTAATCAGTCATTCCACTTGAGCATGCAGTATAAGGTTTAACTCTTGCATAAGGAAAGCTTTTTATTTATCAATGATGGGCATTTCTAGTTTTCGACAAAGGAACCTTTAAATCACGCGCGCGACTACACTTATACTTGGCCAGGGTTTCCTGCATGTTCGTATTTTCATGTTACCTCATGCAATGCACTGAGACTATGCCTATGGTATCTCTGATTGGTCGTCATCTGTAAATGTAATGCTGTTTTATAAATAAATTTCTGTTTTTATATGTAAAAATATGACGTTACAAGAGATGTATCACATTTTAGGCCACTGGGGTCAGTGATCTCATAATTTCCTAAACATGCATGACTTTCAAATTTATGAATTGAGCATTGAGAAGTTGTGTAGACGTTTTGCTATAAGGTCACATGCAGAATTAAACGCAGGAGGTATACAATTAGTAGTAATTAACATCTTAACAACCTAGTTATTCGGTCCATCGTCATAATTTGTACGCTGAAATTAAAATCTTAAGAAACTAGTTATTCGGTCCATCCTCATAATTTGTACGCTGAAATTGTCCGAGGGGACAAATTTCCGGCAGCATAAGATTTATCCCCAATATAATATTTACTGTTGACAACAGCTTGCAAACATTAAAACAAGAATCAAGTGAAAATGTGAAACATGTACAAGCCAATATATATATATATTATATATGAGCTCACGCCTTGTTCTGCAGCCAATATATATAGTGCATAAAAACAAACAGACATTCATTAGCATTGCTTTTTATAAGTTTCCTTCCTCGTTCTACATGCATGATTTATGTTGACATCCGAATCTTTTGTCGCAGGTTATGTTTTCCGGTCTAAATCGTGTGGGCCGAAGTGGAAACGCAGTTGTATTTCCCCTTTTTTAGCCCAAATTATAGTTTCCAAGATTATAATCTTGAATTTTCCGCTTGAATTTTAAGCACATTTAGGAGAATATTAGAAATACACTAAAATCGCTCGAGTGATCTCAGCGACAACTTTTAACTGTCCATAACGTCCTTAGGCTTAGTCCTAAATGTTTATCACAAACTAATATAAATATTCGCGTGACTTGCTCTGAGAATGTGTTCATTACTCATTACCTATTTGTTTACATTGGGCTTATCGAATAACACTAGAATGCTCCAAGAAACCGCAGCTGCGTAATTAAAACTAAAATATAACTGATGAAATTCAAAAGTAGAGCTACTCACGCATATCATTTGTCGAAAGAAGTTATTTCAAACAATGCCCAATATCGTGTGCTGTTTTGAATGTGCTGCTTCAACCATGCAGTTAGACTTTCTGGCGACAAGTTTTTTATGTGCGTTAATATAAATATTGGCTCTTGAAAGCAGGAAGAGAATTAAATGGATACGAAAGAGATCGAAAATTAGAGGTTTAAAACAACTATAATAGAAACTTTATATAGGCGGTGTGAACGTGATGTTTTGGTGATGTCATAGATTGCATAACAAAATTAAAATGCGATTAGCCTTGCCCGACATTTAGGTATTTTGTCGCGAGTAGACACCTGCCTTGCAGGCAATATGCAGGCAATATATATATATATATATATATATATATATATATATATATATATATATATATATATATATATATATATATATATATATAAATCTATTCCAAATAGACTTTTGTAGAACACAGAGTGCTAACCGTTGCCTGATGATTGCTTAAGTGCATGAAACTTAAAGTAGCAACTAATTAAAAGAATTGTATTTATAATTGTTATATATATATTATTATATATATAATATATATATTATTATATATATATATATATATATATTATAATATAAAATAAATGCATCCAAGGGTGTCTAGCTAATGAATGTTTCAACTTACTAACCGTTTCCATTTCATTCGATGTTTCCAACTTCTAAAGGAAGGAAATATTTGCTTTGAGAGTTTGTTAGACATCTCTCTTGCCGTTTAACAAAAATAACTTAGTGGTGATCAACCATTGAAGTATTCATTGATATCTCTTTTAATATCTTGCAGGTACTTCGTCTAAAAAAAAGATCAAAAATTCGTAAGGACTCGTGAGGACTACACAGACCAACTTTAAAATCCTGGTCCCCACGTTAATTCATTGGAAACGTTTGTGATCTGTTCGTAAATACTGACAATACAAACTAAAAAACCTTACTAAAACCGGCCGATAATCAGATGGATGACGATGATCTAATAATACATGGACTAGATCGCCAAGCACGATTAAAGGCCGTGGCAAAGAGATTAGCAGACATTGGGGATGATCTGGACAAAAAAACAAGGAAAAATGCTCACTTCTCTTACAGTAGCTGGATGTGTTTTATTACAGTTTTATGGACAATCTCTGCCTATTGCCTTCAAGCAAGCGATCCAGATATTGCATATTTATGAAATGTCATAGCTACTTGATGATACCAGGCAGAGGCAATGCATGAAACAGCTTGCAGTGTACTGAGTGTAGCTTGGTTGTCGTGTGATTAACCAACCTCGCTATTTAACTGGACTACTGTAGGTCAGGAGTACGAAAAGACTATAAGATTGAGGGTATATGATTATCTCACACTTTAAAATCCATTTGTAAATATTCTAATTATGAACCCAGGGCTTTTTTAGGCTTATATTATAGTATACAAAAGTGAGTGCATCCAAGTACTTAAAGTTACCAAAGTTGTTTTAAAGAAATCCGCGGCACAGTTATAGGGCTGGCCTCCACTTGCACGTATTAGGGCGATTTAGCACGAGGAAGTGAACATCAAAGACGACGTGGAAATGCACGCCATTTATTCGCAATTTTCACGTCGTTTTTGACGTTCACGTCCTCGTACTAAATCTCTCTATTTATACCACAGTTAACGTTCAATTGTCATATACGTACAAAAAATTAGCTGCGACGGCCGGCGTTAGTGACCAGTTTCGAGTCAGCGAGCATGCGCCAAATCGGCCACAATGACAGTAAACGTGCAAGTGGAGGTAGGTCTTTACGGACTAGCGATAGCTACCCTACAGGCGTTCCTTGTGAATGACTTGTATAGTACGTGTTGTTAATAAAAAGGTTTACTACACCTGTTCAAAGTCAACCTTAAACATAGTTGCCTGGCAAGAAAAGATAACTCTAATACTAAGTAAAATATTAACCACTCTAGGGAGCAGCGTGGCAACGTCTTCAAACAACTTAGCATCATCAAATGCCTAAAATTTAGAAAACACTTCTCGACGTTTCGACCTGAGGACCTTCGTCAGGAGAGTTAGTATGCTAACATTTTCATACTAACTCACCTGACGAGGCCCTCAGGTCGAAACGTCGAGAAGTGTTTTTTCCATTTTAGGCAGTTGTCAGTATACCACATTTGATGCTAAGTAAAATATTGTATTTGCTAAAGACAACTTAGACAAGTAATTGCTATTTGGTGTTTGCTGTTTATGGTTAATTATAAAACATAACAATAACATATTTTATAGCCTAAGAAATATGTTTTATGACTCGTTTCTTTTATAAATAGTGACTGTATCATGTTGTATATATGAAAAAGTATCTGAACATTAAACAGAAACGGATATTTTTATACAAAGAACTATTACGATTTGTTTTGTCACTTCAAATAAATTGGTGCCCTGGTCGCTTTTTACATCCAATGCGAACGAACTCGAAGTTGCTAAATATAGGGCGGGGGTCAGGTCCCGTCCCGTTTCTCCTGCAGCATTCTCTTGCTTGATCACAATCTCGTTGAGTTAAGCACGTACTGGTTCTAACACATTGACCAATGTAATGATAAATGTTGTTGCTTTAAAGGACCGTCACGCAGGTCTGTCTAACATGTCTTTAAGAAATGGTCTGAAATAAACTCTATAAAGTTTCAATCTCACCTAACCTTTTGTAAAAAGACACTTTCTAGGAAGGAGATGGATTTTAAGAATTATTTTGTTTCTGTGGAAAGTTAAACCTCTTTTCGGCGCGTTCAGTAAAGCTGTTTTTCTTGTGTGCGGTTCCCGCCTTAATCAGCGAATAGCACTCAGTCAGATTTACATCGGTTTCATCCAGTCATAGGATCTTAGAGACTTGGAGTTATATCGTTCCATGCAATTGAGAGTTTACTGTTGCAGAGATAAAGTAACACTCGACACTGCAACCGTGCGACAAGCAACGACCAAATGGAACCTGGGCGTGGTTCACAAAACACAATATTATTAAGATAGCATACTGATTTAAGTCATTAATTCATGAATTTGATACATGTCGATGAAAATGGGGTGAAAATCAATGGAAGAGAAAGAAAGACTGGACGGTGATTCTTTCAACCGTTGTCTAGAAATTCAGGTCATGGGAAAGGTGGTGAATTAAACAGTCTTTTAGATGGGGTTGCTGGGTGAGCGCTATGTGCAAGAAACCTGGAAAGCATACAGAGAATAATTGGAATAGTATACAGAGAAACAATAATCTCTATGCAAATCATCGATACCACTGTTTACCAACGCCGTCCTATGTAAGTGTGCACCTTGTAACATCAACTAATTTTGTTGAATTTCTCTCGTTTAAAATCTAGGGGGATAAAAAGGGGGAAAGGTTGATTTGGCTTCAGAAAAGCTTACTGCTAAATGAACTGAGAGATTCGAGAGCATAGATCCCAGAAACAACTTTCTATGAATTTCAGAAACATGAAACTTGTTGTTTTAGGAGAGGTATAACTTGCACTTCCCCTGACCTAGAACCATCCGAGCTTTAATCTTAGAATCTATATAATAGCCTTAATAAACACAGACTCTGAATTTTCTTAATAGGAAGAACATTTATCATTACATTGGTCAATGTGTTAGAACAAGTATGTGCTCAACTCAACGAGATTGTGATCAAGCAACAGAATGCTGCAGGAGTAATGGTTATTTCCATCACTGCAGAAAGAGACCTCAAGAAGGACAAACATGCTTCCGATGGGTAAATATATTGTGTGCCTATGTGTGTGTTTGTATGTGTGTCAATCATGCAGTGACCATGAATGACATTTGATAACTCAGAGAAGTTTGACAGGCTGACAAGGTATATTTCAATCTACAGCATCACTACCCTCACAAAATAGTCTCTATGCACACATCTTTAAGCATAGGGATGGGCAGATCTAATGTGTATTATATCTCCAGGCTCAAATGAAAATGATATTTTGTTTCTGGTCAGTGGATCAGTCATGAGTTCACACTATATATGTAGATCTTGAAAAGTGATTCAGTGATATTGTTTCTATAGGGTCATAGTTGCTACAAATGTGCTGAAGGATTGGTGTGTCAATGTAAAAATAATTCCTACTATGGTAGATGTCAAGTTGTCCCAACAACTATCAAACCAACGACTGAAGGGGGTTCAGGAGAAGGTTCAGGAGACTACAACCAAAGACTTCTTTAATAAAACATTCACAGATTCTCATTGCTGTATTAATGCATGCAAAGGAGTCATGTATCTCATGTAGAATCAAAACATGCAAATAAAAAACATATAAAATTATCCATTTTTCTAATACTTCCCAGCTGCACTGTGGTAAAGGTATACTCTAAAGACTGTCTAGACAAACTGGTGTGCAAAAAAGTGTAGTACCTAGGAAAACAGCTTGAAATGCAAGTTGTTCCTGGTGGGTGAAAGCAATGTTGTGCTGCACCCAATGACCTAACAATAAGTCGCTGTGAATTGTTTAAGTCAACTGTAGAAGAAATATTCTAAAACATTTTCAGGAGCTGGAGGAGTATTATTCTAAAATTTGTAGCTTTAATATCACTATAGAGGCTAAAACAGTCCAAGGAGTAATTACCTGCACACATCTGCAAACTCCATTTTTTTTGTATTTTTTTTTGTTTTACAATTGGCTTTTCGATTTGACAATTTCTCATGTATCCTGACTTGAGATGAAAATTTTGCGCAACTTGCCACATTAAACAGTTACGAATCCAGGAATTTACAAGGTGTTACAAAGAAAGGCTTGGCAAGTACCGTGTGTTTCCGGTGGTCAGTAGCACTGCAATATGCTGGCAATGGTATCAATCTCACTTTTAGAAATCCAAATGATTGAAGTGAAGAGCCACAACTATACTGGCTACACAAAAGCACCCATCCACTAAAGCACGTTTTTAGGACACTTGTAAAACCAGCAGCATTCATTTCCATTTTCCCTGATGATATTTTAATTAAATACAAAAACGAATATAAACAATCGCCATATTCGATTGCAATTTCGCATTTTCGCGCGAGTACCAGCCTGCGAACAGGTAAAACCGCGGGTAAAGTGCCGAGACAATTTTAATTGCAAAATTTGAAAATTTTTTATTCCTCCTAAAAATAAACTGTAAAAAACAAATCTTATTTTGTTGCTATTCGAAAAAGAATATCGTAATAATTGGCATAAGAAATTGGCATTGAAAGGATAACAAAAAATTATGTCTGCTGGTTGCAAAAATTCAATGACCCCGACGAGAATTGAACTCGCAACCTTCTGATCTGGAGTCAGACGCGCTACCATTGCGCCACGGAGTCATCTGAAATAATGAGTTAAAAAACGGATTATTGTACCATCGTAACTTAATAAAAAAAAGTTTGGGGTTAAGTTAAATTATGGGGGGACAAATATAGGACTAAGGACAGCGATGCATGGTACTGTAAGTTCTGAAATTTTATTGAGGTGACTAGACTTGGGTAGATTGGATAAAAAATGATTAAAAAAGTGGTATGTCTAAAACGCGTGTAGCAATGCAAACATGCATAAAATTCAAATTATGCGGCATATGCAGTCAAAATATAATCATGTATTGAAGGGGTTGCGGTATTTCCTAAAAGCAATCCATTATCGTCAAATTGCACAATTTATCATCGAATAATATCCACTTGACATATGCATTGGCCCCCCCAACAAATAAGTTTTTATTTCAGAATATAAACATGTCAAATATGATCATATTTCGATCTATAATCATAAAGACATATTTTAAGTTCCAATCCATAAGTAGCTGGATAAAACCTGACAATAGATTAGAATACTTCTGAAAAATCCTACAAAAACACAAAGTACAGTATATCGGATGCGCCGGGTGGCAACTTTCAAAGTGTGTACAATTACATTTCAACCCAAGGGTGTAGGGACCCCGTCCCTCTAAATTACAGTCTCCGCTTTTCGCTTAGCCAGGAAGATTCGCTTTTCTGTTATGTTGAATATGTGTTTGTTTGTGAAATATTAGATTTTAACAGCCAGTAGTGTTGTTGTTACTGTTATTTTTCTGCTGCTAAAATATTGAGTTTGATAAAAACTGAGTTCGACTCACCTGTTGCAAACTATGTTAGCAACCAAAGAAGGATCATTGAAAACAAAGTAAAAGCCAATGAAAATCCTGTGGTCGTACAACGCTGTTGTAGTGCGGAAAACCGAAAACTGGAGTAGAAACCCGCTGCAGCTCGAGACATTTGGCCTCTCTTCTTCATATTAATTACCTGTTTTCATAATGCAACCGTTTGAAAAGACACTGAATGTAAGTTGTTCTTGTAACGGTACTTGAACTATGCTCTTAAGGTGGCTCCAGGACCACCTCTTAAATACATTCCTTACGACTTTATTCAATTTAGTATCAGATCAAAAAAATCTGTTAAAACAAAAAAACTTGAACAACTATGCATTAAAGAGATTATAATTTAAAATGCTCAAGTGTGTTGTAGTTTACTAGTTTTAGTTGTAGAGGGAAAGTTGCAACGTCTGCAGCTTATGCATATCCGTATAATCTCACTCATGTAAATCGGCACAAAGCTTTTAAGCTAAAAAAGTTTTATTAGAATAATAATCATTATGCATGTCTTTACATGTTGTTCCGTGGTGAACCGTGCCTGGAAACGCATCTAAAACTTCTCGTTTTTTTGTTTGGCTTCAGTGAATACATTTTCTTTTTCGGCATAATACGAATGAATATTAATAATTGTGAAACAAAGAGAGATGCACTCTAATATCGACTCTATGAATATGGCATTGAGGATCGCTGCGCTTTCAAACATTGTATACCGAAAGTTGTTACTGTATGAAGTTCCGTGCAACCATTTTCAGGATCACCCTCTGTCCGCACACAATGTTCATTAAATACAGCGTGTAGTTGTTGATCTGAGCAGCCAAAACTAATGTTTTTGTGGAAGGAAGTAAATCGAAGCCAACTAGTGGCAACTATCGGCGCTGTTCGTCAGGTCAGTGATAATTAGTTCCTAGGTCCTGAGGGAACTACAGTCTCTCGTGATATCAAGAGATTTGATCATTCTCACGCCTCTTAAAAAAAGAGACAAAAATATAAGTGATGATGCGAAATATGTTGTAGCTGTTGTCTGATTAGATAACCACCTCCAAAAAACCCAAGAATATCCGGTAGTTTATCTTTTGTCTGGAAAACAAACCACGGACGTGAGACTTTTCGGACTTTCGCTTGAGTATCTGGAAAAATGTCACCAGGCACCAAACCTGAGACCTCCATGAACATTTCATAGTTCGTAGCGAATCACAACAAGGCTGACATTGACATTGTAATTTCAATATCAAAGCCTGCCGAAAAAAGCGTTAGATATGGGATACGTGATAGGGTATGGGATAAGTCATAGACATAGTGACATGTGTTTGCCACTAAAACTTCTTAATTTCCTAAATTAATATTTTTTTTCCTGAAACTTGAATGTACTGGGGTTTTACTGCACAGTGTACAGACTTCTAATTCTTGTGTATTATTAATAGTAATATTCTCCCCTCTTCAGACTTCATCGCGAAGACAAACTCACATGCTTACTGTGAAGTTGATATATCTGGCAACTTGCAACACAATTTTTTAAGTAGATGCATGTGTGAAAAGAGTAAAAAAAACGGCATTTTTTAATATTTTTTATAAAGCTCGTGTTATCTCGAGACCTGTTTTCTAGTGAATTATTATTACTTGAATATATTTTACTTGAATTCGCCCTGTTCCTGCAAGTACACTTCCTAAATCATTCAGCAATGCAAAACTCCGGAACTTCATTTCAAGTTGAAAGAAAAAAAATCGACACGTACGTCGTTGTGAATTGACGCTTTTGTAATTAAAAGCGAGCATTTTCAGTAGTGAGTAGGTTGTTGTGACGAGTGAAAAAGAGCCTCTATATTGCACGATTATCACCGCCGATACGGATTATATATATCTATGTATGCATACTACAAGGAATACACTATAAATAAACCTATACAACAAACAGTGTAATTCATCCGCAGACATTTTCAAAGATACCTTCCTATTGTTAGATGCAAGAGTTGTTAGTTTTTTATAAAATAACATGAATTTTTCAATAATATTGAAAGTATCAAAACATCCCGCGCAAACACCGCAGATTTTTGGCGCGATTCCTAATCTTTAATTCATGAATCACTGAAGCTTGTTATATACACATATTTGTGCGCTTTTAATGTGTTGTGGTTTCTGGCTTTTAATGCAAAGGTAAAATGCAAATACTTGTTGTATTGATAGGGATTCAGCATTTAACAAACAGCACGGCAATCGAATTGGCTTATATGTGATTATCAAACAGGTGAACGTTTATATCGCATATCGCGTGTACCGGATTTCACAGAATGTGTTTCATTCTTGTTTGCGTGTTTTGTTACATCTGCGACTCACGAAGAACGCTTGGCCGAAGATATATTTTTCTGATAACAATCTTCGTGTTTTTGATTGCACTCTTTGTACGACTTCCTGTGAACAGATCATTCTGTTTTCAGTATTAAGATAAGAGGAATGGAAGAAAATTGTTTGAAATACAGAAGACGTGTTTTTGTAGCGGTCTGAATGCACTCAGTGATTGACTTTTCAAAGCAACTGGACTGTCAGCAGCTTTATATCAATTTACGTGTTTACAATCGTTAAATTAATTAAAGATAAATGCTAAAGAATCGCAATTACTTATGCTCCCGTACTTATCGAATCTGAGAGAGGAAAGTAAGGAGACGCTAACTGTAAACGCGACCGCCAACTACAGTTCATGACAATGAATGGTCAGGTCTGAACAATGGTCACTCCATTAATCACTACGGTTCGCGTGGAATGATTTGACCTTTCAGATATCTTGGAAAACCGCTTTAGTTTGTGTCCCTACGGTGTGGCAAACTCTCCAACGGGTGCGCAAGTATAAGGAAGTATAAGACTCGCCTACTGTTAATGACATAGCATTGGATTGTTCAACCACTTCGTTTTTTTTTGTCAGCTACGTTGGGGAACAATTCTAACATTTTTGACAATTGCGCAAGGATCTTGAGCCGCTAATGTCTAGTTTATAAGTTACCTACGTACACACGTTTGGTTTACAGGCCCAAATACAAAGGCACAGTTCAAGAATCACCGTTTGATGATTGTTTTACCTACGGCTACGCTGTGTGTATTGGATTTCGTTTCTAATCTTAATTGGAAAAGAATTTGGACATTTTTCAACAAGCGCGGGTATCCGCCAAGTGCCTTCTGTTTACGTTCAGTAAGGATACTAAACCAGACTAATTCACGGTTCAATATTTGATTGTTTAACCTCTGAACCGTTTATGTTAAACCTTATTTAACGTGAAAACAATATAGATTGGTTGTTTTTCTCCATAACGGACAATTCCAGCGATGCCTGAGACAAAAGATATTTTCATTGGAATGACAGTGGCAAACGTCGTCATCCTCATTCTTAACACAATTGGCAATTTTCTCGTCATTCAAGCCATCGTACGAACCAATCGACTGCGCACTGCTTCCAACTTTTTGGTAGCTAATCTAGCTTTTTGCGATCTCATGTCACCATTATTAAACATTCCCATTGATATTTCGGTAGAGGTATCCTCCCTCGCGTGGCATTATGGTCCTGTTGTATGTCGCATAATTTGGCCAGTAGCAACAATGATGACTACGTCCTCAGCCCTAACGCTTGTTGCCATTTCTATCGATCGTTCAAGGGCACTTCGTCATCCTTTCGTGACAAAACTTACATTATATCAAGCAGTGGGAACTGTTTTGTTCATACATGTAGTCTCACTGTTGCTTATAATCCCATATTCCATAGCTAGCGTGATTATTGATGGACAATGCGCCGAAGACTGGAATGCGAGCATATTTACATCGCGTCAATATACTCTTATAATTTTTCACGTACAGTATCTCATGCCGTTGATCGTATTAGCTTTAGTTTACAGTTGTGCTGCTCGTTATTTGCGTCGCTCCACCCTAAGCCTGATAAAGCTGGAAGAATGTACGGATTCTAGCGTGGAACAGTCGGAAACCAAATCATTGAGAAGACGCCGAAGCAACGCACCAAACAGTCCAAGAAGACAGGCGAGTTTAACAATTCGCCGAGAACAAAACACGCGTGTAATGAAAATGTTCGCGGTCGTTGTAACAGTTTTCGCGTTTTTGACTTTGCCTAATAATGTTCGTTGGATGGTAGATGATTTTGCCAACCATACTCAGTACGCACACAAAAACTTAGTCTCCTTTCTATGTACAATGTGTACGTATTTCAATTGTTTCGCCAACCCAATAATTTACGGGACTTTCTCAAGAGATTATAAAGTTTCTTTCCTACGCGTGCTGACGCTAGGTCGTTATGGCAACGCTTACGAGTCAAAACCAAGACGTACAGGTTTATCGAGATTGCCTTCGAGTTTTCGACGAAGACGTTCATTGAACAATTTCCGTGATGATATGAATCGTAGAGAAGTAACGGGGACAATGGTTTGACAATATTGCTATAAATATTTTGAATTGAATTTATAGCAGTACAGTAGACACAAATCTAGATTCTAGATTCAGTATGTATAGTTTATTGTAAATATAAAGATATCCAAATTCCAAAACGTTAACTTATATTTTGGCATTAACTGAGAAACATTGATACCATAATGGAAATGAAATAAAAATGTATCCACTTTACCCAGTTAAACTTCGTTAAAATTCAACCTTTACACTCTCTTATGTCTGTAATGAGAAACGTTCAGTTTTTCTGTTCAAATTGCAATGGTTGGTTGATTACTCATTGCAGACCATCCTATGGTAGACCATTGACAAAAGTGTTAAACTAGAAGTTCTTATCAGAAGGAAAAAATGCTGCCAAAGATCTGAATTAAAATCTTTACTTAAATGTCAGATGAATTTTAGAGACAGTTTTATCCAGAAATTTTTGAAAGACCAGAGCAACATTGTGACATTAATGAGGTGAACATAATTGTACTGGTACAGTCTAGACTCTAGATCTAAGTGTCCGTTAAGTGTGCCTCGCAAAGGCTTGGGGCAATAATGGTATTACTATGAATACAAAACATTTGATTATTTTAATTTATCATTCATTTAGTCAGTTTAACATTTTAGGTTTTCAACTCAAGATGTTTTTATATTCGAGGAGGGGTCATCCTAAAAACATATATTCGAAAAATAGAGACCGTTTAAACATGGAATGGCACCACATCTTGCTGCCCGCATCTAGTGGCTAGTGGCGCGCTCACATATCACGCAGCAGCCATCAACACCATGTAAACACAAGTCACTTGATCCTATCAAAGCTGTCGTTATTTCCTTGGCAAGAAGGCCAATGATAAGAAGTGCTGGGTTGGTATGAACATTGTTGTCTCTTAATCTTAGGTATTTAGCATCATGAAACATGATATGTACTACTTTCGTTAATGTACTTCCGTGGATTATTACGCGGAAATAAAGAAACAATTTTGTCGTGTCTTCGAGGAGCAACACTATTAAGCCTGGTTTCCATTAAATCGTAATAATCGACTGCAAACACAGAAATATTTTATCACATCAGTTACCTTGACACATACACGACAGGGACAACTAAATGGAAACCAGACAATAATAAAAAAGTTGCATGTACTTCTCAGAATTGATGAACTCTTTAGGAATGCGATATAATTTGTTAACATGTAATCAAATCAGTTCCTTATTTGTCATCACTTGGTAAGAAAAGTTGAAAAAATTCTTCATCGTCGGGAGAACAAACAAGGGAATGAAGGTTTTAATGAGAGGTTTAATGATTGCTGCTTTCCAGATGCCGCACAATTCAATTTGTTTACCCCAATGAAAATCTCTAAACGCTGGCGACATATGCTACACCGTTACAATTACCGTTGTCGTGACCAGTCAGAAACAGGGACCTGTAGATATAGTGCATATATATTTGTATATTAGTCACTCAATAAACTATAGTCATGCACAGTAAAAAACACAGGTCAGTGGCCAGAAGCATTCTGAGTAAGAACCGGAAAACATGAATTTCGTAAATTGAAAGAGTGAACGTCATTAGGTCTATTAAAGCCAAATGCTGAGATTATTTTAAAAATAGTTTTATTCCATACGAAATTACAACAGAAGAACTTCCTAACTATATTGTCATACTGCTGATTGATATATTTCATGTATATGATTAGGCCAAATTTAGGACGTTCAATCGTTGATTGTTTGACGTTCGTCACTAAATTACTATAGAGTATAGTACCTCATAAAAAGCTCTTGCGAGCAATGTAATATATTCAGGTGAATTTCGGGATTCATAGAATTCATAGAAGTTATATATATCATCTAATTTGTAAAATCATTCTTCCTAATGCTATTTCCTATACAAATAGGCATTGTGGTGTTTTGAATGTTATGAAATTAAAGTCTCTAATAATTAATAAACGTTCCTACACAATAATCATTGTTCATCGTTGTAAACCTTGGTTTTTGTTGTATGCACGACAGCCATGGAACCGCCCACATGCTCAACAGAGTATGTCCAATCTTCAAAGCCGTCAATCTGCAATGGCTCGTTCAGATCCTCTTCCAATAATTTCGGTGGGGAAGAGGAGCCTTCTTCATCTCCATACCTGAGGCGAGCGCGGTTGTATATCTGCTCTGTGAGTGCCAGCGTTTCAATAGGAACTCCAAATTTACGAGACAATTCATAACCAAGGTTTAAATCTTTGCAGTGGAGATTCAGGGTAAAATCAGGATCATAACTACCGTTAAAGATCAATGGTGCCTCTGTTTCCCAGACATAAGTATTTCCTGCACTAAACCTAATAGCGTCGAACAGAGCTTTCAGATCCACGCCACCTTTCTTCCCCAACATCAAGGCTTCTCCCATTGTTACATTATTAACAGCAGCCAGCATGTTAGAGATGACCTTCGCAATCGTGGCTGTTCCAATTTTTCCCATGTGGAGAACCACCTTGTTGGTCTGTTGAAGGATCGGCAAACATTCTTTAAACAGACGTTCATCACCACCGACGAGTACTGTCATTTTACTTTGCCGCAACAGTGCAACACCACCAGTTATTGGAGCTTCTAGCACTTGGATACCTTTCTTATCTTAAAAGAGAAATGCATAGTTCCTTTTGATAATTAGATTACATATATTGTGTTTGCTGGAGAATTGATTCGCTCACTACTTATCAGTTATGGAGTGAGTCTCCAGGGCCATGCATTAATGGTATTGTCCCACAAAATATAGGTAAAACTTTTTCTGATTGGTCCGGAGTAAGAGGAGGTGAGTACTGAGATTTGGTGAAGGGGAGGTAAGTACCGGGATTTTCAAAATTAAATTACAACCTCCCTCTATGTGTTAGTGGCCTCACTCCTTGCAAATTTGTTTGTTATAATGATGTCCAATCAAGTGCACAAGACATTAATTATATCAAGAAATTTTATTTTTATATACACTCCCAAACATGCATTTCAGTTGAAAATATAACAATGATAACATGACACAAATTGTATTGTATAAAATAAGCCCCTAAAAATGCAATCATGAATCTGCATGTATAAAAATTCCAAAATATATTAAATTGGAATTTTTGCCTGTTTATAGTCTCAACAGAAAATTTTCATAATGATTCTGGTTAATGTGGAAGGGTACTAAAGAATTTCACTCGGTTGTTGTGCAAAGTGAGGTGCCACATTACCCTTTTTGCATAAAGTGAGGGAGACTTAGCACCTTCTGCCTTCAACACCCTTAAAACTAAGGAGAGGAAACCTGCCCACATCCAACCTGCCCACATCAAACCTGTGAAATGGCATGCCCTGGGAGGAGAGTCTTACTTAGAGCGGTTTTCCACTTGCAGGAAAATAGTTCAATAAGTCTTGCAAAATCTGGATTTTGACAGAATAAATTAATTGGTTCAGCTTGACTCATTTCATTTCAAAAGAAAATATTCAAATGTATTGCTGGTAAACTATTTCTCTGCAAGTTGAAATGCAACCTTAACCTGCCCTTTTCCTGCAAAACTCTCAACACACCTCTCCCCCATGCATGGGCAAGACATACCTCAATTCACATCCTACCTGCTTCAGTTGCAAGGTCTAAAGTCTGCTGATAATCCATGGTTGAATGATCAACACCCCCCCCCTGCATGGACAAGACATACCTCTACTCAAGCCCTACCTGCTTCGGCTGCAAGCTCCAAAGTCTGCTGATAATCCGTGGTTGAATGATCAACACCCCCCCCCCTGCATGGACAAGACATACCTCTACTCAAGCCCTACCTGCTTCGGCTGCAAGCTCCAAAGTCTGCTGATAATCCGTGGTTGAATGATCTATCCACACCCCTCCTGGTCGCAACCCGGCTAAAACTCCACTCTCTCCTGTCATAACATCCCTAACATGCGGAGGTGCAGGAAGTGCTGTCATTACCACATCACATATTTCCGCCAGCTCTCGCGGGGTCTTTGTACGTGGAATATTTCCGGGTAAATTTTTGCCAGCTTTGGGCTCGCAGTCATGTAGCGCCGACACAGTAAATCCTGCTTTGAGAAGATTCGTTGCCACTTTTTCACCAACTGTACCCAAACCAATGATTCCAATCGCTTCGTTTGAAGTAGATTCAGTTGAGTATGCTACAGATTTATAACTAGTTCGCCAGTTGCGAAAATTTCGCGGTAGAGAACGAGAAAATATACGCGCAGCCATTTCGGATATTGCAAAATAAGCCGGTGTTTCCGCAACACGCTATCAAAATTTCCATAATACATCATCATTGCTCCCGGCAGGCACAGAATCATACAGAAGGCCATTCAGCTGACGGGACTTATGTGCTGCTGCAGAGTGCAGTCTGAATTCATGTTCGATTTCGCGACCATAACTCTTGGATACTTACATTAGGAGTATATATATGCAACCTAATAAAACTTTTTGGTTCTTGAGCAGCATCGTTCCTGCGTTTGGTCTCTTAGAATGGAATGAATGCTATAGCAACATGTAAATCTACTTCCAAAAGGCATAACTTACTTGTCATCACCTGTTACTAAATTTTTTTTCTTTGTTGAAAATGATCGTTGCAAAACAAGGAAATGAAGGTGTTTGATAAAAGCTAATGAATGTAAAAAATAATGACTGTTGTTTTTTAGATGCCGTACAAGCCGACTAGAATTTTTTACACTTATGGGTTTGATCTCAATTCTAGTAAATGCCGGACCAGAAAAAAATGAATGTAACAAGGGATGCAACCTAGGAACAAGGTCAATCATGAGAGCTGTTTTAGGCCATCAAGCAGTCAACAATTACTACGAAGTCAGTGCATAAAGAACTCTTGAAATAGGTTATGACTTTTATCGTTTTTTAGGGGATTTTTACAACGTTAGAAACACTCTTCCCTTGGCGTAGCGTTATCCAGGCATCGTACAACTGAGCATGATGTAAAAATTTCTGCAGGATGTATCAAAAGTGGACGCTTTCATATCTAAATTTGGCAAATATCCCGTTGCAGTAATTCAGTAATTTTCTAATGCGACACACGTTATTCTCAGTGAATAGACCTGTCAAATCTCCACAATAAATGAGTAATTACAGTCAGTAGACCTCCCTAGCTTGTATGTAAATTAACCACACGATACAGAGACATGACGAATAGAAGTAATTTTAAAACAAGTGACTTAAAATAGGTTAATTCGCATATAAATTGAGATGGTTTATTGACTATTTTAATTTGAAAAGTTCTATTTTTCATTCGCCCCGTGTTACCGTTAGTTTCCCACAATCAATGCCAAAATTAAATTTCATGTATAATCGCAGCAAGAAACGTCCCCATGGCCATGCATGAAATGGCTATGGCCTTATATAAAGCTTTTTACCGGTCTTGGAAGGCGTTTTACAGCAAAGAAATATTTTATCATCTACCCACAAATTGAAAATGTATCTATAGTATACAAAATACTGAGATGTGGTCGTTTGAACGGAGTGGGGCGAGTTTAAGTGAGCAAGAACTCCGTTAGGGGTAGAAAAACTATTATTAAAAACGTCACTGCATTTGATTGAACAATTAAATTTTTTTTAAAATAAAAACCCAGCCCCGAATGGAATAGGACACATATAAAGGTGTTTTTTTAATTTAAACTGTCACATTCAAACGGTTGTTTTGGTAGATGTGAACGAGTGGCTGTGTCATTGTCAGATATTGAGGTTTAGATGAATAAGTGTACCTATATATACATGATAACCTTGCACCTTCGAGGCGGATTATCCTCAATGATAATGAATAAAACAGCACGTCACAGCACAATAGATTTTATCTTATTTGAGTTACAAAGGATTATAGACTTTTTACAGCCTTTCATAACTTTTAGACATTTTGACTGGCCGTCTTTTAGGCAAATAGTTATCCGTCCGAAGTGTGAGAGAAAAACATACATTTTTCATTGCTCCAAAAATTATTTCGTGGCGGTCATTATCGCGTATATACAAACATTACAACAGCTAGTGTAATGCTGCTTCGAGCTTCCTGTGTTATTTCATAAAAACATGAAGGTTAAAAGGAAGAAGTATGCCGGTGTTCTATACTGAATAACTGAAATGCGATGTAATATTACGCCACCCACATCTTGGTACAGAAATTTTCATTAGCAGGCAGTCTTCTTGTCGCCAATATTAATCATAAATTCCTTAAGACACCACTCACTCAGTAACAAAGGTCAGTATACTTTCATTAGAGGGCATTATGTCGTCTTGGCGAAACAATTTGCATCCTAGCGACACTTAATGACTTACACAAAGCTCGAATCGTAAACTTGGGCTTGTAAATAAACTTTCAATTGAATACGATGACACAACAATATTGAGGACTCCCTGCTGGAACTGCGAAACAATAGACAATAGAAATATGCAGATTAACTGCAGCTCACCAGCATAATAGATAACCCTTCTAAATTAAAACATTACACAATTTCCGTATGTCAAATAATCAAATTTCAAAACAAACTAAAACCCCCATGCATAGGTGATGTAAACTATTTAATAATTTTACTTCAGAGATTTTACAAGTTACAAATTATTTACATAATGTTGATTTACACATAATATCTCACCTAAAAACTCCATATAATTACACATGCAATCTTTTTGTACAAAATATACCTATACAAAACTATACTTTTCCCAATATTCCCTGATATATTTCAAATAACACGTTGATGAACTATTGAATCTGTTTGTTATTAGAAGTGCAATATCATTCTTTAGCGTGACCAGTGTTAAGAAGGTGCCGTTGCATGTTGAAGCTTTCAATTTCAATTCTCGCCGACTAAGATCATACGATGTAATCGAATACCGTACACAATTAAAAAAGCCAAATGCAGGACAGGAAAATCCCATTTTCTCGACCAAGTACAAGACCGAGATTACACCACACCGCGTGCCCAGTAAATATTCATATTCACCATTAAAGCCCAGAAAAGACAGTGTCATTTGTCAAGAATCCTGATGCCACATCGTTTGATCGACAATTTCCAACTATCTTTATCCAACAACCTTTTCAGGTCAAAATTGCAGCATACGCTATTTTTTCTGCTTCAAAAATGTAATTCCAAGGAAAAAAAGTCCGAGGCACACAGCTAAACCGCCTCCAAAATTACTTGTAAAATTATTCGAATTTGATAATTTCACCAAACGCTCTTCTTCCAATTTGTCTCCTAAATCTCGGAGTTTACCTGCTACAGTCATTTTACTGTTTTCCAAGAGTATTGCACAGTTCAATAACGACATTATAACTCCTTTGTTTTGCACGTCGCAAAACTATCAAACTATTTTCATATACTTCATAAGTGATTCTCTCTGCAGCAAAACATATACACAACGTCAGCTTTGTTTTCTTTTGACGATTTGGCCCCAGCAAGGTTCTATTTATAACTGAACGACTGTGATACTGATGGGTAACTCTGATTGGTTAGCTTGTAAAAAAGTTCAGAGGAAGTCCATATACACTAGAATTCTGTATTCAAATATCACTTTTCAGATTTCCCCACACGAATTCCACTGGTTCATCCTGCGTTACATGTATAGCTGCATTCTTATCATTATGTCCACAATTTCAATACAAGAGGCTTAAAGGATCTTTCAACGCTTCAAGATAAATTTGGCAAACATCCCATTTTGATGAGGTGGCACATGTTCTGTTCACGTGTACAACAAAAGGCCGCCTTGACTGTACAGTCGCCCAGGACTTTCCCGCCACTAGTAAAACGCCCGCAAAAATGTCAATATGAACAAAGAGTGCATGGTCTGGCACTGGCTGACTGGCAGGGCACAAAGACCGCAATAAATCATTTGAAATAACTGCAATTAGGAAAAAACATTAATGACTTAATGCCTTTTTTGTTTGTCGGAACTTGTATGAAAACAAAAACATTTTACTGGACAAAATCAGAGATTAGAAGTTCAATAGAGTAATTATAACTCTGACTTGGTATATTTATTATGTAAATATGTTCATGGTGAATATTCAACAGAGAAAAAGATCCTGCAGTCTTGTCCAAAGTTCAATTGCGTCCAGTTATTGTCGGTTGATATCGAGTGGGCACTACCGAAATCAGTCTCATTATGGACCACTAACAGACTAACTTCTAGCGAGGGACGTGCTAAATTTAGTTGGATAAGACATGTGTGTTTCAATACCCTGCAGTCAATCAACTATGTTCCAAAGAAAACTATTAAAAAAACAAAGATCAGCAATTTTAGCATAGTCCAACATAATTACAGGCCCGATTTGGTGCATTAGGTAAACATATGTTAGTCAGCAATAATAGAACTGCAGTCTATTTTTTGACTTTCAAATTGTGTTGAGTCGCCCAATTTTAGATCATAGTATCCTCTTGCAAAGCCAAGGATCAAAAACTCTCAATACCATGCAGCAAAACCTAATTCTTTAATTACGGAATATAATAATGCAGAAGAACATTCTTTGCTGATGGTTTTTGTCATATTTTTTTTTATTTCGCCAATATTCATTTCGAAAACGAAATCTGCTAGCTCGCATTTATCACTGCGATCTCGTGACAAGTGTCATTTTGTAACATACAGGCCAGTCTGGTATTTTAGTCGCTTTATTTTCATTTCGTCGTGACCTGTCACTATAGTGACATGTGATTGATGCGGAATAGCCCAAGTTTATCTCGCCTTTTGTGTGGGGTATGCAATTAAGTCCTACTGATCTCAGAGATATAACCACAATCTTTTCCATCAGCCACTTGTCGACAAGCAGACGAAATAGAAACTAAACTTCACCCTAGTGACTGATGATTGAGGCGAATTTCTAAGCAATATTGCATGAGGTCAAATACAGATCATAGCGAACAAACTCAACAAAGGAAGATTTTGGAACAATTAAAAAACACTATATCCGGTAGAAAGCGGCAAGCGCAATCCAGCTTTAAATCAACCAGGCTACGGTTCTTACTGAGTTACTGTATGACATGCTGTGTGTACTTGTACAATAACTTACATGTTCTGTACTGTGGTCATGAATTCTGTCCCAGTACCTCCAGAACGTGGGCAGGAATTTTATTTTTTCTTCGTTTTCTTGAGGATGATTTCTATAATTTTAAAACATGTATTTTACAAACCTACAACACTAAAATAAAATATTACATTCCTTAAAAATCTACGTCTTACATTGCTCGCGATAGGACCATCTTGACTGATTTTCTTTCTCTTGCAAGATAGAGGATTTGGTCCTTTAGCTCGTTTTCTTTTCCGTTTTTTTATCTCTGGTTCATCATTTGTTTTCAATCTTTCTAAAATTCCTCTTTCATGCTCAGTTGGTTCAGTACGAGCTCTTTCTACCTGTCCAAGAAATAAACTTGTTTCAATCGCATGACAGTTTTGCAAACCATGTAGTCTTTACTTCTATAGACAATCTTAATATGGCAGACTGCTTGTCGTAAACAGATATTTCACTGAAGACCATGAAAAGGAAAGGGGGTTGAAAAAAGTGATAAATACGACAATGATGGAAATGAACATTGTTTTCGGGGCTGCCTATGAATAAACATCACGTCAGCGACTTAACATTTCATTTCTATTATTGCAATTTACCAAGACTTTGACGCTCGATCACAAGAGTTAATTCCTTGAAAAAATAGTTATTTTCCTTTATTATGTACCTCAGTTGCTTTCTTGGTGCAAGCAAAAGATGGCTTCTCCATCACAATACAATTGTAGTTTATATATAACAATGGCACACCTTCAGGAGTGAAAAATTATGATGCAAATTGTTAGACGACCAAGAACTTTTTAAGAGCCTTTTTAGAGGAGGGGCTTTTTTGAAAGGGGGGCTTATTTGTTGATCCATAAACTCTTAGATAATTTTCTTCCAAATATAAGATGTTGATGTCATCATGTAATGCAAAAGACACTGGTTAGGGACTGGGTTCAAAAAGAAAATATTTTGTGCACATAACATGGCGACAGTACCATAGGAAGCATATATGGATATATGGATATTGGTGGTTATATTGGGTACTCAAGGGCTACAAAAAACGAACCTGGAATTTTTCTAAATCTGTTACGCAGGTGTTTGTCCTGAGTAGCAACAAAATATCTTTTTTCATTCTTATCACCTGAACGAATAAAAAATCCATCCTTGTATACGTACTTACAAACATCAAAAAAAATATCAAAAGTTTTGTGGAGTCAAACACATGCATCATTACATTGGCCAAAATTATCAGACCTACTAACAACCTTATTTACAAAAATTAAATTCGAGATGGAATAATTCCTAAACTCAATTTAATGAAATTGTATTGTTTCATTAATCATCTGTTACCATAAAAGGTCTAACCATTGGTCCTAGATTCACACAATCAAATTACTGTTTACATACCAACCAAATGAGCGACACACTCAGTTGCTGGAACATGTTCACGATGGCTGCACTTGCGAGTTTTAAACCTCTTCGCAATAACAAGAGCACCATAAAGGGCACCTCCAAGACTTTCAAGTTCATGTAATACACACTCCGTGGTCACTTTTATATGTCAAGGATGAAAATCTCATATTCAACTCATTACCTAGTGTTTCAGTTAATTTCAAGTATAATTTTATATAAAATCATACCACGTCAATCTATCATGAACAGAATGTCCATAAGTATGTCTTTTTGGAAAGGATTAATATAAACTTATATTTCAAAGAGGGGTTGTTTTATGTATATTACATGTCTAATAAATGCTTGTCTTTTATAGATGCCCTGTGTTTAAATAATTTATAGATGCTTTTTCTGATCAACATTCTATAATGCTGGCTTAAACATGGTCCAGTCATTGCCAGTAAAGAATATCCAAAGATTATGTTAGCATGTATGTAAATGGGTACATAAGAGTGACTTATTTTTAAAGCTGATGACCCTATTATGATTCTCATCATTCAACACATTGCAATAACTTGAATAAACATGCTGGAAATATCATAAAAACAATTAAAAATTATACTTGTGTCACAAATTCACTTATAGGGACTGCTAAAATGTACTTTCATTTTTTCATTTATGTAAAGTGCTTTGGTGCTATATGAAAGAAGTTAGAGAGATCCATCACACTCTACTCTGGCACACTCCACTTCCATAGCACTGATCAATCAACAGCTTAGTAAAGGATACACAGCTGTATATCTGCATCCAAATACTTGGGCAATTGTTCTTTGATGTTGATTCTATTTTGTAAGGCTGCCTGACAAAATGTCCCATCAACTATGGAATATGAAAGAAGTACAATATATCTGCAACTGTATTAGCCATGAAAATGGCAAACAAGGAAACAAGATGCATATAAAATTTATCAACCTTGTGAGAGGCTGGATAATTTCATATATAAAACCTGTATTAATTAATAGCGGGAACAGAATGGACAACCTAGCAAATGTAGTCGCATAAATCCATTGTGTGTTGTTTAGGTGAAAATTAACTACATGCAATCTGTATAATTTTGTTAGGCTTAAGCCCAACAATGATTAGAATTCAAAATCTGCTAGAATTTTGAAGAATGCATGACAGGACAGATCAAGCCAACAAAACAGGTGGGCACTTTCCCAGTCTCGTCAAATTAATTCCACAAGGGATATAGGGAATATCCTGCATGGTTAGATGGCCGCTTTATCGCATCCTTAATTTTGCTTTATGTTTGTCCAATGGAGAATAGGAAAATGTGTTTGTGCTCACTAATTTATTTATGGTCCTGGGCCTGTGTACTCATGTCTTGTAAATAGGCAGTCCATGATAAGTCAAGTACTAAAGTGAATACCACAATGTTGTAATCACAACATAGACTAAATTTCACTTAGGATTTCTTGTCATGAAGATTCATATACTTTAGGAGTTAGAAAAGGCAAGTATACGATATTCGGATAGGTTAAGACAGAATTAAAGGAAATAAAATTGTCTATTTTATAAATATCAACATCACTACATTTGCTAATATTTCTTCCTATTAAACATGCCACGAATTTCTCTGCAAAATTCTTAAAAGAATTAATGGACACATCATGTTACTTACTAAGTATTTGATAAGGCTCAAAGACGCCAAAAGAATTTTTAAAAAGATTTATATACTTTTTAACCGTCTTCTGTCGTTTGACCTTCATGCTGCTGTTTCTTCTGAATTCTGATTAAAATTGGAAATCGGAATTCCTTAAATAATAGGATAACAGATTTCCTTACATCGGTGTTCTGACTTCTGATGCCCGGGGCGAGGATACTTGGAGCGGGGGGGAAACTATCGGACGCCCTTCCTATCAATGTTTCTCTGCTCAACCAATTCACTGAGACGTAGATATAAGACTTTAGGGCTGTTTCTGATCGCTACACCCTTGTTACAGAGATTATTCCTGTTTATCACACCGAGGTTGCTACTTCCCACGCTCACGCAAAGATTTGCGTGGATACCAGTAAACGTCGAGTCCTCGTAGAAAACTTTCTACAGCAAAGCTCCTACGACTCTAGAGACTTTCCATTACTTGTGTTCAGTATTCAAAGCTCTTAGGGAATATTGCGAAATAATTTCTCTTTTGTGAAATGTTTCTTTTAACTAAAAAGTCGGCCAGTCCCAGCTGCCAGCCTTCGTCATATTAGAAACAATCATCTGCGGCCAAAGGGAACAAGAATTAGTGAATTACAGCTCAGTTTTCTATGACTACAAAGCGTGTTCCATTTCAAATCTTACAAAAACTAATCATTTAATTCAGTGTAATAATTACAGTCTTAACAATACATCTTCAACTGATATTCTTTCAAGCTATATATTTATCAGTAGTTTTCAAAAACCTGAATTTGCCTGGTTTTTAGTAAAATTGATAATGATCACTGTTTACAAATAACAGTTTTAGGGTTAACTTATTGATTGCTTTGATAAAATGGATTGTATGGAAGATCCTGGTACGGGGCACTTGGTGGATACATTTGTTGATCGCTGGATTTATCAGGATACTGGGCATCTTGTGGTACATTCGGAGATTCGCAATTGGGATAAAAAGGATTGTGTAGAGGATTTTGATAATGATGTACTGCGTTGTTACTTGGTACAGGGCAAAGTTGAGCATCGTTGTGATGAAATCCATGACTTCCATTTCCTTGTTGTGTAGGCCTTGCCGGGTTTTGCTGTAAATGGTTTGGGTTGCCCGGTGCTCCATTCTGGAAACCAGGATTATGAGATTGAGGAGCGACACTAGACATATTGCTGTTAGGGTACGGTTGATTTTGATGTTGTGCTGGGTTGATATCAGAAAACTGAGCGCTTCTTTGTTGTTGATTTTGGAACCCAGATCTTTCAGATTCTAGAAGAGGGACTGTTCCGTCTGCCGGTGGCTTTCTTTTCATAAACCAAAACAAAACAATCGATGTTCCAACAGCAAGAAGAAATAGAAAAATACTCACAGTAGTAACAGCAATCATCCATGTTGGTGGAGTGTTCCTCGTGTGGGACTTCATTATGATGCACCTGTTGTCATCTCCACAAGTTTCGCTGGGTCCTCCACAATCTTTGCTTGTTTTACATGACTTTCCAATACAGTCTGCACTACATTCACTTAATTCATACCATTTACGTTTCTTACAACAGTACTGTCCGGTACTACAGTTTGAGTTGTGAGAGCATCTTGAACAGCCTCGATCAACACATTTGTTTGAAATACAACACACATTACGAGCTCCGCCACAATCCTCGTCAATACTACAGATCGTTCCAACACAACTTTCACTACAACTACCTCCAGAAAAGGTTTTCTTCTTGCAACAATATTGGCTTAAATTACACTCAGAATTTATATCACATTTGTTGCTACAGCCGCTTTTAACACACATTCCTGACCGACAACACTCTTCCGAACCACCACAATCATCGTTCCAATTACAAGTTTGTTTTACACAGTCCGCAGCACAAACAGTCTGGTTCCGAGGTAATGTCTTCTTACAACACACATACGTTGAATAACAGTCGTTATTTGTAGCGCATCCAGAGCAACCCTTGTTCACGCATCTTTTAGAACGACAACACATCGATAGGTCGCCACAATCGCTGTCTGTTAAGCAGTAGTGGTTTAGACACGAGTCATATGTACAGGAACGATATTTATTGACATATTCACTGAAATATTCCCCATAACAGCAAAAAGTATTGAAGTATTGAAGTTTGCAATCTGCATGGGTTTTGCATTCATCGGTACATTGAACAAGGCTTACATTACAAATAAATACAATGAAAGCAATTACGAAAACCAAACACGTCGCCATCATGAACAGTTTAAAAAAAAGATCACGTGTGAGTATGAATGTGAAAACAAAGCCGTTTTTCTAAGAAACTGCGCTTCTTCCCGGAATCCCGGAGAACCGGAATATAAAATGAGAATTGCATACAAGGGAGGCCCAATTAAGGGCAATGTCAAATCATTTCCTCTCTTTCTCTCGCAATCAGTAAAACACCTTGAAAAGGAATGAGTCTGACACTCTAACCCAGCACATGCAGACTGGTGCATTCAATAAAAAACCCCAAAACAATCGCAAACTGAATCGTGCTGCAACAAGCTAGCAACGATTAGCTATAATCTTGAAATTATGCATTATATAAACATCATAACAGATATCCTCCCATTTGATCAAAGAAACGCCTCATTGTAAATTGTAACCAACGTCCAGCTATAGAATTGGGTCTGCATGGTAATATTTTTTTTGGAAAGTTCATCACGAGTTAAAGGCAGTAAAGTAAAATACCGTCCGTTTTACTTGTACAGGTGGTAAACCTATATATCCGTATATAACCAGGAAAGACCATGCTACCTGATGCTACCATACACCACCGCTGGCAGAAATTAAAAGTACAAGGTAAACAAAGTCAGGTAAACAAAGTACACCCCTACCGACACCTGACAGTGTTTTTTTTAAGGCACTCATAATAAAACCCACTCAGTCTCAGTTTGATGAGCTACTTACTAATGTGTCAATATGCGATAAATAAGTTATATTACTCAAGATTTGAGTTGTACAATAAAACAATTTTTCATTCAACATTTTAGTCTAAAATCACAACCTGAACGACTGGGTCTTGTTTTACTTTATAACTCACATCTTGGATAGTTGAATTCGACAAATGTTTTGTTTTAAAATTATGTCAACTCATTCTTCTGAGTCTACTTTCAAACTAAATTTTCTAACTTTCATTGTTCTCGCATTCTGTACTACACGACCATAATTAACGGCATACACAATGTCCAGGAATCCATCGCTGTCCGCATCTCGTACAAGCGGACTGGTGTTTAGGGAAGGCCATAGCGTGCCACATGGTGCAGAGGAACCTACAGAGAAGACACGAGTTGGTTTCATTTCATCGACATGATATTTCTGCATTAACATCATCATGACGTCACAATTATTCTGAGAATTTCTATAAACATTAGAGAAGGTCGAACATGATTCGCACCTCCCTCCACCCCAGGGTAGATATCTTTACACTGCTTTTCAGGAATTTGTTTCTTTGAGTGAACAATTAAGAAACCTTGATATAATTAATTAAGGAAGCACACGTGCTTAACTAAAGTACATGACCTTTCTGCTAAAACGCAAATTTAAGCCAAAGTGCTAAGCTTTAATATTGCATTGTTTTAAAACGTTTGACATGCATGCATGAGGTTTGCATATTTATTTTGGCTGGTTGGGTCAGACGGGACACTGCGTTTCCGAGATCATGTTCCACGCTTTTTACCCGCCTATGTTGGATCCTAGCGGGTATTTGTTGTGAAGGAAAATTATCGTAGAAAAATTTGGGTCATTTGTTGGGTCAGGTACTTACTGGTTTTATCCCAGGAACTTTTTGTCCCCGCCATTATGGAATCATATAAATAGCTTCTTACCTTTGGGTTTCTTTATACTGTTCTCTTGCGATACGATTGAAAACGAGTTTTTGTGACTGTTTGGAAATATAGCGATGAGAGCAAGATTGAACCCATCAGGACATGGAATATCGTGTTTCTTCTTCTCATCGCTGGTATGGTGGTGGTTTATGGTTGTCGGGTGTTGCAACGTTGTCTGGTGTCCACTTGCTTTGGGTCGGTGGTCTTTGCTGGTATTTGATAGTTGTTGCTTCCTTGGCATTCCTGAAGTATTGGGCTTTAATTTTCTCTCTATTACTCGAATCATCTGTGAAAAAGGAAGTTTAAATTGCCACAATTACTACGTATACATGGTATAGTGTTTATGCTAAGTTCATAAGATGATTCAGGATTTTTTGCATTTCAAAAAATTTTAGAAAATTAAGTGCAATTTAAAAAATTTAAAAATTAGACGAATTTTATACACGCATTTCATTTAAAGCATCTTAAAACATTTGGCATATATTTATCATCTTTACTTAATTACCTTATTTTCATCCAGGTGTCCGGTTCTGTTAACTTCTATTGAATGTAGGTGGGGAATCGCTTTCTTATTACCAAGTAATTCGTTCATATTTCCTCCATTCGAAAGCCTCACTTTCTTGTTAGCTTTTGGATGTGGTGATGAAGAGGCTGACACATTTGATTTGATCAACTTATTTACGATATTTTGGTCGTGGTTTGATTTATTCAAATGTTCTGGTCTATTTTCAAGTTTATTTGTAGTGCCACTATGCTTATTCATATCATGGGAAGATATTTTTTTTCCACGAGGAATGTCAACTTTAAGTTTCTCGTTTTTACCATTTTGTTGTTTTGGGTGCTTTGGACTGCTTTGGGTCGTTTTTCTCTCAATTTGACGTTGATGTTTTTTCTCCAGCAGTATTGTTAAAGTATTGCTGGTTGGTTGTTCAGTTGTAGGAATTTTGGTAGGCAAAATAAGAATATCTTTCCCAGACCTTGTTTTGTTAGGTGTACTTTTGGACTTAAAATCTGCCATTGTTTTTACAGTAACTTCAGTGTGACGGTGACCTTGTATGTATGGAGAATATGTTGCTCGTACAGTATTTTTAAACTTTATTGCAGCAGTTTTGGTATTTGTTTTGCCAGAATGATGAATCTGGTCTGGTCTAGTAACTGGATGGATGGCCAACAATACGTCTTCACTAATTTGGTGGATATTACGAATAACAGCTTTGCCAGTTGTAGCTTTGTTATGTTGGTATTTTGGGTTTGATGTCGGTAGTGTTACATCATTGGTTGGATGATTACTGTTGCGGTTTTCTCCGAGACGTTTCTGGATTCCAACATGATCGAGTTTTCCCCCGCTTTCTCTTGCTCTTGTTTTTTGGATTTCACGATGTGTGGGCAAAATAGCAGTTTGACTTTGTATTCCATGCTCATTTTTACCACCATGATGATCACCAACTTGTCGGATAGAATTTTGGACTATAACCTGTTCGATCCTACCATCGTTTGTGGTGGGATTAATCCTAGCAGTTTTTACAGAAACACGAGATTCAGGCTGGGTGGTTGGCAAAGTAGAGCTGGTAGTTTCTCCACGATCATCCATTTTACTGTCAACTTTGTTAATTATAACTTTTTTGAATTTTTGTCCTTCCGTTAACGTATGAACAATATTCGCCGTCGTAGGCTTACTTTTACTTCCATCACCTAATTTTCCATGGCTAGAGCTGCTCGTCATCTGCCTGAACCTTCTCCTCGTTTGCATGCTTGGTTTATGCATACCATGAATCGTATATAATTTAGGTCCTTGTTTGACCAACCTTGTACTAATAGTTGCCTTTGCCCCTCCAGCAAGGGAACCATGTTCTTTCTTCACCACCTCTAATGATTGTCCTTCTTTCTTTAGAATATCTTCAAGGATTTTGTGTGTGTTGCCATTCTTCTTTACATTCCTGAGGGGTTTATTGATAGATTTAGTTCGAGGAATATTTTTATTGTCCTTCACAAAAATCTCATCAACAAGAGAATCTAACTCATCTGTCATATCATTTACAGATCGCTCTTCCTTACGGAATTTTGTACTGCGTGGAGAACGATGATGCCCATCCTGAGCGATTGAATTTTCGCTTTCATTCGTCTGCAAGACATGATGGGTATTTGCCACACTCATTGCGGGTTGAGTTTCTTGTTTTCCACGTATTCCTGCCTGTGATTTACTTTTCCCTGCATTTACTTGTTTTCCAATGTCATTTGATGATTCTTTCGGTGCTTTTGAAAGAAATATCTTCTTGTATTTTCGCTTGCTTTCTTTTTCAATCCAGAGTAGGAAGATATCACTTTTATATCGAACGTTTGCAGTTAACGGGGTGGTATTCTTGGCCAAACGCAGTTTTCTAGTCCATAAAATATTTCCGTTTTGTCCGTCTAGAATTTGCACGAGGGACTGGTTAAAAAATGATAATACTGGATCTTCAAGGATGACCAATATATCTGGAATCTCGTCATCATTGAAATGTCCAATCACAGGTTGACTAGTGACAAAAAAAGAAAGTCATGAAATATGAACAAGCAACAAAAACAACAACAACAACAACAACAACAACAACAACAACAACAACAACAATGAGAGTATTCTTTAGTCTTCTTTAAATTAAGTAAAATTACACACCTTAACATTTTTCTGGATCCAAATGCAATTCTCCACATCTTCTTAAGTTTACCACCATCTACAGCCGTTAAAGAGTGCTTATTACCAGCTAACGTCACCAAAATTATGTCTTCCACAAAATCCTTATTTAAATCCTTCACAACAGGCTCGTGGTCCGTCGATACGATGTCGGAGACGCTCAGAGTGGAATTATTAAACAATGTAGGCTCGCTGTCCATACCTTCTAAAATTTTACGATAGAGCTTCTGGATTGAAATAACCTTAAGATGACCTTTATTACCGACTGTCAATACAAATATCAGATTTTCAGCATGCCTTGTAGAGTGGATGGATACGCGTTTTATAAGGTGACTTTGAGGGATGTTCAGTCTACTGCCCAATGGGTACCCTGTGCGACCGGATATAAGTTGTACAACTCCCGGATGTGTGCAAAATGTCTTATTGGTTGGAAGCATACATGTAGTGTTAAACCGATCATAACTAAGTAGTATATCTCGTCCATCATCGCCGTCACAATCATTGATGCCAATAATTATACTGGGTAATATAGATCCGATTAAGATACGGGTTGACCAAATGATCTGATTACGCTTTGGATTTATTAATTGTAATCGTCCATGAGAACTTTGAATCAGACATGTCTCAAAATGGTTATCATCTGTCCTACACTCGATAAGTTTCACAACATCTGAGGCATTGAACAACCACAAAAATTCACCATTGTCTTCTTTTAATGAAATTAGGCCAGATTCTTTTGTACTCCATTTTTTCTGGTTCCCAGTGGTTTTATGGATTTCATGTTTTGTGACTTTAGTGGAATGTTTTGAGATCTCTTGTTTGCCATTATAACTTACTACGACTTCTCTTGTTTTTGACGAGGATAGATGAAATACGATTCCGGTTGAAAACGCAGGAAAAGACATTGACCAATTTTTGTGAAATTCCTCCAAATTGCTGGTTACGGTTGTAATCATGTTTGCAACGTTGCATGATGGACCTTTACAAGGAACGGTAAATGCAAAGACAAAAATGGTCAAAGTACAGATCATTAGAGATACAACAAAGCAAAGTCTACGAGCGTTTGACAAGGGTTCGGGTCTCTCTTCCAAACTCCGCGATTCAAATCTCACATTGCGTTTAACTCGCCGTTCTTTTGTTTCGCCCTCTTCGACCTCACTCTCTCTTGAGTTTCGGGACGTGCTATGCATTGCTTCAGTATTTTTCAAGGCACTCAAGTTCTTGCGCTGATTAAAACTCTGTGACAAGGGGTTTTTGTCGATGCTTTCGTCTTCATCCTGCGAGGCAGCTTCCTGAGGCACAGCGGTGTATCCACGGGGTGTGAACATATTCATTACTTACAGCTGAACTTGCTTTGAACTTCTACAAGTAGCAAGAATCATTTCAAATCATTTTCTAGATAGTTTGATCCTACCAATTCAGATGAATGTTATTTTCAAGGTCAGGATTTTCTGATCAAGGTTTTTTCTGACATATACAATGGTATAACTGAACATGACGATTGATGTTGACATGTTGGGATTGCATTCACTATTCTACAATTGGAATTGCATTCAATATTCTTCAGATAATCGGGATACGAACAAAACAGGAATGGAGGTCAAACCAAGGCACGACATAACTTAAGATTTTTGTAATTATGAAAAGCATGATTTTAGAAAACTCTTATTTGAATGAATTAGGGCTGCACTACATATGAATCTTATACTATACGCTAAAATTGCTATAATCATAAACAGTGACAGATACACTCAACTGCACCTCAGGATATTATAAACGGGACATGGCTAGAGCCTAGAAGACTACTCAAGGTCGTGATGTGATGCCTACTTGCCTTTCCGCATGAATAACAGCAACAACTATCTATTTTCTAACTAAATAAGCGTTGTTGTTGAAAATTATTCTGGCATAAAGAAATGATTGGGTCATTAGATTCATTCCCGGCAAAACAAATGGTTTCTCACGAAAGTGACTCCCTGCCAAGCTCCCTCGGTTGTTTTGCCAAAATTATTTGATATAACTTCTTAATTCATCATGAAATCCACAGGAAGCGTTTTGACACTGATTACAGTCGCACTAGGCAAGCTCCACGATGTTCAAAGTTAAACTCAGAATCAAATATGTACTTTGCCATTGCTTACATTAAAACATCTGGAAAGACAGTTTGTATAACAAACAAGCCTTTGAAGCAAATAAATAACATTACAAATACCTACCTTTTCGTAGAGTAAAGAGATGATTCAGTTGATCTAGGATCTGGAGGCTTATGATCTTTGTTAAAGCAAATTATTTACAATTTACTTGGAGTTTGCTAGACACTCTACCTAAATAAATGATGAGGAAAAAATTAATTTTCAAACAAACGTACTTTTTTGCGGTGATTTTGAAAGATCACACAAACACAAGTGGAGAAAGCGATTCTTCAATAAAATAACAATTATACACAATAGCCAATACGATTTTTGGACTTACTGTTCTGAGACAATCAAGATTCGAGGATAAATTCCGCAAACGATAATTGATACAACAGCCAACAGTCCCGGAGCAAATTGTTTCAACCGCAAATTTATTTCGTCACTCTGTGTTATGAGATAAAATTTTTTTCGCGTCTTTGAAAACAAATCGCATTCATTACACATTCATTTTAAGAACTTTCGTTAACAATTTCAAACAAAAGTCGGAAATTGAATATCGCCTCACGTTCGTTTAAATTTGTTCGTCAAAATCCATTCTCAAATTATCTATCATTCAGTTCAATTCATGCAGGTGAGAGAGAGGCGGGACAATATATTCTGTCGGATTGCGCGCGTAATGAAAGTTTCGCAGGTGAAATTTTCTATAAATTTTTTATAAATTTTTAACGGCTGGGCTTATTTCTGATTTTAATAAATTTGACGTTGTGTTAACGTGGAGAGATAGTTGAGAGGCCGAAAAACTGAGTAACTTTTTCTTAACGGGTGAAAAAAGATCAGAATATCTTACAAAATCGAGTATGATAATGAATACAGATCAAGATATATTAAACGAGAGTGATTTGGTCATAGTATGCAGATTATAGAATCAATTTCACATTATTTGGATTTGTCAATTATTGACCATAATCCATATCTCTGACGCATCCCTTGCGTCGCGTTCACTGCGCGTTGCATCAAGAGCCTATGGTTTGCTGTGAAGGTAATTTCTTAATAGCTCGCCATATTCACGTTAACTAACTAAAACTAACTAACTTAAAATTTTTCAGTCAGGTTTTTACCAGGATATTTGGATTAAAGTTGCTCAAACGCGGGGGAAGGACCGGCGAAGGAAAAATGCTCAGATGGTACAAGACAATACAGGATAAAATACAAAATAATTATAAATTCTCATATCCAATGTTAACAAATTGTACAATTACTTAGGAAATTATATTTTTACAAACGTTTTTCAACCTTTAAGAAAATATATTACTTTATAGAAATTAATAAAATATTTTCAAATATTGATGAATGAAAAATTACTCTGTTTCCGTTTTATTAACTAGAGTGAACTCATTTTAAGCATTCTATGTACTTGAATGATGCTGCAGTTTTACATTCTCAATGAATCAGTGCTTATGTTATTCATGGTTTGTAAGCTTTAACAAGGAACATTACCAGTCTAAATTATTGCAAAATATACTGTAATGCAAAACAAATTTGCCACACCAAGCACACAGTACTAAAAATACTCAACTGTATTACATGTCATTAAATATTATTTAATAAAGTCACTTCCACTTTCTCTCACTAAACAAGTAGTTTAAATACCTACCAACATATTCTTAAATATCTATAATATCATCCTACCACTTCAACATTACTTCTTCTTTCCCTTCTTTTTGCCTTTTTTCTTTGTTTTACCACCCCCAGACTCCCATGAGAAGCCACGGAATGCCAGAAACTGTGGTGCATTGTGGGAAATGTAATACGCATTTTCCATCGCAGGCTTGCTTAAAAGATCCACATTGCTTTTCTTTGGTGATGCAGAACGTGATTTAGACTTTCCCTTTTTTGATGATTTCTTTTTAGATGGACTTTTACTTCTTCCTCTTGGCTTTCCTGGGGACTTGGCTGAGTGGGCAGTCTTTTTTGTTTCAGGCTGATAAAAGTGAATGAAATAAAATAAAACCAGTACTTAGTTGAAGAAGTATCACCCCCAACCAAACAAGACACTTCATGACAGCACCCTTTATTGTTTTCCACTAGACAAATTTGTTTTTGCAAAGTCAACCCCCCCCCAGCAATGCATTAGAACCAGTGTAATAATTGCTCCTTTTGATATTATTCACTGTACTACAATTATAGCCACATTTAACTGGTTTTTCATACATTCAGCATTGACTATTTTACAACCTATTTAACTTCATGTTTTTTAATGAAGTCAAATATCATCCTTGCCATGTGATAGTCCTTAACTAGAGAGTGTATAAATCCAGTTTAAGACAAACCAGGTTAGGTTAATCACTGGTATGGACAGTATTTTATTCAATGAATTCCTTAGATGTTCACCTGATTCTCACAGGCACACACAATCATGGTAGCTCAAAAAGCCATAGTCTACTAAGAGAATGGTTGAACTCTACTAACAGAATAAAAGGTACATCGTCTTTCGATAGTCTATAGCGGCGAATCCCCACTCAATGCTCAAGCTACAGTACCACGGTAATATTTTGACTATATATTTTGTCAAAGCGAAAGAACCATCTGTCAAGCACATTATTACCTAATAATTTGTACCTATTATGCTAAGAAAACTAAACAAACATATCCAAGTACAAACCATTATGACATTGACAGAAACACAGCTGCATTCCAACAGGCAACACAATACGGCCAAACGTTCACAATAGTGTATTTCTAAGATGCTTTTGTTCTAATAAACGAACTTTCATATTTTTTTCTCCGTCTTCATACTGTATGTTTGTTCAAAAAGATTAAATGATCATCCACAACAATACCAAGGCAACAACAAGCTTTGAAAACTCATAAATATTAATGAAACATATATCTCTTTGTAAATCACTCTCTTTCAATCACAAACACTGACTGATCACAAATCTGGTTTCGTACTTCCACTTGGTACTAATATTCTTTTATTTTTCACTCATAATAAATACGAATTGATCGCCTTATCTCTATCAATTGTGATCGTACAGTGACTCATACTATAAAAATGACTATTTAACCCAACTAGTAAAAATATACACTTTCTAAAAATGTCTATAAGCATATCCAAACTAAAAGATCACTTTGTTTCACTTGTATACTAGTAGATAAAACAACTTAGGTTGTGTAAGTTACAACTTCAACAGCCTGACTTGCTCCAGGGACTGGATTTTCTCCACTGTTGGAGTCCACAAGCTGCGTTTGAATATTTTGGGAGTTTACAGTGTTTAAGTTAGGATGTGGTGCCATTGCGACTTGTGGAATACTCGTAGCAATGTACTGTGTTTGATTATTGGTTATTTGATTGTTTTGAATTTGCATCATTGCAGCTGCCGCATGAACAGGTATAGTCACCATATTTGAAGTATTTAGAGGTGACTCACCAACATTCGCTAGTGCAGTAGCAGCATGTTCAGGTATGACTAATTGACCACCATCAGACAGGGTTGCTTCAGCTAGAGTAGCAACAGCAGCCTGGGCCGCTGCCTCACCCTGAGACATCTCACTGATACTTATTGTTACTGGTGTGCCTTGAGTTGTTGCTGATACCTCTGAAAGGGTTGCAACTGCTTGTGTTGATTCTGCTTGCGTAGATCCATCTGTGTATGAACTGACAATAGCACCAGTTGCATCAACTTGTACTAGGGAAAGAGTACCATCAGCATTGGTAAGCGTGTGAACAATGGGATGGGTACCTTGCACTTGTGGAAATGCATCACCATCTTGGAAATCAGGAAGTAGATCTGCACGGCCATGAAACTCATAGCAGTTTTTAACAATCATCCTTAATGCATTTGTCCATGATAACTTAGCTTTCTGTTCCTCTGTGCGGGTATCAGATCTTACATTTTGCCAAGGAATGTCATCGGGCCACCACGCAGGTTTAGTAGACTCCCTACCCCATCCTGGTTTTCCCCGACCAGTGGAATACTTAAGCATTAGTGGTATAAATGCTCTAAGCTGTGCTTGTGTCATTTTGTCCACTGGTGTTGGGATGCCATCTATATACAATGGTGGAAGTTCAAAAAGGCCATTATTGTCCTGACTTGGTGTGGGTGTTTGCTGGGCCAAAGCAGCCTCCAAACTCTGCAGGATGTGAGGTTTTAAACTTTTCACACAATTCTCAAGAGGTGCAGCACCAAATACCTAGAAATAAAATTTTTTTAAAATTATCAGAGCAGCATTTCAGAAGCTTTGATAACCAAAACCAAAATATTGTATAGGTCATAGGTGGAATATTGTAATGATTCATAATATAGCAAAATTTCATACCTTGAATAATGGATTTGGCCTTCCAGGACATGCACAAAGAACAACTGCTTGCTGGCCAACCCGTGTTGCATACTCATCCACAGTTCCTTTAAGTTTTCGTAACAACCGGGTTTGCTGACGCTTGCGAATGGACGGGTTAGTCTCGAATGAGTGTGGACGTTTTCTTTTGCGACCTGTGGCAACAGCTGCTGCTGCTGCAACCCCCACTGGCCCGGCAGCAGCCAATTGACTGGTCACCACATCAGTAACAGAGGAGTTGAGAAGATCAGAATCATCAAATGTTGCAGATTCAGGTGATGAAGGTTCAGACATAGCAGAGGAGTCATGGGTCATATTTTGAAAGTGATCTGTACCATCATGCATTGTCACTATTTCAGGGGAATGAGATCCACCATCATGATGCATGCTAACCACATGACCAACATGTGACATTTTGCTCTAAAATTAAGCATTAAATCTATTAACTTTTGACTTTACAAAGTTACTCCAAATCCATTGCCCTTACAATTAAAATTGCATGTGATTTGTGCGAAAACAACATGATATGGCTACGGATGGATCAAGTGTGGTATTGTATTGAGCTGCCAAGGGCTACAAACATCAGCTGCAAAAAATATAAATTGAATGTTTGGTTGCTGGAAAAATTTCAAAAATATGGTATATAATACTCCCAAAGTACACCAGATAATGATAATTGAGCTGATAGCCTGATACTCAACTTTGCACTTCTCCCTCACCCCTGGGGGGGGGGGTGAAGTTGCACACTCTATAGTTCTCAGCAAATCCACCTCAAGTTTGGTGAATAACTAGTATGAATGAATCAGTCCTCTGATAAAAGCTGTAAATGGCATTATTAGTGGAAAACCGATCTAAAAATATGCCTGCCCAACCTTGTTCTGTTGGCAATGTTACAATAATCATCTGGTTAATGTCAGCCATTCATCCTTTTTTTGTACTTATATTGTTCCTTGTCAATCTGACAAAACTCATATGTTGAAGGAGATTTGTTCTCCAGCAATTCTATTCTGGATTTATTTTCAACTGGTTCTGGTGTTTTATCCCGATATGCCAACAGTCTTGCTAATATGAACAACAAGTGGCCAAGTGCAGACGTTGTTATCCTTAGCCTAATGTTCAGTTATGATTTTGACATGCAAATAAATAATTATTGCTGTTAAGAGCTGGCTGCATCACGGAGGAACTTGAGTCATAAACTGAATACATTTATTAATACTTTTATGTCGTTTCTTATCCCCATACTCTTCTATGTTTCAACTGGATAATTTTCATGGCAAAATTAATGTCAATATATATACTTTAGAAGCAGGAATTGCGTCAAGCGAAATTGCAAATGCAAAGCTTATAAGCGGGTAAACATTATCGGTAACACAAAATTTCGAATGTATGACCGACTTCTGCTAAAAGTATTTCTCTGAAATACCATTCCCAAGAGGTTTGTTGCCAAACATGAACCAAATTGTACGTTTGCAAGATTCTTAGTGTACAAAAAACTCACCATTTCTAGCAAAAACTGGACAAGGAAACACAATTTTCAACTTCAAAGACATCGTGCTTTGTGTCTGCCACCTGCCCACGGTAAGTTACAGAAATCGGGAAGTTTTGTTCGCTAAACCCGACATAAAGTTTAAATATAAGAGGGAAGTTAAAACTTACTTACAGAACGTGTTCAGGATTTGATCGATTCTGACTGTGCGCAGAAAGCTCTGGTTTCTTGAGTTGCGCGATGGACAATGTTGATTTCTTGTGCTCCGTGATGGCAAAAAAGAAGCTCAAACACGCACGCCTTCTCGTGTTTCTTTCTATACGCGGGGAGTCTGCCCCTGATCGTATGCACGCATCTCATTGGCTGTCATAAATTACTATTATAACTGTTCACCGTCCGGTACTGAACTGTTCGAGATTGGATTAGATTCTGTCATTCTGATAATATCCAATTAAATACTATATTGAAATTCTAGTATCTGTCTGTCACAGTTTGTTTTGCACATAGTAGCCCAAAAATTTAGTGGCCCGTTGAGGACGATATGATGGTAAAGTCATCCATACAAGGTTTAACAATCAAAGGCAAGGCTGCTTGGTTGAAAAGATAGAATTGACCTGTTTTGATTTGCATATTCATTCTTCTCTCACCGAGTATTCTACTGGGGACCTGTGAGGGCGGTGACTTTTTGAAAAATCAACTGTTCATCTACTTTATTGATAAAAAGAATGCGTCCTTGCCCCTTGGAGCCTTTCCTTCTGGTTCGTGCAGTTGAGTTGATGGCATAATGGGAGGACTGGAATCCCTTCTTATGATGAAATATATGATTTATAGGAGAAACACCTTGAATCACTATTTTTCAAATTTCAACTGACCAAGTCTCCATACGACAGTGGGAGAAACTTTTCACTACCGAATAAGAAACACAAGGTAGAAACACAGGGAGGAAAATAACAAATACAAAACAGAAGCTAGCTGCACAACCCCGTCTAGCTGCATGTTGTGAACACCTACACGAAGGGAATTGGCAGGTGGCCTGCAAGGTAAATACTCACTGGGATTGGCAGGTGGCCTGCAAGAAACACCTACAGCAAGGAACACTTGCAATTAAATAAACTTCAATAACCTATGGAATAAGGTAACCTTGGTAAATTAACAAAAATTCAAGCAAAACCAATCATTTCACAATTTTATTACCTTTCAATTCAGTTTTCGTATATTAAGTTAATTCCCGTATGCGGTATAGTATAAAACGCTAATACACAATATGCTATTTCACTCTAAGTCGTCTATATCATTTCAATTTAAGTCAAAAATGGCCTCTATACAAAATAGTCACAATTCTAAGCGACGTGTATATTCATGCACAACAAATATAAAATCTCTAGACTATTTCTAAAATAAGATTCTCTTTCTTCGTCGTCTGATTACAAGGCGGCTACTCAAAACAAGATGTTCACCTACGGTCCTAACCATGACTGAGCTTACTACCTCCACAAGAAGTCATAATGCAACTCTGATATTAGTGCTATACAGGTAATTCGATAAAAGTTGAACTTTCAAAACTATAAACATTGATCTCCAAGCGCGATAGGGATTGTTTAATGTTGTGGAAGGACAACCTTTATTGACAAGAAAATCAAGCTGCATGGGAAGGTCGTTAGCTCGGCTAAAAGATATAGCATTTTCAAAGCTGAATGTTGCGTTTGCTGTGTATGAATATACGATATTTTCGTTCATTTACAATGTTTTAACATGCAAGCAGCTCTTTGGCGATATGATATTGGTAAAATAGCTCACAGACACAGTTGCCATGTGAATAATATATGCATCAATATCCTGTTCGTTTCATCGATACCCTGTAGCCAGACTTGTAGTGTTGTAATAAATAGACCATCTTGGATGATTTTAACAATAGCAAGGAATGATCATTTCCAAACATTGTTTTTCATTTCTTCTCCACCACATATCATAATTAATTAATTTAATATCTAAAAACGTATATGGGTAAATGTTAGAAGACAGGCGAATATCTCGTCAATAGCTTATACTTCACAGGCAAAAAGACAGAGAGACACCATTGCAACATCAAGTCATGTCAATCAGAGATTTGTATTGGGCATTTGGGAAACTCGGGAATATATGATCTCTGAGCAATCACTCTCGACAACAATCTAACATTCCATTATCGAAGCATACCTATAATAATTAGGTTTGTACGGCCCTGTTTTCGCGACCCCCAGATATTTAGCTTGTTCATCCGTTAGCTCCGTTAGATGCGCATCAAACGTCTGCAGATGAAGCAACGCCACGTACTCATCTGAAGAGGAGAGCATATTAATTTTGATTCATTTTCACTACCTGTTCAAGATTAATCAGAATTTGCTGAAATTATTGGCTGGAAAAGAATTTTACAAACATTGATAATTAAGTATAACTATATTAAGGTATTAAGGTAATCAGGCAAGTTCATCATGATAAGGTATTCAGATTAAAACTGGTCGGAATGATCTTGACTAATTTATCCATATTATTCTGCATCGTAATGATTCGTAACGTTCATGCTTGTTTTTCTCACCCATTTTCTTCGGTAGCAAGTAGACATCTTGTTTATAGCGTCCAGGAGGAGCTTTGTACAATTCTATAAGAGCTATAGCTTGTGTTGTGGTGGTAATTGAGACAACAAATGATGGTACACTGGAACAACTCAGGTTCACCAAACGACCCTAAATGAATACAGAAGAACCAAATATACCATGTCCATAGCTAACTTAACTCTTAACTTTTTCAATAATTGCAGACGGTTTCTTGGTATCTCAACTACTTCTACACTCCTTTATCCCGCAGAAATGACGCCTCTATCATTTCTTTACATTGCATTTTGTAAAACTATTGGCCCTGCATTAATTTCGTTATACTCTTGTAAAACTATTGGCTCTGCATTTATTTCATTATACCAACCTCTGCAAGTAAAACTATTCTTTTCTTATTCGGCCAAATAATATGATCAACTTGGGGTCGAACTTTTTCCCACGTCAATTCCTCCGTTCTTAAACTCGCCTGCAAAACATAAAATAAAAATTAACTCAAACGAAATAAAGGCTCCTGGTAATTGTCGACGAGACTGGAGGAACCGAATAATGCAATTATAAGGTCCGGGAAACATCCAGTCTTAGCGTCTGACAATCGAGGAGATAATTTCTTCATTTCAAATCCACCATTTATATGCTTAAATGTCAACCATGCACATGGCCAATTTTTTATATCTATGTATAAGTAACTTACCACGTCAATTTCTGTATTGGAATGACCCATATTACAAACAATACAGCCATTTTTAAGACGATCCATATGGTCTCTGGTCACAACACCTTTGTTACCTACAGAATGAAACATATTCATTGCTGTTTGTAAATGCACGAGGAATATAATGTTAACAATGCTGTCTTATCCGTGCCATTAAAAATTGGATTCAATTCCAGGAAAACTTGATGGAGTAACATCACGTACCTGTTGCAGTAATCAAAATATCAATTTGTGCTAAGACCTCTTCAATTCTTACAACTTTAAATCCATCCATACTATAAATATGAACAGTATATACTATATCAAAATATATCAAATTTGATGCGAAGTTACGTCATCACAGTCAGAAAGCTCTTACTAAGATAGTGCAAATGCTAAGTTTGGCTGCGAAAGTTAGGCCCCGCCTAATTCTCCGAAATTTACACCAATTCGAATAAGCTCTTTCAGAAAATGTCCTTTTTATCGCCGGGGAAGGAAATTAGTCTAAAGCGCAAGTCGTCAATTAACGAAGCCCTGATGGGGTAGCATATTTTATATTTATGGATTGGTTTTTTGAATTTAAGCCCTTATAATTATTATGTTTATTTTTGAGATCTTGCTTTCCACTGATCTCTGGCTTATAATCCCAGTAAGACCACAATTAACAATATAAGCCCATGAGTAGTTCATGCCTTTGTTCTGTCCTATCCTGATTTGCTAAAATGCGATACGGATTATATTTCGAACCTTCTAATTGGGTTTCATTGCTACTTACGCTGCCTGCAGACCACAGATTGGATCAATTTCAGTGACATAAACAATGGCTCCTAAACCCTTCAGCGCCGCACAACAACCTTTTCCTACCTAAAAATAGGAAAGAAATAAAGTTGTTTGGCATTTAAAGATACAAGAACTTCCATATGTGAGCTGTCAAAGACCTATCGAAAACACACTGTGTTACATGAAGAAGAGGTCTCTGCAAGCGGCCTCGGTGCATGCATGAAAATATCAAAAACATTACGTCGTATTTTTTATTTTGAGAAAAATAAATCCTATATTATTCAAATGTAAATATTTTAACAAAAATATTGATTTTTTTTAAATATTTTACGTCAATAATCCCAATATATGCTGTAAAATCTGATAACATTTATAATACTTGTTATTCACATGATTCAAGCAGAATACAAACGTATCCAAACTCCAAACTCCAACAGGTTCCTAAATAATGGTCCTCAGCTTATTACCTGCTGTAGATGACTTTGAAAAATGTTTTTCATGGACAAAATATATATCATCATTATAATCTCATCATAACTGAAGAGTTAGCATTCTAAAGCTATATGAATATTACATCTTGAACGGTTGTTTCCTGGGATATTAGTTAGGACACTATCTTCCAGACGAATTGATTAACGGTCCTTTGCGCGTTATGTCGAAGTTCTTTTGATATAATTACACCGACAGATAAATTCACGACGTTCACATGCAGATTACCCTGTTCCGCCGGTCAGAAATTAAATTTGATAAAGTTGAGTTATTAGACCTCAGGCTTACCTCCCCATATCCACACACCAAGACCTGTTTCCCACCAAACATTACATCCGTTGTCCTTTTCAAACTAAGCGGTTCATAATGTTATAAATGTTTAGATCAATGCAAATAACGATCCATAATCATGTTGCGAAAAAACTGGACTCCATCTTACCTGTCCAAAATAGATTCTCTACAGCAGTAAAGATTGTCAAACTTAGTCTGAAAATAAAGTGATTTCATCAATAAATCATGCTATAGATTCTGAATAAAAGCGTGATTTAAAAACATTTTACGACGAGTTCGATACACCAGGTAAAATATTTTACACTCTACGCATTAGGAAATACCTTGGTCACCGAGTCATTTACGTTCATGGCTGGAACAGTCAGCTTGCCATTTTTAGAAAGTTGAAATAATCTGGTAAAAGAGAATTAAGCTTGCTGTAGTTGGTTGTTTGGAGAATGAAGGATCAGAAGAGAACGGTTCCGGGATAAAACTGGAGAGATGATAACTGAAACGTTGCGAAAAGTGAAAGTTGGTTCACGCAAAGCAGCAGGAATAGAAGACTTAGGCTTACGCCTTCGCGATTACGAAGCAATGGATAAGATTCCTTCTATCATTTCTGACAAACATCTGGTACGAAGGACGCGTGGTCATTGTCTGGGTTAAGGTCAATCTAAACCCCCCTACCCCACCTGCCACCTGGACATACACTTTCAACTGGCTGAAAAGGTAACGTAGAAATGTGCTACAGATCATTTTTCGTCATGCTATACCTATGAACTCCAGTGACACTCTCTTCCACAATGCCCTTAAGGACACTAAATCTCCCAGGAAATTTCTTATACATAAGATGCGTGGAATCACCGCCATCATCCAGTATCTAAATGAAGTATTAATAATATTCCTTTCTACTAGATACTGATTATTTCTTATTTTATCACTGTACTTGTCATCATCACACACTGGCAAATTTCTTTAAAATAATTTTTAGTATCAAAAGAAAACATCCGGTATCAAATAAGAAAAACGAAATAAATAACAGGATTTTTAGAAGGCACTACAATTGCTGGTGCCAAGCAAGTCTTGGAGACTGGTATGGACCACAATTGTCAATGTCTATTTATATTATTTGATATTTATTTTTTTGCAATTCTTTCTGTGAATTTGGGTAGAATTATTGATGTGGTCACTTAAATATTTTATGTCAATCTTTTTGTTGAATTCAGTTACACTTTAATATGAATGCATCAGGCTCATCAAGTGTATGTCAATGTTTGACTACACCATATTTTAAAATGTCCAAATCATGGATGTCTTTCTAACGTTTGTAGCCAAGTTTAATGATGCGAATGGTTGATGTATAAGATGTAAGGATTACCCCAATAATTTACCATGTTTGGATTCCATCCAGTAGCATTGATACATTTCTCAATACACCACCAGAAATCTTCTTCAGATTCACCCTTCCATGCAAATATTGGATAACCTAGTAAAACAATGCTGGTCATTAGGTGGGATAGAACCATCAGCTGCTTTTAAAAAAACCATAAAAATGATGATGCTAAGATGATACTTAGATAAGACTCTGAGCTTCAAAATACACAGAAATAATCTAAACCTCAAATATTGGTCAAAAGCTGTTCAAAAAGATTCCCTAAAAGTGCTATTGTTCTCGATACATAGTTGCAAGATGAGTTCAGGACATTTGTGTATTTGGGAACTATATGCGTTGATTTTGGATTAACTGAATATGCTCTTGTTTATTAAGTTAAATATCAGAAACAATTATAGCGAATTTTTACCTTTTTCAGCTAAGGCAGCAGCAACTTCATTCTAAAAGGATGAAAATAATGTGATGAAAATGAATGAATTGTGCACATGTGTCATTGAAAGATGTAGTAAATACACTACCTGTGTTGAATAGATATTGCAAGCACACCATCGTACTTGAGCACCAAGCATACACAAACTTTCAATCAACACCTGAAAACCAAAAAAAGTTATATTTAATTTTGACTATGATACTTTGGTGGAATATAATAATAGTGGACCATTTTAAAGCCATGTCTTGTAATCTGTAAAGGGTTACATAAAAAACAAGTTAGAAACAGGGCAATTCAAAAATATGTAATCAAACAATTCAGGGCAGCTAGTTTATGACCTCCCACTATTTTACCTTGTCTAACACATGTAATTTTACTTATTAGTGGAGGCATACTACAATTTGATAAAATAAATAAGGTTGTTTTAAAATCTTGAAAACAAATTATTGGCATACTGCTGATTGTGCTGTAACATGAGTACATCCAACAATCTTTGCTCCTTCCAAAGGTCGATCATTAGCATTCCTTTTTCTTAGTAAAATTAAACCTGGCATTTCTATGAAAGATAAATGGATTCCAATTACAACACACACTTTTGATCATGAGCGAAAAAAATTGTCATTGTAAAACCCTTGTAATAAAATAGCAAATGTTTGGTAATGGAGATATCTAGAAGGAAATAAATCACCACAGCAAAAAAGAGCATACCAAAATTTGTATAATTGCCAAGTTTGGTTGCAAAATGTCAAGTAGTTCGCATGGCTACATTTTCAGCACTTACAATATTTTGCAGCCAAACTTGGTGATTTTACAAAGTTTAGAATGCAATAGTATAAATAGTTTAGAATGTTTTCGGAAATTCCCTTTTTGTTGTCTAAATCAAAAGTTGGTCTATTATGCAAAAGATCTATTGTGAACATCAAATATACTCTACCTTGTTCGGCAATCTCAATTTCACGCTGGCCAAAGTCTGCTCGGTTAATATTCTTGATGCAGAAATCTGTGAAGCCATTGGAATTTTGCTAAAAGGATAGGTACGCATACCATCAGGTTTTAAACGAACAAGCTATACCTAAGTTTTAAGCACTATATTATACTAAGAAAAAGATTAGTGCTGCATTTTGAAGTAGTTAACTTCATTTTCTCTTCAACTTTCTCCAAGGTGCCCTGTTAGAGGACAAAATTAACTGGAGGTAGACCCCAGTCAACCCCAAACCACAGCCAGTTCTCTAAGTTTTAATACCCTACCCCTTATGGATGTTTGAACTCTACTCCAAAGTTGTCTTTTCTTTGGCTCACACTACCCTGGGTTAGCTATTTCAAACAAACCAAAACTAACTGGAGTTAGAGTCACCCCAAATTGAACATGGGTTAGTTTCCTTAGTAAAAAACTTTTCTTTAATGTTACAAGGGCTCCAGTTGTAGTGGAATCCATTTACATAACCAGATTAGATCAGGCAACCATGCATACATTATCCAGACAGGTTTCTTGTCTCTGGGTTTTATCACAATTTCTTTATAAAAACCGAGAACTGATAGTTCCATGATATTCTGTCACTCTTTTCTGGCATGTAATTACAAGACAAAGGAGGCATTGGGCAATTGGGAATATTTAATACAGGTACAATATTCTTGTATTATACATACTTAATACTATATTTCCCAATATTACTGCTTTTCTGGCAAGACAAGCCATAAAACCAGATTTATTTGCAATTATATTGACCCTGGCATTACCTAATGTTTGAGCCACATACGTACTCCCACCTATTCAAGCACAAATTTAGTTACATAACACGTACGTGGAAAAAAACCTTTACGGTTTTTGCGATAAAACAAAACAAATCTAGGTTTAAACTAAAAGAATTGAAAATAGGTCAAAAGTTCATTTAAATACTCAAGTTAAATGGGCTATTTATGATAACATGCAGACAGTATAATTGTATAGACACGAAGCATGAAAATTGCTCTTTGACCGGAAATGGAAGCTAGGATAGTGTATTTTTATATCGCGTATCACTACTTTCATAAAATTCGAAGTCAAAGTTATACCTGATCTTTTTCTCTAGGAGAAACACCGTCATCTTCACCGGACGAGATGCTGTCAGAATAGCTCGCTAAAACATACAAATATGTATAGCTATAGACATTGTTTATATTTACGAGGATGAAATTGACTCTCTTTTTTTCCACGACATGATGGACATTCGACGGATACTTTTCGGATATTTTAGCTCTGAATTACTTCACAATGGAGCATAGAAGTGCCCCTTTTTAATAAGGAGGAGCTTAGCAGGCTAATAAAAGTATATAATAAAGTGCATATGTGATTTCCCCGGAACGACTCATTAGTGCAGGCAGTACAATTATATTGTTGCCATTTGTCATGTCATCTTGTGGTCGAATTTGACAATTTGCGAGAACTACAAGGCCTGCCACACAAGTAGAAATTGCCTAACCTGAGCTATAGCTATCCGTAGACGAGACAGACATTGTCCGCTTTCTTGCTCTGGGCAGCCGTCTCGAGGACATACTTTCAGAAAAGCTGAGTCTCTGTTTAATAACATTTTGATTACAAACAGCAAGACAAAATGAAAGAAAATAACATTCAAGCAAGAGCATAACAAACTGGTGAGCGAGTTCGAACCTTGAGCTCTGATAACATTGGTGGTTTTTGAGCAGCTGCCGGCGATCTGGACGAAACATCTCCAGCGCCATGTCCCTCCGAAGGGGACGGTCCATTTTCTGCGGACGCCATATTAAGCCATTCGTCTCTTTGTGACCGGCTAATCCACAATGCGCTGCGCCACGAAATTCCTAGTCGCTCCAAGTCGCTCCGACTTGCTTAATCGTTCATTTGTTATGTAAATTCTTTTTGATTACATTTGTTTTAACTCAACTATTTATGTTTATTTTACTTTTTCATGTACATAATACTCGAGAGCATCTTAAAAAAAAATCTGTGCATATCTCACACACAATATTCCTTAATTCTCATCCTATCAGTCCTATCTATTTTCCACAAACTGGTTACAACCACTTGTTTTCCAGTTGGGCATCATGAATTAAAAATATTCAACTTTGAACTCAAAGACTTTTTTAAAGCCATTTTTCTTAATGATGTTGTACTGTTTGCCAGTATTTGGTACTTTCTATCTTTAAATTTTCATTTTGCTGCATTTGCTATCTAATCTTTATTCTTTATGTAACTAAAACATTAGTAAATGTTATATCGTAAAAGGTGATTTGATGTTATGTGAACTTACTACTGTTCCAAATCAGCTTAACATGTTTATCATAATGTACTTATCATTATGTACTATATGCATGGCATATTATAATTCCAAATTGAATCGCATTAAGGTGCAAAACAATATCATTACAGTAACTAATGTTGTTGCAGAAAACCTTATTCTGATTCTCAGTTTTTATGATATTGCACAACTAGCCAGCACAATTAGTTTGAAATGAAGAAATTACTATTATAAAGCACACCACAGACATTTTTAGATGTTGTCAGATATATTTTGCCTCCTATATGATGTATACCTTTCTTATGCCTATTCAAAACTTAGGACACCTCACAAGCCAAACAACATCTATAATGTCCAAAAACAAGTCCAACTAGTGTAAGAAGGAGTTGTTGGGTATGGAAAGGGGCGAGTTATATAAACCCCAGTACTATCGAATTCCAAAGGGTACGCCACAAAATGAAAGTGGGCATTATAAAGACCTACTTGTGAGATTCTATCTGGGCCCCAGAAAGACCCTTGAAATTTCCATAGAAACCGATATACTACAATTTGAAATATACAAGGACCATCATAAAGTCACAGAATACTTTGGCTTACAATTTGGGGAATACCCCAACACTGCATTTACCACATTACAAGCATGGTTGATAGATCATTAGAAAATCACCATTAATGCACATAGTATATTTGAATAAGTTTATACAAACATTTTCCAAATAATGTTGCATTTTTTTTCAATCCAATATTTCAATATTGAATGCTTTTTTCTAACCAAACCACAGAAACTTTAGGTAAGAAAAGCGCGGTTGGTCTAGATTCACTGCTAATTCGGCATTGTCTTACAAAAATGTAGGGCTTTTATTGGCTTTGTTGCCACCACAAAAATTCAGCTGTAGTACACATTAAATATTGCGTTTTAAAATTTTTTTACCTGTACTATCGCATGAACTAAAGCTTGATGATCGCGATCTAGATTTTCGAAATGGTGAATACGTTCTTGCCAAGGCCTAAAAGAGAATTTTTTTTTGTTTCAATTTTCGTGATAAAAACTTATCAAAAACACAATATACAAAGGGAGCTTTTATTAAGCTTTATTTATCTCGAGGTTTAATGGAAACTGAAAAGTCGGAACTCCAAATACAACTTCTAAGTGGACTAATTTATCTAAACGTCATTGTGTCTTGAAATGCGACGTTTAAAGCTTTATACCTGTCTTTATCAGTTATATATACTTTGGATTCATTGTAATTATTTAACAAACAATATGCATTTATATATGGCTTACTCGTTTCGGCGTTTGGACCTGAAATTGGCCTATTGGCGAGGTTCCTGCCGAGACAGAACTAACAGCTATAGATCCTTTTCTATTCCACAGTTCTTTTTCCATGTTGGTTTTGAATCATGAAGTCGTGACTAAATATATAGCAAACGAAAGCGACGCCTCTCTATTTGGCACTGTCTAGTTTGGCACCAGTAGCAGCAAAAAAAATTTCATTTATTACAACCGGAAGTGAGCATTCACAAAGAAATGTTGTATTACTAAAGCAATTTGGTTGACTCCCCCAGTTTTATAATCACTTTTATTGCGACAGAGTGAAAAATATTGCTTAAATATCCTCATATGGTTTAGCGACACATACATATCAAATTTATGGCGATAAAAATCCCAATTTCATATATTTTGGTTGCCCGACACTACCGGATATTTTCATATTGAGCGTGGTTGGGCCAGGCATCTTACTTCCGGTGACTGAATAAGATTGCATGCATATTGGCATGCATAGCTTCATCGCACGTTTTCAAGATTAGAATCAAGAAATTTGATTGGTTGCGATTTGCACTTATGTTTTACAGTTGACATAAGCATAGATTGGCATGAGTTTACAAAGCAAATAATTTAACACATGCTTAGGATTACTAGTAATAGTCTAATAGGCGGCTAATCCGTATCATGGCCTATCGTGAAAAACAAGATTCACCGTGGCCTTTGACGCCACCGATCACCGATTTTGTCCGACTATTAAGAAACACACAATTAGCCAATCCATATCCAATCATTGCATCATTGCCGAAGACACTTGATTATGAGCGCTTACTGTATAAGGCGCAAAGTTCGAGAGTAATTAAATATACCATTTTTAAGACCTTGAACGGAGCGGCTGCGAAAGTGCCAACCCTAAAACATGGGATTCCAAGACCAAGGTCAAACATCGCACGTCATGTGCCAAAAGCATAAAGAACAATAGAAAATTAGGCATTTCAGCTAATTTATCTTTTGTTTTATAAAAGTGTTGACGCATGACTAAGAAATGCAACGTTTAACCTTGGCCTGGACTGAAAATAAAATTAAATTTTTTTCCAAATTTTTGGGCGTAAGAATCTAACAAAATTAACTCTATTACAACCGACTAATAATACTTAGGAGAACGCAGTTTCCGTCAACGGTTCAAAACGATATTCCTTGTATTGCACTCTGCAGAGACGGTCAGAGGTGACCGAGGGGCCAGTGCAGTGGACAAGTAAGATTACGGTTAAAACATAGCGATTGTAACTTTAAAGGACACTGAAATTTTTTTATTCTAAACAGATTATTGACGATAAACAGGTTAAGTTGAAATCGGTGTGGGGTCACGCAAATTTTTATCGGTTTTTATCTTGACCGCCAGTCATCATAATTAACCTGAAACTCGTGTTTTCGTGCTAATTGTTATTCCAAATTTCTAGATGAAAAGAAAGAACCAGACCTTGCGTCATGAAAAAAATTCGTTGCCATTTTTATTGACGGAATTAAGTTCATTTAAGCTCTCTCGAAAAATGGAGTCATTCAAAACGAAATTAGCGCACCTGAAAATGTCAGTAGACTTTCATTAGTGCCAGTGCCAGACAGTGGTGTTTTGGATCGTATTTGAAATGCTTTTTTTCCGCGTTTTTGCTGGCATGAAGATGTATATGATATGACTAATAAGGTGACAAAGGAGATTGATTGCTCGATGGATGTTGTTTATTAACAGGCGTTGATGCTATAATAACCGAGAGAAGCGAAGAGAGGTACATTAATGCACCATTCTTTAAAATATTTATCTCATTATCTGATATGTTGGAGAGCTGGAGTGTGATTGAAAATTCCGCCACTGGAACAAGTGAAGAATACATTCCGCCTAAAGGAGGGCAGCAGGGATATCTGTCACTCCTGGCTTTCCCTAGGATGACAATTTTAACAACGTTTCAGCTTTAAATTACGTTTTAAGTCCAAGTTCAAACTGACGCTTCGCGACCTTTCTTCTAGTTTGTTCTTCTATGAAAAACTGAGCCACTTTGCACCTTTCTGGCAACCTGGATTACTTCTTTCCTTTTTGAAGGCGTCTCCTTTCCTAAAACATTTTCGAGAGTACTACGTTAGCAACTATGGTTTTGATAATACCAGAGAAACAAAACTAGACAATCAACACTCTAATCAACAAGGTTAACCAACCATCCAGTGAATTAGGCAACCAACTAGGTAACTTATCAACCAAACAGTCAGTCCCCATTCAACAAAACAAACTAACATCAAACCAACTAACAGGTATGAAAACAGCAAACTAACCAACTAAACAGACCAACTGGGGAAACATATCAGGCTCCTCAATCAAAATTAAGTACATGGATACAACTGGAATTATATTCAAACTTACATTATTTTTGAAATATGTATATTCTTTTCTTTCATAATCTGAGAGTCTCCTTAAGAAGTCTTGTTCAACTTCAAGATGCACTTGCTGGTCATGACTAAGAGGAGCAACATTGCTGCAAAGTAAAATATTATTACGCATTTATAACAAAACACTTTCAGTTTCAAACATGAGGGGTGTTGCTTTAAACATGAGAGGGGTTGAGAATTCTGTCCCAAAATTGAATCTTCGTCAGAGCAAAAAGTTAGATTCTTCTGAAAGTAATTTGCAAAACAGAGATTGCATGATAAGCTGAATGTATAGATTCCTATTAAACTGTTCAAAACTATTTTTGCAAAACTTGTTTATGCTTGCAGTAACCATATGCAAAAGATGGGGAAGGTTGCATTCTCAACTTACCATATAGCCAAGGGTTTGACATTGTACATATCTGCCAATATATCAACTGTCCATAACTTAGGATCACGATTTTGCAAGCGTTTTATTTCAGCAATCTAAATCAAAGGAATTTAAACATATTTTAACTGATAATTACTAATAAAAATTGTTAACCTGCCCATTTAAAAATTTATTACTTGTGGTTCAGATAGGCTGTGGTCATTGCCAGTTCTTGAAGAGCTATTTCCCAGCATTTCACTTCCTTCCGCATTCATTTCCTAAACAATTCATATATATATTTTATTGTCACATGGAATACAGGGTTAAAAAAAATGTTAATATTTCTCTTACCTTCGAATGTTTCACTGGGTAATCCTGCTTTGGATGATAGAATAGATACATTTCACCACTGGCTGATGTCATTCTTGATAATTTAATATAAATTTAGGAAAATGAACTCAAGTATTATGGCATACTTGTAATGCAATAACAGGTTTTCACTCAAAACATTAACTTTCCTCTGTTATAGTACCATAAACGCATTAAACGCATTAAAAGTTACAAATAATTATAATTTACAAACCTATAACCTTCATTTGATGCCGCTCTTGTCTCAGGTTTATGCACACCAACTCTACTTGATGTTAAAAAATCAGATTTATTTGACTTCACATCCGCAACCCGTACTTCAGCTTGTATTTGTGAAGGAGTTTTCTTTTTCTCCAGAAGTAAAGTTTGTGCTCGGCGCTTGTTAGCTGCTTTAGCCCATGCAGGAACACCAACAGTGCTAGGGCGGCTTTTTGATACAAAATTGGATGTTGACACATTTCTTGTACCAACTATATAAATTATTTTATTATATTTTAGTTCACCTGACTTTTTACAACCATAAGAAATTGGGTGGGAACAAGCCCCCCCCCCCTATCTACATCACTGGTGGGGGGGGATTCTTTAAACCACATTACAGTGCTTATATTTTAATACATTTAGACATATTGTAGTGTCTTATAGAACAGTAGATGTTTTCAATGCTTAAAATATGTTACAATATTACTTACAAACACGACACAACCCCCTATCGCCAACAAAAAAGTGCCTGAGCATTTTACAAGCACTACACGCCATATTTAAAATACTATATACAGAAACTGAAAAACATCCTTCAAACGTAGATTTTTTTGTACTGTACAGTTCTAGTAAAGTATTTATATTTTTTTAGCCATGCTGGGTACTATTGGTTGCTTTTAAATCGTAATTTCAAGTATTCGTGTAAATATTTATCTATCGTTTTGTCAGACCATTGTAAATGTTTTTGTGTTTCAAAAAGAAATTCCCGAAATATCGACTCCTAGGGGATGGTACTATGGTTAGTGACACGGCACATTAAACTAGAGATATATCAATTCTGTATTAAATTAATTTTATTTTTCCGTCACTTTTCTAATGATTTTTAAATAGTTTTCGTGGAGAATGGGACAATGTTTTGGGACGGATTGCTCAAGTTTATGTCCACGATGGGCACTTAGAAAGAATCGGGGTTTCGATCGATTTACGAATTATGCTCCTCGACCGAATTCGAGGTAGTGTTGTTTTACTTGTTTAAATAGACAAAATAAGTGTTATTCAAAATATTTGTAAATTCAGATTCTCTTATATTTAAACAATTGTGTTAATGTTATTTCTTATTAATAGTGTCTTATATAGTTATATATTAATAGTGTCTTATATAGTTATATAAGAATTATTTCCGACAACCATGATAGTTTTATACGATATTCTGTACTGATGTTATATATATTGAAGTGGGTACAGATATATCATGTACTTTTTGCCATCGAACTACAGAACCAACAACTATAGAAAAATAAAAAATTGACTGAAATGGAACCTAATATTAATATGTGTTCGTTGTTCTTTGAGGAATTTATATGGCCAATGATTGAATGGGTCATCATGATATGATGCTGATTTTCTTCTGCTTTTGTAAGGTAGAATTACGGTATGAAAATAAATCACAATTGATTCTCATTATTAATTTGTAGTCGATATGGTGACGACCATTTACTAAATGAGTATCAAGACCAACAAGATGAAATAGATTTTTCTGGTGAGTTTCATGTGATTAATAGTAACTTTTTGGGGTTTTAGGAATTTGACTGGTTGATCAATTAGTTTTTTCTTCACAGGTGTTGGGAAAAATATTTATAATCCGGGACCATCAGAAGTAGTGATTGATATCTCCAAAGACACAAGGTAAGAAAATAGGCATGCGAATAGTCTATCATAGATAGACATTGACTTACAACTGAGAGTTTTTAGATTATAACCTGCTGAATTGAATACTTTGTTTTAAAAAAAAATGGGTGATAATGGTTTATAAAATGGCTTCCAGATCAGGAAAGTGTGTTTATAGTATACCTATTGAAGGAATGCCAGCTAAAAATTGACATTATGCAAGGTTGAAATAGCTATAGCACCACTTCAGCTAACATAATTTAGGAATGTTTAATAAAGCATTCATACAAGTGCTATGCATTATTTGTCTTACATTGTGTTATTTATCGTTTTAGGTTGGGTGCAGGAGAACATTTAAAAACAAGTTCCTCAAATCCCAATTATTCATCAGTCTCAAATTATTGAGTTAGGCAAATTGTTTTTATTGAACAAATGTGATAAAAAATATCTGTATTGATGGAAGCACTCGCACAGAAAAGGCTGCTAAAAGAAAAGCCAAGCAAAGGTCAGAGAGGGAAAGCTCTTTGGCCTTTTGCTAGATATGCATTCTTTCTTTCTTTAATTGCAATTCATATAATTATTATATACATTAGACTTCAAAATACTTGAGTCTTTCAGCACAGCCCTGAATAAACATGTTGAAAAAAATGAATATACAATTTATATTTAAGAATCTATTTAGTGACAGTAAATTATTAGTAATGTAACATTTGTATTTACATTATAAAATATATTTGAATTTTTTATTCAATGAATCAAAAGAAATGCATAAGCCAATATTTGTAAAAACAATGTTGTTGTGGTATGAAACCTCAAGCAATAAGGTTACTTGAGGCCAATTTTCACATCATTTTAATTTATGCTCATTGTTTAATACCCAGTGAGATGGAAGTTACTCAAAGATACAGGTAATGAGCATTGCAAGGTCATTGCAATGGATGTCTACCTATATTGCATCAATTCGCTACACAATTAATTTGCATAAAAATTGCCTAATTTCCTGGGGGTTTTTGCATGCCTGTTACAAATTGCTGAACCACTTTACTGATTGAATCCCAATTAATGAGTGCATCCAATGAAAGTTGAAAGCAGATTAGGCCATTTAAGGCATTCAGACATCAGATAAATTCAGACACTGTGTACAATAATTCATTTTATTACAATGTAAAAATTCAAACAAATAACAATTACTCTTGCATTATGCACATACATATACATTACTCTTGCATTTTGTTCTTGGTTACAGTTGCAAACCACCAAACTAACAAAGCTGCTGTAACTGCAATGAATTCGGTTTGCACCCACAGGCCTTCGCGACCTGCAGCCTAAAATAATCATAAAATAAGCACTGTTAGTGTTGACAAAAAGAAATGAATAATTTTATTATAAAGCAGGAATGTAATAAATAAAAATTAAATCTAAAATCTACCTTGTGGTTCAATGTTACAGTGAACAAAGGCTTTTGTTCAAACTTTTCTTCAGAGCGTTGTGCCTATCATGAAACAAGTAATTGTTATGATTTTGGTTGTTTTATTAATATATTCTAGGAATAGAATCATGTCATTCAATGCAACAATAATCACCTTTCTCAAAGCAGCGTATCCTTCTTCGTCATAGTAGTTAATTACATAAGATCCTGATTTAGCTGCTTTGTGTGACTTTACCCAACTGAACTATGGATAAGGAAAATTAGAAAAACATGTTAATTAGAGTAATATATTTAAGATGTAGTAGTACTAAAATTCACACATTATGTTGCTAGTCAGAGATAAGGAGGAAATTTTGGAGTAACTACAGTTAAAAATTACAATGAATTTTGGTTTTCTTCTGATGTGAAATTTCATCTAATTTTGTCTTCAGACAATACAAACATATTTGTATAATCATCCTGATTCATTGGATTGACAGATTATATATGTTGGTCATCATTAGACAAAAGTGATTGCTGAACTATCCAGATTAGTTTGCCTAGAATGATTGATTACTTTATATAGGGTGTGAAACTGCATATCTATTTAAAACAACACTCAAGGTAATACCTGATGTACAGAATTGTCTGCTGACTTTGGTACAGGATATAAATTCCCATCAATTTCAGCATAAAGGAACATATTCTAAAAAGTTTTATAATATCAGCATTGTAAAATGGCAAAACAAATATTACAAGACCTTCTCAGTATAGAAAACACATTGCCTTCTCAGAACTTCTTAGAGGATATTTGATCATAAATAGCAAATTTCACTAAATATTAATTCATCATTGAAGGAAAGCATCATCAGTACATATGCTATTTACGCAATGTCACTCTACTTATATATAAGTATAAAACACTAGTAACAAATATCCCAATTCATTTGCTTCTCCAAACATTTTTGCAGTACTCTTTAGCAAAGCACATCTTTAGAAAATACCCTCTAGAATGGTGACATTCACAAATGCACCAAATCTGGATACATCTAATCAAAGGTACTTTACAAAGAGCTCACCAAAGACCCACCCAACAAAGCTGACTTTTATTATATAAGCCCGATTGAACTCAAGGAACTGAAAACCCATTTAACTCACAGATTCAAGGAACTGAAGACATAGGACCCACTGAGCTCAAGAAAGTGAAAACCCAATCATAATTTTGAACCTGCAATTCTCTGATGTTTGCAGACACAAATCAATCCTGATACATGTAGACATGGTTGAAATGAAACATTGGACTATTTGGTTTGTGTTGTTTTTGTATCACCCAAATATATCTCGAACAATATTTATTTTTTCCATGTGTTGTCAGCCACCTTAATTAAACAAATGGATATTCCATGGAGAAATAATGGTGAAGCAATTGATGAGTAGGAAATGATAATAGTAAAACCTCACCTTAGGGTTATTGCTACATTTTACAGTAGATTCTACCAGAAAAACAGATTCGGTTGCTAGCAACACATTTGAGGTTGAGTAGATCTTTGATGTTGCCTGCACATCAACGCATGGCTCAGCTATAAAAATAAAAACATTAGAATGAAAACAATCTAATAAACAAAATCTATAGCTTCTCCTGACATTCCTTTATAACTTTTTATCTTATACATGTCTTCCATTCAATACATAAAATTATCCCGATTGATTTTTAGTCGAGGCAAGCATGATCATATGAACAAGCTTTTAAAGCAACTGTTGAAATGCAATAGGGAAAATCTGGACAAAGTTAACCACATGGCACTATGGCTAGTCTTGAGATTCAAACGTGTATATTAGCTTAAAAAGTCCCAAAAACGGCCCATAATATCAAAACATCATATATTCTAATACATTTGAAGAAATTATAAAGATATGATTAATAATATTTACCTGAAATAACAACTAGAAATGATAAAAAGAGAGACGAAACGACACAGAAATGCCACGACATCTTTCCAGGGAGAAAAAGGAACGCATGCTCCAAGGCATTGTTCTTTTAATGCGACATCTCACTAAATACCATACTTCAGAAGTCGATTGAATTAAACTCATTTATATGTGAAAAGGTAATAATGCGAGGGGCAGACCAGGCAGTTGGTCGAGGGCGCCGAACCAACCCCGTATCCTGGGGCAGTGAGGTAGATACAGTAGTGCATTTTTAAAATACGAAGATGATAACAGTGGTGCAGTGCCTTTTTTAACAATAAACGCAGATAGAGTGAAAGTGCTTCCCGTTGTTCCCCTCTTCCCTCACGAATTTGCCTTCCAATGAGGTCCCCTGAAAATCAGTTTCACGAGTGAAAATCAGTTTCCCTTCAGGGCCTTCTCTTGGAATTTCCCTTGGAACAAGTTTCAACTTCAAAATCAGAATTCACATAAATGGGTCTGCCCATAATTTTGATTACTCTTCGTCAAAACGATGGGCTTTTAGTCTCAAAACCATCTTTCTTCCAGTGGTATGAGATACTCAGAACAAGCGAACAATAAACGGAGGAACCCTTACAGTCATTATAATATTTACATTTGCAGATTACAAAAGCAGTCAGTCACTAGTGGCGATTTAGGGTCTCCAAAGTCCCAAGTATGTCACTGTGACTATGCCTATGTGTATTCTATTACCTGTGGTAAGAAGGGGGCAGGGGCTACCTTCTTTGTGCCCTTTGGTTACTCTGGGCTAAGCTCGTAATAATTAAAGTTTGACACAAACATGAGTAGTTTTTTCTCTGATACAGCCATATAGCTGACAATTCCTTACATAGGAATGCAGTACGCAATTTATCTACATTATCTACAATGTCAATGGCAAAAAGGATTAAAAAACAAAATTAAACATAACTAATAACTATATAATATAATTAAAATCTATATATAAGTTTAACCGCTTAATGTGTAAAGTGGTAAACTGAAGGGCCATTCGTGGTGTTAGTTGAAAGAGAAAATAAAATTTGTGTAACCATGTTATCACCACACTGTGATCAAGATAAATTATTGTAACAACTTTGTTGGTAGATTTGTTTCACTGTTTCTGATATGTTCCTCCAAGCTATCAGTGAAGTTGACCAAACCTCAAGTATAACTTTCTTAAAAATATGCGAAAACTGAAGCGGGGCTAAACTCTCATGCAACTGTTGTTGTTTTTTTACTGAAGTGAACTGTCATTAACGACATAACGTAAATAAAAGGTATAAAACAATGAACTTTACTCACAAGCGAGTTAACGGATAACAAGAATGGCCCTTCCATGCTATATTTCCATGGGAACGTCTACTGGGCAACAGTACTGTACGGAACGTACGCTATATAACTGATTCTATATATAATAAAATTCTTGTAAAGAGAACAGATGTTCATTTTGAACCGTTACATATAGAAAATGAACGAATATAATAAATGTGGAGAAGTTCTTTTACACTTCAGTGATGTTTATTTGCTGATCTTTTTCATTCAGCATTTGCTTCCTTAGCAGGAACCTGAAAAAAGAATAACTTCCATGCAATACTTGCATGATAGGCTGATAGCTTGTTTTCTTAATTGATACAGTATGCATCATAATTTCAAGGTGACTATTGATTTCCCTGCATTCTCATTGGTCAACAGGTCAAGACTCACTGTCTCTTAAGTGATAGTCACTGGTTGGTCACTATAGCTTTTTGTTCACACAATCCCATTTTGTTTGATCCAATTCACTTCTGATGGATGTTTTATAGTCTGTTGTCTTGTAATGTATATGAGCAGCAAATCCACTAAAGCCAATGCAATACTGCTTTACCAATAACTGACTATATTTCATATGTCAGAGGTGAGTTGGATCCAACAAAATTGGATTGTGTGAACAGACCTTTACTGTACTTACAGGATCTGGATTTTTCTTTGGTCGTCCCCTAGGTCTTTTTGGACCAGTTGGTTTTTCTACCGGTGGCTATGTTAAGTAAAAGAAAACAAAAGGTAAGAATGATGAGGAAGTCAAGTCTTCGTCACTAAAGCATGAAAAAAATAATGGTTTCAGGATATTACCCATTTCTTTGGTCTCCCTCTGGGTCGTTTTGGTCCTGGTTCATCCTCTGGCTTTTCCTATATATTATTATTACTACCATCAGAAATTATTCATCACAAAGCTAATACAAAACCAGGATAGACATTACAATACTCAAGGATAAAATACCATTCTATTAAATTTATATAGATAAAATAAGGTCAAGGATCATGCAGTTGTATCAAGGACAAGTTTAATTAATTGATAAAGAAATTACTAAGATATCTTAATTGAAAAGTAAACAGTTTAGGTTGATAGCCTAGAGTAGCTCATTCTGTTTATGATTTTGCTATCAGGTACTACAACTGTTTTATATTACCAATTTCCTAGGTCTTCCTCGTGATCGTTTAGGCACAGGATCTTCATCCTCAGATTTCTCCTAAAATTGAATATGTGTACACTTATCCTATAAACTCTAATAAGCAATCTGGGGTCCATGTAACTTTGTTTTTGTTCCAACAATTCTAACCCACTTGAGATCATCTTACCGAAAATTAAATAAACAATGTTTATTCACTATGTTTATTCCTAAAGTTGTAAAATACTGTTATTCGTTTCTTTAGAAATTCATTGTTTTAACATTCAATAAACACCAAAATATTAGCATGGTGGGACAAATTGTCAGCCTGGCTACGCTACTGAATGGAAACCATTCAATGAATTTGTAATTCACAGTTTACTGTTTCAATCACTTGTCTGGTGAAAAACTCTTAAACACAAAAATTATCTTGGAAAGAGAAAACATAACTTACAAATTTCAACAGACATTGTTTTGCAACCAATCTTTATTAGCACCCTTTCACCAAAATCTGCCCCCTTTCCCCTTGCATTGTTCCAAGGTCCTTAGATGATCTGCACACTTTTGTAGTCTTGATTTTTTTTTAAACAGCTGTATCTTAAGCCCTGTTTACACTACGCGCAATATTTGGTACAACACAGCCATGCTTTTAATAAAAGTTGCGGCCACTTTTACAACTAGGTAGTCCGAGCATGGATGAAAATGGTATGGGTGCCAGTTTTACCCATACCATTTTTATCTGTATCATACTAAATATTCCATGTAGTGTAAACAGGGCTTTAAACTCTGTTTTCAAAATGTTCATTTTATAGTACCTGTGCCCAATTTTATCTATGCTCAGGTTGCCAATAGAAAAAACTGAGAAAGACAGCTGTTTGAATTTTGCTTCTGAATTTTAGGTGTTTTGCCAATAAACAAATCCTAGTGTAAACAGGATTCAATGGTACTATAAATATAGCAGCTACCTGCAAACCATTTGATACTGCTGTGATTTATCAGTTAATAAATCTTGGTGCATTAATACATTGTGCAGGCTTACTAAAACTTGTTAGCCCCAGGGAATATCTACTGAACAATGTCACTGACAAACTTAATAGCCCACTGTTGTGCAACATTATTATCTGTTTGTACATTTAGTCCGGAAATTCCATACTTGATGTGGAATAGGGGCATGTTCAATTTCATGTATGATTACAAACAAAATTTTTTCACATCACATTCCAGATGTACAGAAATCCATTCCTTCTCATTTAAATTAAAGGAAACGCTTATTGTTTTATTAACATAAGAAAACACCACGACGCTGCAAGGTGTTTTATTGTAGCAGCACGCGGAATATATTATCCGCTACGCAAACACATGAAATCTACTGAATACAGTTACACGTATTGAATTCTTGGTTAAGTTTTTGGTTTTTGAAGTTATCACTTTAGTCCTGATAAAATTAATATACGGTAAATTGTAACAAGTTGTGCAATTTCACGCACATTCGACTACATTCTGCATAAATTGAATTACGTTTTAATACAAAACAGCATGCATTTTTCTGTAGTATACAACAAACGACATACTTTTGTGGTTTTATTTTTGGAGCCTCTGGGTCTGCCAGGCGATCTTTTAACTTTTCGAGCTTCGGCTTCGTCTTCGTTCTCCTATATACGTCGAACATAACATTACAATTCCTCAGTAAAACATGCAACGTAATCGAAAGTTACAAATCAAAACAATGGCATTATCACGTGCTTTTGGTAACTGCTGTATAACATCGAAAGAATACATTTAATTAAAAACATGCTTTAAGAAAGACACATTTGCTTACTTCTTCGTCACCTTCTTCGTTTTCGTCAAGTTGTCTTTTTGTAGGAGATCCATCGCTATCGCTCGACGCCATATTTACAATTTTGCAAATTTAATACAATAAAGAAAACTAACGCTACTCAAACGCTACTCTATATCAGCGTCAAGGGCAGATATAATTGGTTTATATTGCAGCTACGTTAAACAGTTTAGTACCTGAATGAAAATAAATATTTTGAGCGCAATTTATCTGTTTAAAAGTCTCCAAAAGAAAATTTACACGTTTTGAACTATTAACGGTTCAGGTCAAAGGATTCGTTTTACAAACGCATCATTTTGCGATCAAATAAACCGACGTTAACTTAATCGTAAATCTGCATACATATGTCTCAATTACCGGAAATTCCAAACGAAAGTACGCCAATGGCAGGCGGGGATTGGTTCATAACATTGACATACCCAGATTTACATCACTGCAAATGTACTTTATTGGTTGCTGTAGTAGTGTGTAATTTGCAAAACAAATAGTTTTATTCGCACAACACTTACAGAGTCGCGGCGCTCGAATAGTAAGTTGTGATTGGGTGTTCCTAATTAGCAGTTGCAGTCAGTATACGTTACCAGAACACAGTAATTAGAACCACGAGTGATCTACCACTCAACTATCAAAAAGCAAGTACAAAAACGAAGCTCGATGTCTTGCCCCTCGTTAGATACAAAAAAGCTTACTTCCACATTTTTTTTGTTCAAAATAAAAGGATTTTCCATTTGGAAAAAGAAAGATACTTCTTTGGACATTGCAAAAACATAAACAGACGTAAAGCAACATCAAATGTGGTATAACAACTGCCTAAAATAGACAAAAACACTTCTCGACGTTTTGACCTGAGGGCCTTCGTCAGGAGAGTTAGTACTAATATCATAGGAATAATAGATATCTATTATTTCTACGGTTAGTATAGAGTCCCCTATGCTGAGGACGTGAAATTCAGTTCATTTATAAAATGATCCATTCCTTTGATTTATGACAGGAGAACCATCCCACTTGGTCTCTAATCCAACGGCCGAAATCCGAACTTAACCATTCAATTTAACTGACCAACCAACACATCATGATCAGCACCGACAACACGCGTCTCAGACTCTTTTAGGTCTTGTGTGATCATCCTGTCAGTATCCAGTGAGTGAAATGTGTGCAATGATTTTCTGTCAGTGTATTCTCATTTCGCTCATATCAATATCATCGGGCTTCCTTAACCCCTTGTTCGATAATGGGTAGTAAAGATACCATAATGCCATCATGCCTGTGTGGATCATTCTGAAGCTGACTAACAGTGTTGCCAAGTCAGTTTTCCTAAAAATCCCAATATAGCTCCCAAAAAATCCCAAGATTCCCTATTTTCCCCCCAAAAAATCCCAAGATTTTTTTCATTAGTTCCCAGGTCCCCTCATCAGGCGAAGTGTTCAGCCATGCGCGTTAACCGAAGCCTGGCGAAATACTTGGTCTTGTATAAACGATAGGAAGAAACCTTCTCACTGATCTCAGCACTTAACTGCTGTATACTCTGTATGGTATATTAAAATATTTAGTGAATAACAGTTATACCGAGCAGGCAGATTAATCAGTATTACAACTATCATTATTAAAACATTATCTTGTCTCTATTCTAAAAAATCCCAAGAAAAATCCCAAGGTCTAATTAAAAAAATAAAAATCCCAAAAAAATCCCAACAGCCTTAAAAAATCCCAAGATCTTGGGATAAAATCCCAAGGTTGGCAACACTGCTGACTAAACTCAGTAAACTGGCTAGGGTCACCTATGCTGCACCGGATGAATGAACTTTGTACACCATGCTCGTGATTCGTGGTGAAACCCCCGTTTAAAACTGGCAACAGAATGAAACTTTTCATTCCGTTATTATGGCTCAGGTTTATATTATGGAAGGAAAAACACAAAGAAATGTAACATTGACAAGGTTTCTACTCTCTGGGACTTCTACGATAGCTGCAGTTTGCGGTGAGCAAATATAAATGTGTAATTTAACAGGCGAACAGAACTGTCAGCATGTCCACTGCGAGTAATTTGATAATTTTCGACATAAATGTTGTCCATACTATAAACAAACATTACTACTTAATAGAATATCAGATAAAAGACTTGGCAAAAGAAAAGTCACTTTAGTTTTTTTGACTGTACAACATTAATTCAGAGTCATTTTAATAATATTTTAAATTGATATTACATGTGAAATATATTTAAAAATATATACGCGCACAGGTTTTTCAAACGAAAAAGCGTTAAAATGCCATCAGTTTTAATGATCATTTGGTTTTGTTTTGTTTTGTTTTCCATGGGTTTAGAAAATTTATTACAGATTCTAACAGGTATTGTTTGTATAATACGGTTTGTTAAATACTTTTAATTATCATGAAAACAAATTTTAATCTCATATAAATAATGTATATATGATAAAATGCAAGTCAGCACAATTCCTGTCATAACCAAGAGATTTCAGACAATGTGATGACAGACAATTTCATTACAGTCAAATGGATATTACTCATGCACATAATTAGTTTGCCTATGTGTGGTCTGTGCAATTTTATGTTGCAATAAACTCTACTGTTAAAGAGTAAGAGTGCTCTTACACAATAACTAGCTGATCTGGGTATAAAAATCAACCAATCAGAAGCCAGATCTTCGACAAAACTAAATTATCATTTCCTTTATTGCATATGACTTTGACACTCAAAAATATCAAGTAATGTAATTATATTTAAGCGAAAACACGCTTATTTTTTCCCAACTGTAAATTAAAATTTTAAATTTCTCGCCCTTTATACTATTAGTTAAAAGAATAAAAACAAATAACACCAGGTGTATGATAACTCAGTTTTGTCGAGACGCCTTGTGACATCATGATCTCAGATCAGCTGGAAACTCTACTCATAAGGAGTAAAGTTGTCTTACTAATGCCTTAACAAATGCTTTTAGTTACCAATCCTATTGATGTGACCAAAATTCGCCTGCAACTAGACAATGAGTTGGTGACTACACAATATGGTTACACAAAGTCGAGCCGATATTACAATGGCTTCTTCCGTGGAGGTTTAAGAATATTTAAAGAGGAGGGCATAAGGGGATTATATAAAGGGTAAGTAACTTGGATAAACATATTAATAAAAAAAATTAGAATTGCATCAAACTACCAATGAAAGTATCCAGAAGTTATCAAACAATATAGTTATGTAGCTGTTCCAAAATGAAGGGTAGAACCATATTATTTTGACATAAATTTGTCTAGTATTGCAGCATCAATATTACGAGAGGCTTCATACAGTACCATACGTCTTGGTGCATATGAGCCATTTAAAGAACTGCTTGGTGCTCACAATCCTGCTAAGACACCATTGTGGAAGAAGATTGCTGCAGGAGCTATGTCAGGAGCAATTGGTAGTGCAGTAGCAAATCCAACAGACTTGGTTAAGATACGACTCCAAGCTGAGAAAACATTAAAACCTGGTTAGTATTCAAGTACTGCTGTACTCTTGATGTGGCAGACAATATTACTTGAAATATTGCTGACACAAATACTTCACGATAAAGTTGTGATTGTCCATGTTATTGAACATTTCTTTCTGTCTTTTCAAGGTGAGCAGCCACGTTATTCTGGCACATTATCAGCCTTTAAAATTATTGCAGCCAATGAAGGAGTAAAAGGACTGTGGCGAGGTGTTGGTGCAACTGTAAAGCGAGCTGCTATTGTTACTGGTACCCAAATACCATCCTATGACCATTTGAAACATAGTCTACTTAACTATGGTTTGATGTCTGAAGGATTAAGATTGCACATGGTTTCATCAATGGGTGCTGGACTTGCAGTTGCCTTGGTTAGCTCCCCTGTTGATGTCATAAAAACAAGAATCATGAACCAAAAAGTCGTCGACAAAAATGGGACCTTGTATCGCAGTGCTTTTGAGTGCCTGGGAAAAACATTAAAAACGGAGGGTCTCTTAGGCCTTTATAAAGGATTCTTGCCCAATTGGTTGAGAGCTGGCCCTCAGACTATGATTACATTCTGCATCTTTGAACAGCTGAGAAAACTATTTGATATTGCACCAGTGTGACATTGCTGTAATGAAAAAAAAACTTGAGATACAGCAGTATGTCATATAAAACACCTAAACTGATAGAAAACAAAAATTATATCACCTTAAGTAGGCTACACACAACAACCCTTATCTTTCGTAACTTAGTTTTTGTCGGATTCTATTTCAGATCAGTACCAAGCAAGCCAGGTAGTGATGTAAAATATATTAGTTTTGTGTTTCTGGTGGTGGTCAGTTTAATAATCATAGAGGAAGATAGTTGCTTTACCTTATTGATAATTTCAGGTTTACAAACTTTCTGCATGGTATGCTAACTCAAGAGCATCTGTGAAGGAGTTTTTATATAAAATAAAACTAAAAGCTGAAAGAGGGAAAAACCCCCATGGGGAAAAATAATTCACAATTCATGTGAACAGTACCTGATAAACCAATGTTGTAAATATTTGTGGGTAAAATAAAAATTGTACTAATATACATGAACAAATTATTGCCATCTCAATTCTGATTGGTTAAGAGAAGTGCAATTTAATATTAGGTAATGAATTCCCAATGACTGTGGTAATATAGTGCTCGCCGTGCCAAAAAGCTGATGTTGCATTTTTTTCACGTATATTTATAGAATGGTTGCTTGTGCAATTTGGAAAAACACTCGTGATTTTTTAAGTCGTCAAACTACAGTCATTAAAAAAATCGGTCATGTGCATGTCATGAAAAACCGACCGAAAAAAAAATTACAAGGAGACACCTTGACGACGCAGATTTTTAACACAATAAAGAATGTCCCTTCAAAGAATTAATGCAACCACTTTTTAAACAATTTTCAAATACATACATTCTGGTGAACTGTACATCCGCCACTTCTTCTGCAGAAAACCTTTTGAAAAACTCGCTTTTGCATTTTTCCAATTGCACCTAAAACCAACCTATGGCCATACAAACACGCTGTGTTTATTTATTTAAGTAATTGTGAGACGTTTATGTACATTTGACCCGATGTGTAGGGTATACTGTAGTGATATAAAACTGTTTATCAGTTATAACTATAAGGAAAATTTAGAGTTTCAAGTTAGGCTTTTTATTCAAAATTCGAAGTACTGCCGTCCCAAATTAAATACAGTTATGTTAAACTTACAGACCAGTATATAAAAAGTTCAAAAATAAATATACGTACAAAATGTACAAAAAACCTAGACAAATAAAATAGTGTTAAATACACATGCTAAAAAAATTCGCAAATTGCGGTTCGTGCATGATAAAACGGTATTCCGCTGGGTCAACAAGGTTATTGTTGCCAGTCAACTATAAATTAATTGTACTACAGATACACAAGGCAAGCAAGAGGTCTACGATGTATCTAGTTTAACCCAGAAAATTAGCCCTGGATAACGCTTCAGTGTGCATTTAACCGTTTCTAAGCGAACTTGTTATGAAATGTGGTATAACAACTGTCTGGAAAAAAACACTTCTTGACATTTTATGACTGTTATACCACATTTTTGAGAAGCTATATCCAGAATGTTATCAGCTATCTAACCTAACCTCGTACCCATGCCGGCTTCCCTACCAACCAATCACTGAAGTCAATACAGTTATGGGTAAACAAATCAGTGATTCACCAGTAATTATACACCATCCCATTTCTTCAGTAGTTCTGGTCCAGTCTCTTCCCACTCATCACGGGTGATGCAGAGATCCTGAAAGGTTTCGAGACTGGCCAAAACTGCTGCACCTATAAAGGCTGCAAATTGACGATCAGGGGCTGCATGGATCTAAAACAGATTTTGAAAATCATTTTGTTTATGCATAGATAATAAAATCACATAAAGTCTTTTAATCATCCATGGTTTATGCATGTTATATGTCAAAGAAAAAAAAACAGAGCATGCGCTCTAGCTATGTATGACTAGCTGTCTACCTGTATAACAAGCGATGACGGAAATTTTCTACGCAATTCAGTTTGTAATCTCTCCATAAATCCTGCAAAGACGAACAGCTCTGGGCCAGTTGTTCGAAAGGCGTTTAGCTTAAACGGTGGATAAGCCAACTTTCAAAAACACTCTCATAGATGTTGTGAATGATTGAGCCTGCATCTCATGCATTAAATATGTACTTCCATTGAAAATTAAACTATTTACATCGAAATATTTCAGCTCAGTTGTTCAATAAATAGATAATTTTGTTTCCCAATTTGAACTTATCCACCGTTTAACGCCTTTCGAACAACCGGTCCCCTGGTTTTTATCGTACTGATCAGTAATAGTGCATGGGTTTCTAAACCATTGACTCTAGAAGGTCTATACACAATATCAGTGGCCATCTCATCTCATCTTATCTTATTGCGTTACAATTTTCCAAAAGTAAAAGATACCTGGAATTTTTGTAGTAGCTCCGCTCAGGAAAATATTTCTTAAACAAATTAATCAGAAAAAAATTTACACATTGAAACGTTTTAAAGGTTTTTTCATATTTTTTCGTAAAAATTACAAACCTGCACAACTCTTTCCTGCTATCAATGCTACAAGCCATAACCGCGTCATAAACAAGGTCAGGAAGGCCTGGAGTATCTTTGCCCCACAGATCAGGTTGAAATAAACCCTCAAACGCTGTAAACCTTTCTTTAGCCACTGTTACAAACCTGAATAAAACAAAAAACAGGATCGCTAATAATCTTTGATAACTTTGGTGAATTGAAATGCATGGATACAATTCAACCTCTACACTACTCTGTGTTCCAGTGAACTGATGACGGTGTAATGAACTGGGCTACTGTACAGGCTACTGTAGCCACATTTTTACAAAAGCATTTTCACAAAAACACTTACTTGTCTCCACTTGGTAGATCAAATTCACTCATATCCACTGTCAGGCAATCGATCTCTGAAAACTCTTCCGTTTCTTTGGCAAAATCGGCGGAGACATAACACGTCTGAAAATTTAGACACCAAAGATTGATTGATATTTTAAGTGATACATAATATACAGTAATAAAATCATGAACAAGGTTCAAATACCTTGACTTTAAGATATTCAGCAATGTAACTTTCAACCTCAGTAAAGTACCTAGAGCAACAAAAAACCAAAACCTTAACTGAAAGGAATGATTTGAATGAGATCCAACTCCATGAAATTTGAATGTATTCAGAACGATTGCTTAGAGCCCAAAGTTATACATCGCCTCCATTCATTTCCATTACCTATAACCTGACGATGCCATCAGCCGAGAAAAATGATCAGTGGCAAGACCTCCGCCGAAAGGCAGACTCTTCACTCCTGATTCCACAACATAGCCTAGATAATGGAGTTTAAAATATTGAATACATATAAAGGTTTTCTCTATATTAATATTATCCCAAATCTTTCTGTAATCACCTTCTTCCACGGGTACAACATCGATATGATCCCCAATGTTAACTGAAAATAAAATATACTGCACTTTGAGGAGAATCACTTGATCAACATGCATAGTATGATTTTTAGCTTACAATGGATTTAACAAACAGGGATGTAGCTAGTAGCTATATTCATATATATTCATTTTGTATCCGACAGTCTTTGGTGGTTCTTACAGTAATGTGAACACAGACATATTATGATATTAATATAACTTCTCCTCATCTTAAATTAAGTGCTCAGGTTTCGCCCTGTTAATAATACGACATTTCAGAAAATACTGGAATCAGCTGTGCAAAATCAGTGGCGTCGCCAACATAAGTCATGGGGGGCGTATTTTGTAATTGTGTTTATTGATCGAAAATAAAAATCGACCTCACAAGAAATGAGTAGTATATGGAACGTGGAGTATATCAATACATTGGCCTATATATTTTACATAAATGAAGAAAAGCGTTAAATTTCCTTCCAGAAATAACCTTTCAAACGCACTCCTGCCGAAGGATGAGAAGAAAACCTGGGAAGATGTTTCGGTTTAATCATTTTTAAGCACACCTTACCTATGATTCCGCAAGTCGAACTGTAGGAATACATGGAAAGAATTGTTTGACATTTCATGTAGACTGCGCCAACTTGAAAATAATCAAATAAAATTTCCACCAGCCGTTCCTAAAAATTAAAGAAAAAATTTATTCCTCTAGACTTCACTTGATCACCCCAAGCAAGGAACGTGAACCAATCAAACCTGACAAGTCTATCAGATTAATCAATCACGAACGCTTTAGAATATTGCTGATTTGTGCCGTCAAAAATGGTGAAAACGACAATTACGACAAAATAAAAACTACATTTAAAGAATACTGTACATCTTCCAAGCGCTATTTTGTGGCAAGAGCTATTGCATGGGCCGTTGACACACAATCACATTTAAGGTCTAATCCGCAACCCTTACCTTGTCCTGATCTCTCAGGTTGACTGGAGTTGTCATCACAATCTAGAGTGGCATTAAACCGTGACAGAAAATAATCAAGGAATTGTGAACAAAACCGGGATACCATCATACGATATCATCAATTATCAGATACCGGCATACCTGATAATTATTTAGGTCAACTTGCAGCTCCTTAAATATAATCTCTAAAAATCCAATGAGATCATTTGGGTCCAGCAAAGACTATAGAAACAAACATATGATTTAGTTGTGACCACACTTTGAGTATATTGGAATGGTTCATATTTCATTTCCGTGCAATGTGACTGCGAAATCTAATTCTGAAGATACCTTTCCGATGGTAAGAGGTGAACGAAGGGGATACACAAGCCTCGCGGAATTTCTGACTAAAGGATTCAGAGCTTCATAACCGTAGAATCGATGTTTACTAATTTCATAGAAGAGAGTTAATTAGAAGGTAATTAAGAATCAATTACTAGATAAATATATCACTAATTGGCTGATTAAGTAGTTCGCTATCCAATCAATACATACCTATCGTCTCTATTTACAGCGTAAACTGAAGGCAATATAACTTGTGGCCAAGCTAAAAACAAGGGTGAAATTTAACATAAAATTAACCGTTGGTGGTGATGAAAAACGTTTACCTTGTTCTATCATCAATCTTTCACATCTTACTTTTTTCTAAAATATTTAGGCCGAATAAGGCCCGTTTTCCACTAGAACAGATAAAAAGTAGGAAGCGTTTCTACTTTTCGCGGCGAATTTTTTCGCAAACCAATCAAATCACAGGATTTATTTAAGATATCGCTTCGCGTCGCGCGAATAAATTCGCCTAGTGGAAAACGGGCATAAGGCGTCTCTTCTCATGAAACATACTTTGCTCTTCCAGAAATCCGGCTTTTATAGAAGATGAACCCAAGTCGATTATGATCATTGGTTTCTAAAAACAATGATAGGTGAGTATATATTGATATAAAGCAACCTTACTCTTATAATGAAGTATTGAAATTCCAATTATTTTCTAGCAAACCTTCTCTTGGACGAGTTCAAAATGTTGTTGTTTTATTTTAGTCTTGGCTTCACTTTCCAAGGCTCTTCTCCAATCTTGAAGTTCTGGCCATGTTCCACAGCGGATTATCAAAACTTTTCCTCCCTAAAACAACAAAGAGTAAACAATAAAATTATTGCCGTTCAGTGTGGAAGACATTTATCCGACCGGCATTTTCCTACCGACTCTTCGTCCTCCACTACTTCCAAGCATTTATTTCCCATCTCTGAAACCTGAAGTTGGAGATATTTCAGGCCGATTAGGATATACGAGGCCAAAAAAACGGGGATGCATCATTATTATTGATGAATAAATTGCTTGTATAGAAAGAGTGTGAATCAGGCCTGATATTCGAAATTTCTGCTCGGGACATTTTAAGCCTGTTTTCCACTTCAACCCTATCGTAGTGAACCGTAGCTTATTCCTTGTTTTTTAAGTCATTAGTTCTATCTGAGTGCCCAGGAAAGAATGATAAACTACGCTACGTGTCGCTATACGGTAGTAACGGTACGGTTGAAGTGGAAAACAGCCCTTACACGCAGTCTGTTGCATGCAATGAATCTTACTCAATCGTGCAATTTAGTCAACAAACTGGATGGCAAACTTGGGACAAGTCAGCGACAAATGCACCAAATCGTTCCCCGAACCATAAGACAAAACTAGCGCACGGCAATTCAGGTATACATCTCAGAAAACATTACCGTACAACCTCCTAGTTTGATGAAGCTGATCGGAGCAGCAGAACGATGATCCTGCGAAGAAATTACATACGACATACGGAAGTTGTCTGGAATAGTTTGAGACCAAAGGCAAAGGCATGCTGCCTCCTCTTTAGGGTGCAAAGCCTTACCGCGGGCTTGCATGTATATGCAAGAGTCATGCATGTATTACGTTACTCCAGGTGATGGGAAATTTGAAATGTGTCAATATAATAATATTATAAGAGCCAAAAACCATTTACCTCGAAATAGAACAGCTTTCCATTAAAGATTTTAAAATATCGCTTTCGCCAACTCTTTAGCAAGGTTGCCTAAAGTAAAGGATATAAAATCAATCTTGTGAGTTTACTAGCTAAGGTTTCTCGATAACACTGCTGTCACATTTTCCGAAGGCACAGTTTGTTTTGCTCTCAAAATTACAATAGTGTAGTTGAGTAATTCAACGGGAATGAAGAACGAGCAATTGCCTCATCAAGCGAATGAAATCTGATTGTCTTTTTACTCTGCAAGAAGTTGCAATAGAGATGGACAAAAAAATAGAACAAGAGCTTTCTCTGAGTTTCCAAACCATGTTTGGTTGACGACTATATCCCATGTAAAATGCATTTAAAATGACATTTTCTTACAGAAATCTAACCCTTCAGTTCAAGCTAATCACCTTCTTTTTGTTAACTGGCAGTTTTTCTAAGTAACCAGCCATATGTATCACTTCGTCATCTGATGTATCGAGCTGGAAACAAACCAAATTGTTATATAGGTGCAGTGTATTTTAAATGTGATTAGTTCATTCGTAGTCACATGAATTTAAATAAATGCAATGTTTCCCGCCAGGGAAAACGAAACTCACTATTTCCCTCGGAAGCATACACTAAGTGTATAATATCCTCAGTAGTTGCATGGTAGTGCATACATACAGTTATATAACAAATGTTGAGATCAACGAAGTAGTTCATTTCTACTCATTCTACCTGTCCAGTTTTAATTGGTTTCACTTTTCCAAGAATTCGCTTGATAAGCAAACTCTAAAAGGAAAAAAAAAACGAATAACGAATTTATACACTGACTCCGCAATCCAACTAGGATTTCATTATAGGAAATCATGGTTTCGAGAATCGCAAATTATGCTTTCACAGACACAGAAAAATTTTCTCAAACCGAGCTAAACGCATTAAAAACAATGGATAATCAGTTCAGATGTCTCGTTATCTATTGTTGTTAATGCAAGAAGATATGGAGAAGACGTGTCTTCATTGCTAAAACCTGTCTTATATTTGTGCATGTGTTGGTTAAGCATGAATTGCTTGCTGCATGCTATAGCTACGTTAGATCAAAACCCATATCAAAAGTTGACTAGCATTCTAGTAAATCCTCGTGAAACAAATTAACTCACTGGATCCCAACTCATTGTCTTCGTGTTACTCATAGATGATGTTACTTCTTCTTCCTTTTTCTGAAAAATGGATTTTTTTTCAAATATCAGCAAATGGTATGGACTGACGAAAAATGGAACTTACAGAAGGTGAAAAAACTTTGATGAAGCAAGATAGAGCGTTGTACTGGTCGAGGTATTCAGAACCTGAATTATAAATTATTATAACGTCTTTGGCCAAACCGACAAAACCCATAAGAAATAAGAATTCACTCTGGTAATCTAGGCCAAAGCCAGGCTTGTGACATAACAACCTGGCTAAATTCACAAGCCATCAGGGGCAAGTTGTTCAAAGCTAAGTTAGCGCTAACATTGTATATGGATAACTTTTAATCCACTGTTTTGGTATAAGTGCTTCTGAACGTTCGTTCGTTTTAAAACCTTTACAAAATATAGCTTTTGTCGGTCGTTCCAAGCTAACCAGCTTTTTAACAACCGGCCCTTGGCCTATACTACATGCAGGGTCCGGGTGCCGGGTCACCATCATGTGATGAAAATAAAATATTATATAATTTGTTAATTGATAGCCGACCTTTTCAACAAACTTCGAAGCATTGTATTCAGCATAATTTACTTCATCAACAACGCTGGACTGCAATACTTCAACTGTAACTTTCTCTTCCACAGGTTCAAGATGATGCCTACTGCTCACGTGAGATGCTTCTCTGTCGTTTTGTGAAGACTTTGAAACGTTTAAAAATAACTGCACACTTGTGTCTTCTCGCCTTGGCTCAATGGAATGTTGCTCAGAATTATTAACTTTTCCTTCATTTGTATTTTCAAAGTCAGTTTTCATCCTTTTGCAATTATCTGACTCGATCAAAGACAAGGTTTCCGAAAGTGTTTCATCTGTAACGGTCTTATTCATCTCGTCCTTTCGGGTTTCTGAAACGCTTGTTGTAAATCCCGTTTGAGGACTTTCCACAACTTGATTTTCCTGAAGAGAGTTTGTAGCAATACGCGCGCTGGCCTCAGCTTCTAGCAAAAGTTTATCTTCATTTAAAAGTTGAGAACCATTGGCCGTATCAGAACCATTAAAACCTTGTTCATCGGGGTTTTCCGATTGGTGATTTTCAATTCCGTCGATGGCGTCTTGAAAATGCCGATTATTCTCATTGACGTTATTCGATCGTTCGAAATCAACATTTTCCTGGGAGGTTTTTTCAAGGCCGTTCAAATTTTCGTAATTGGTACTTGTGAGGTTTTCAGATTTTACTATGGTCGTGATTTCATCCGAATGGTTCTCTGTTTGTTGTGTGATTGTTCCGTTAGGGCAAGGATCGCTTACAGAGTCTCGACTAATATCTTTTTCCGTGCTAGTTGACCAACGAGGCAATTGCATATTCGCGTCTCCACATCTCTGTTGAATTTGCTGTGAATTATAATCAGATTTCGTTGTGATGCAGATTTGAAATGCTGGCTTTTAAAAGGGGCACAGTTGCATAGGCAGAGATCATGGAAGCATTGGGGGGAGGACTAGAGCTTAGACTAGACTAGACTAGACAGGTTAGATTAGACAGTCCATTATGAACCATTATGTATCCAGATTTGCCAACTTTAGTAACTTACTCTGACTAAGCACAAAATTGGCTGTAAAAATTATAACAGAACTATCTGCCAATTTCTATTGTTGCATTATTTTGCAGTGCACGTTCTGGTGAATCTTACTTCATGGCCAAGCCGGGATCGAAAAATGCAATATTTTACATCCAAAAGCCGAAATCTAACTTCAGTCTCTGCTATAGCAGTCGAGGGATGGTCAATGGGATGGTCTCTCCACTAGGTTACGAAGAACACTGCTTGTGTTAAGTGTAATAGAAAAATCTGAACATTGATACTTGAATATTGAACTTTAATTGTTACAATTTATACGACATATTGGATGTTACGCAGAATTACCTTTGTTAAACATCGTACAGCTCGGCTTCTTAACATTGCCAGTTTGTTCTGAGCTGTAAGTAGCTTATCTGTAATAGTATTGTACTCTGATGTTTGCTCATCATATCTATAATATATCATAGGTTATCAACTGCTATCAATCTTAATCCACATGTAACGTTAAAAGGGGTTCAACTCTCACTGTGAGTGTCACATAATTGAGGCACCTGAAACTCATTGCAAAAGTCATTATTTTATCTTTATCATTATGTTCAGGTATATAGAAATTTGTGCACAAGCTCATTTGCAGCGAACATATTGATGCTAAGCAGGTGCAGTACAAGACAAGGGGTGCTGGTAATACTAATTAGATGGTTAAAGATTTGGAGAATTATGAAACAAATTTAGTACCTAATTATGAATATAATTTTGGTGTAATTGGAATATTTTGGAGTTTATCTGTTGGCTCTTATACTCCAAGTAATACAAAATATAGTTATTATCATTTCTCATTTCCCTAACAGTCAAGTATTTTCTGACTAGAAAGTAATAGACTGGAGTAGAAAATCAGTTGAGTGTGTTTTTCAATTCCTGCTGACTGGCAGGGAGATATGGAGTAATGAATTTGACAGCATGGTTTTATGCATGATTTTCGTGGGTGATATTCATGAACTCAAGAACTCTTAGTCCACTCTTATAAACACTTGTATATATAATCATAACCTACTTGTGTAAATCTTGTAAATGTGTCAGACCCTGGATAATCTCTTGTTGTAAATCGATGTGTCTTTCCAGTAAATATATACATGTCTGTAGATCCTACATTTTATACAATAATGTAATATACCATAAAACAAATCAAACCATAGATACAATATATTAAAAGAGCATTTGAATAAGTCTGCAAAGACCTTAACAGAATGTTTTTTGTCCAATAGACTTTCAAATTCCTCATCATTGCAGTACACAACTGCTTCCTGGTTTGTGAATGGTAGAACAACATCTAAAAATTTAACAACAGTCAGCAGAAAAGATCTGAATCTCTTAGGTGTAAGGATACACTTATATACACTAAAGCCACTTTAGACCTAGCTGTCACAAAACAGAATGAAATATTCAAATTTTATGGGCATGCATACATGAATTGTGAACATACCAAGAGAATGTCGGTACGTTTTCCTCAGCTTATCTGTATAACTTTGAATGTCATCCATTAATTGCACTGTAGAAAATTGAGCAAGAACTACACATGACATTGTATAGTTTTATGCACTAAGGGTATATATATATATGAAGGGGATGTGCTAAATTAGGACCAAACTTTGCTAACCTAATCTGCAAAACAGCATTGGCTAAAACCACAATGAACAATGATCAGGTGAGACCCTGATTAAGAAATTATCATACTTTTAAAATTAATCACCTAAATTTTTTGTTTTCTAGCTTACCATTAAGTGTATTTGGGTAAGCAAAGTTGAATTAAAATATTTATTTCCTATCAACTATCGTGCATCAATGCACACCATAAATAACATTCAGTTTTTCACTTACCTTTAATCGTCAATTTCACCAAAAATCGAACAAAACTTCGAAAACAACATTTACAGAAGCCAAGACACTAGGCAAGTGAAATATAATGAATAACAGTTAATACTAAAACTCCAGTTTCTCACAATTGTATACCTTAAACTGAAAAGACCAGGAAATTGGCACAAAGAACGGGCAAATTTTAATTACAATGACATAATATTAATATCTGGAACAACAACCGAAGTTTAATCTAAAATTATTTGAAAAATTGGTTCATATAAAGCTCGTGAATAAATGGCATTGTGAAATTCACATTTACTGTAATAAAAAATTTAAGACAGATAATACAAGTTTACTTGAAAATGAGAAATCTGATTCATAAAATTATATATGCCGTTGACAAGTTATAACGTATTATAAAACCCAGAGAGGAAACCGGAAATATGATATTGATATAATCTAAAGTGTTAAATATCTGTTTTGTTTAACAAAAAAAAAATATTATGGTATTTTTATTAAACTCCATTACGAGAGAAAAACTACAATCGAATTTAGACGAAATCATGATACTGACGATAGTGTTGTGTTAAAATAAAATGAACATTCACATAAAATGAGCTGAATTCAGTCAATTCACTTATGGCTATAAATAATACTGAAAGTTTCGATCACAGAACATATTTGAAGTGCTATATGAGTATATAAAATTCGACTAGCCAGTCTAGCTGGGTTTTAAAAACCTCACTCAACCATCCTGGATTTAAAAAAGGGTAACATTTCGTTCTGTTTATAAAGTCACAGAGCATCTGTGTTCTCTAATCACTATGCGTGGTCCATCGTCCACCAGCATCAACACCCTGAGTTATATGCACTAGATAATACTATTAGATCTCGTATAGCTTTCAATTGATCTTCAATAGTATTATTTTATTGGTACTTGAGAAAGGTATGAAAAATATTTGAACTCTTATTTAAATATGAAGTATCTTTATACTTTTACTTACAATTTGAGCCTGTTAATTTTGATTCAATGGTCATCAGCTCAGGAGTCAGGATTCTCTATATAGAGTACGGTGTACACAAAACATAAATACCCACATACGTGCCTAAAAATATTTGTATATATAATACGGTATAATAACCGAGGAACTTTAGTCCTGTTTCAGGAAAACTTTATATAACAATGCTTCTTTCCTCGTTACATTGATTAAATTCGCGAAGTAAATATGCATTATATCATGCTCGAAATGATGTAGCCATATTTGTACATGAAGATCGCCATCTGATGTATGTTTTTTTAAACAGGATACGATTCCAGGAATTGCACCAGGCAAGCCTTATTGTAGGCTAATCAGTAATAACGTATATCTATGGATAGCCCACTGGGATAGCCCTAGTAGTGTCTCTATGGGTGAGGGGGAGGCTCATGGCCAAGGGGGCGTTCATGGCGGCCCTTTTTAAAGCTTCCATTACAAATCTGCTTTTGATCATTCTGGAAATGCGACCAATCAGCTTCAGAAATAGCACAAGCGTACGATGAAAAACTCAGACACCAGAATTATGTAACGAACTAAACGAAGAGAAAACGAAGTTCAACTGCCGATGATTTGCAAGTGCCACTAGTTGAAGTATAAAATGCCGAGATTGCCTTCGCCTCAGTCATTCCGGTCTCCAAAATCTCAACCTTATTAGTGCTTGTTCCCATAAATATTAAGTGTAATTTTTTATCCACATTTGTTTCCTTCATGTACAAACTACGAGAGCAAAAGGCATAGCAAAGGCAGTGTAAAATAACGAAGACGAATATTTGTAATCGCCTGACTGGACTTTCCTAGAATTTCCAGGGTTTTCCCCGTATTTATACATGATACATGATATATGTTACAAATCAAAATAGTATTTTTCGTATTATAAACAATACTGAGACAGTGTGCAAAGAATTACTTATAAACATAACGAAATGTCGCTCTGCACAAGAAAAAGCGAGGAATATAAAAATAGCGACTCTGTTGAGGTAGCGCTGCCGCCCGAACTAAAGTGGAATTTACCGAGTAGAGAGGAAATTGGAGTAAATCGTTGTGAAATACAGTCGCCGACTCATGTTTTTTTAATAACAGTAAATGATGATTAATTCAATGCTTGTTATTCATATATAACTTCAGTTCGAAGAAGCTATAATAAGGATCTGGGTTGTGTTGATTTTGGTGAATTTGGTAATCAGAATGTAAAAGTTGCATTAATGAGATGTGCAGAGGGGCCAATAGACGCTGTGATTGCTGTAAAGAATGCTGTTGATATTTTGAACCCAAAAGTTGTCCTATTTGTCGGAATTTGTGCTTCGATGAAACCAGAAAAGGTAAAACTTGGCGATGTCGTGATTTCCGCGAAATTGGGAACTTATGCCGAGGAAGAAATCAGGCAGGATGGCACGGATGAATGGCGAGGTGTTAAAGCCAACATAAGTAAAAATATGTCTCGTCTTGAACCCAGACAGTTTAAAAGTCGAAGTTCATCGTAATGCTGTCATGTTAAGCGACCCGGAGTTGGTTAATAATCTAAAAAGACGCCAAGAGATGCTGAATTATTTTAAAGATTCGCTCGGTCTAGAAATGGAGGGTGTGGGTAAGAGAAACGCTCCCCCCTGCTTCAGATGAGGCACGTATTTTGTAAAGCGGCTAGTTCCCCATTTTCACTAATACGTTTGTTTGTGAAAGCTTTCACTTTTAACACAAAGTGTGGTCTTAAGGTCTGTTCACACGATCCAATTTTGTCGGATCCAATTCACTTCTGATGGAATGGATGTTTTATAGTCTGTTGCGTATGTGGACAGCAAATCAACTAAAGCCAATGCAGTACTGCTTTATAAATCAAAAGCTACATTCCATACGTAAGAAAGTACGTCAGGAGTGAATTGGATCCGACAAAGTTGGATCATGTGAACGGGCCTTTAGATATCTCTTTCTCATGCGCGAAATATTTTATTTCTCTTCTTTTCAACCACTTATCACTCCTCCCTCCTGGTAATCAAACACCGGTCCGCGAATTTCGAAAGAAACGTGCAGTTTAGTAACTGTCCTAAGCTACAAAGGAGAAAAACTGGTCACGGAAGATCTCAAGCTATGTTTAATCCAACAAGTGACAATCATGCACTCATGCAGGTTTTCAGAGTAAGCGGCATGCATGTGGCCAATCTTAGCAAGCCAATATACACCACCATGCATAACTTCTTTTGGAGATTAAACTAATGAAAAAAGAAGTTGCCATTCGGTCTACACGATAAATTTCAATAATGAGGATTTTTTGTATATACTTATAAAATATAGGTCTCTATGCAGCGGCGTATAATCTTGGCATTGAATGGGCTGTTGTCAAGGGAGTGTCAAGTTTTGCAGATGGAAATGTGGAGACCAAAAAATGGAAGCAATTTGCAAGTGTAATGGCCGCATCTGTTGTTTATAACATGTTTAAATATCCAAATGTTTCACAAAGTTGGTGCCACAAACAGCTGGAACCGCTATAAGAGGTATGGAATATACTAATTGCATAGATGTATTAAACAGTGGCACGCCTTTTACTAGAGACGTACGGATGATCCGTCTGTCTAGTAGAAATCAGCAATCCAATCATCATTAAGATAGTCATGTTCATAGAATAATTAATTATGCATAAGAGCGTTTTAGGCTAAGTAATTTCCTTGTTTTCACTGTCTCGCAATATAGTCAGCTATACGCTTTAATAGTGCGAGGGCATAGCAACAATAAACCGTTGAAATAAGCCGCTAAAAATACTGTTGAATTGTTCATATATAGCTGTTGTCAGGCCATCAGTTGATCAAATGGATAGAAGAACAGCAAGATGTTCTATAGACGAATTTCTCCGACAAAGGAATTTTGGCGATAGCGGCCAGGTGGGTCGCAATAATTCAGGGGTCTGTGGGTGAACGTTGTTCTATATCCTAATGCATTTCTTTGATTTTAGTTTAAATGTGAAGATCGTTGGATCAAGTACGAATTACACAGAAGGGTGCTGAACGACTAATTCGACCATGGTCGTATTCGCCGGAAAACGACTAATTCGACCATGGTCGTATTCGCCGGAAAACGCGCGACTAAGTCGACCATGGTCGTATTCGCCGGAAAACGACTAATTCGACCATAGTCGTAATCGCCGGAAAACGACTAATTCGACCATGGTCGTATTCGCCGGAAAACGACTAATTCGACCATGGTCGTATTCGCCGGAACTGAAGGTGGTCTTGGGTATTTGAAGCAAAGATAACCGATATACTTACAGGAACCACTGTAACCAAGGCAAAATTATTTTCAGGAAAAAAACGATGCAGTAAAATACACAGTAAAAGCTCTTCTGGAAAAACTTCAAACAGAGAACCTCTAAGACTAATTTTATATACAGGGCATATATACAATTTCTTCAGCATACACCTTTGAAACTAAGTCAAATTCGAAATATTAAATATTCAAAAACCAAGGACAAGGGAATTTAGGCAGAACCATATTTTTTAGCACGATTCTTAATTGTTTTCGCTGTGGGTTTAACCAAAAGTTTCTGTCCGTTCTGATGGAACAGGAAAAAGAGAAAAACGGTTCAAAAATGTTTGATGGGCATACCACACTCGTAGTGCAAGGACTGGTTTTAAAAAAGCCAACATCATGAGAGTAAAGTCTAAAATATTGAATAAAGATTATAATGTTGTACTAGTTCGGGTTATAGAAGCCCACACTACACGGCTAAGTTTGCCGCCTGCATCAATTTCGTCCGTGCTCGGTCTTCGTATTGGTAAGCTGCACAAGGATAAAATTGGCTACAAGTAGCAATTTTAGCCTGCGGTGCCGATAAATTGAGTCTAGTGAAGAAAGGGTCTAGTCTAGTATAGTCAGATACGTGGCTATTCCTTTATCCTGTTATAAATTTTGCTGAAGGTTTGGAAATACGTGATAAAATACAAGTGTGGAAATAATATCTTGATTTATCAGTTTCCTGGAATTTCCCCCCGATTCTCTTGGTCATGTGAACGTCTGTGTAAATATAACCATGTGTGAAAATAACAGTAACTGCATGTCTTATTTTTCGATTAAAAAATTTCAATTCAATTAAACAAAATCATAGGACAAGTCACACTCAGCCTTGTATATCACTTTATTCGTTCATTATATTATCATTTGTATAGTTTATTCATCTGCATTAATTTGCCCTTACTTACCAATGTGAAATTTAACGCCTACAAAAACGCATCGGCTTGAATTACTAAGAATTGCTGAACATTTGACATCTTTGCAAATTTATTCAACTTTAAATTGAATTTTGATGTGTTACATCGGTTTCGTGGTTTCACGCTGTGACATATTTTCCAGTGATATTTTCCTGGTTCCGGTTGCACGAACATAGTGTGGTTTGAAACAGTTGAGACAAAATTTCACCGACAAAAAAATGTCGTCTCATGCTCAGAATCCAAACGAAAGACGTGAAAACAATAATGTTTTCGTTCCACCTGAACTAAGTATCAACCTTCCAAAGCAGAAAGACATCGGGAAAATGCGCAGAGATTGGGCAAGTATCGAACCAGAGCTACCAATCGATATTCTCCTAGTCACAGTCAAGGATCATGAATTTGTTAACTGTTATTATTATCTTGAAAATAAGAAGCGAAGCTGGTGTCATGGTTTAGGTATGGTTGATCTAGGGACGTTTGGTGATGGAGCGGTAAGTTTCAGCGTAAAATAATAAGATTTGAATTATATGTACATATAGGATTGATTCATTATTTCAATTTTCAATCGTATAATTTAAATTTTTGTGACTAATTATCATTGCAATTGACCGAAACGAAAAAGATGGCGGCATGTACATTTTACCAGAATGCATTGCGGGCATTAAGAATGATTGACTGAAAAAAGATGGCAAGAAAAACTCCTAAAGACGTGAAATTTTAACACAGCGAAGAAAATAATTCAAAATGCATTCTGGTAAAAATGCATTCGAAATGCATTCTGGTAAAATGTACATCCGCCATCTTTTTTGTTATGGTCAATTACTATTGAAGTCTATATGTACTATATTTCATATCTATATTCCATTAATATAGTTGCACATAAACAGGATAGTTTTTCCATGCAGTGTTTTATACTCGTTTTCTCTACGATGTGATTAGAACATCATCTTATAAACAACCTTATAACATAAATAGCTATAGCTACTATATGAAGTAGACCCTTCGTAATGCCGGCGCGATCTATAAAACGGTTTATACGTTGATGAGTATAATAAGGATTATACCTATATACCATATCTCAATCCACGTTTAGGCGATTTACTAATTGTGATGCCAAATTAAAAGACAGGCGAGATTTAGTATATATATTTATATAATTATAGTTTTATGTATATATACTTTAAAGGTTAAAGTTGCTTTAGTAAGATGTGAGAAGGGTTCAATTGAGCCAAACGCTTCTCTAATCGTTGTGAAAAATGCGGTCGAAATCTTGCAACCCAAAGCAGTGATTTGTGTTGGTTATTGTGCCTCGATTAACCCCGAAAAAGTTAAACTAGGAGATGTGGTTATATCTGCAAAATTAGCGAGTCTTTCCCCGAAGAGAATCGTAGCGGATGGAACACAGCAGATGCGTGGATTTAAAACGCATGTGAGCAAAAATATGGGTCATCTCATTCCATTCGCAGCAGATGGTTGGGAACCACCGTTAAATAACCCGGACAGTTTTGATGTCAAGGTTCATCGCCAAGCTGTGATGCTGAGTGGCTCGGAGGTGGTGAATAATTTTGAAAAGCGACAAGAGTTACTGAGACATTTCCCTGATGCACTCGCTGTTGAGATGGAAGGTGAAGGTAAGCGAACGCCAAGCATCATCAGCTCCGCGAGTTTTGTCGGTGATCAAAGAATGCAGTATCAAATCAAACCACAGGGGCTCAAGAATCCATAATAGCATAAACATTCTCGTCGGCTCTCTTCTTGGGAGTCAGTGTAGTTTAATTAAGTTTATCGCCTGTATTCAAAAAGCTCACTCACACTCACACTCATTGAGGGTGACATAGAATTTTGTTATTTTACTGGTCAATGAGAAAGTTCTTTTTCAATCAGTGGAAAGATCCAAGGTAAAACGCTGAAAATCAAGTTCCTATTTGAGTGGAAACCGCCATGGAAACTTTGTCATTCCACTCTTTGAGTGTGAATGAGCTTTTAGAATACAGGCATATGCCACTCAACCACAACCACCCACCCGCAAATCGTGCTCTGTTTATCAAAAAAGGAAAAAAAAATCGCTAACCATCCTAATGATTCAGTATCCCACATTTCAGGACTCTATGCGGCTGCCTGTGATCTTGGTATTGAATGGGTGGTTGTAAAGGGAGCATCAGATTTTGCCGATGGGAGTATGACAGATACACAAAATTGGCAGCCATTTGCCAGTGCAATGGCCGCTTCTGTTGTTCATAACATGTTCCGCTATTATGATGTTATACAAAACTGGGCTAACTATCAAAAACCAGTTCAAAGGCCAATGAGTACAGAAGGTAATGGCGTTGATGCAAAACTTCAGTGCATGTAAATGTTTCAGATAAGGTCTGGCTGCCATGCATGATCAACATAAGTACATGTATACTGACTCTTAAAGTTAAATAACGTTGAAAACAGCCCAAAAGTTGTTTACGTAATTGGCTAATTCTATGCATTACGCAATAGTACGAATGCACAGTGTATGCATTTAACGCCAACCGAGGCCTTGATAATTCTCAATATCACGCGAAAACCGAATTTAATATTTATTTTATTATTCACCTGGTTAAATGGCAGTAAAGAAGTCGAATAAATTAGTAAATTCATAAATTAGACGTCACGATTACAGAATACCAGGAATTATTTGTAAATTTGACGTCATAATTACAAATACCGGAATTATTTGTAGATGGCTAACCAATCAAAACGGAGATTGCATATACAATGAATAATAATCGTTATTAATTTTTAAAAATCAGCAGCGGTCTGATTCCTAGCCTTTCCTGCTATCTGATTGGCTGTAGCAGCGGGCGGAATTTTGATTGTTTATGTTTTGTTGCCATTGCCGAGTCTGACTACACAATTATAATACGACCAAACGCCACTTTTTGTAAAAAAGTTTTTTACCGTTTCGGTCGGTCCGCATAGAAAAATACCCCCTCGGTCTCGGGTCGTTTTTAATACCTCGGTAAAATTTTTCTATCCGGACCTCGCAGCCGTAAAATAACATATATATAAGCCGCGGTGCATACTATGTCTATGAAGTATATATTTCGACGCGTAAAACGATACAAAGCAATATACTTACAATCGAACTGTATACCACCACTGAATGCATAAATCAATACTACCCACCAGAAAGTTTACACTATGACTGACTGACTGACTCGCTTGAATTCTTCATATATAGAATAAGCTCTTACATACTCGTCTTGTGTATTCATATAGTCACGGCTGCGGCAAGCCACTCAACAGGTCCTCCTATTAATCCTATTGCATATTTGCTTCGAAGAATTGCTGGTACAAAAGAAGGCAGAGTATGTATCATCAAAAATAATTTATCCCTTTAAAAAACATCCCTATATACCCCTCCTATCCATCTCTCAATCATTTCGCCTATTTTCTGTGTCTTCGGCATCTTTTGTCTGCTCACTTCACAAAATCTTTAAGTCTCTGTATTGTAATTACTAATGGTGAAATATTTCTGTCTCTTCATTTCCTGCATTCATGCCTGATGTCTCTACTTCGAATTATTGTATTGTATATTTTACTATAAAACATTCCATGCTCTTTCTTTCCCCTGGTATCTGTTGCAGAAAATGTATAATGGTCGCACAATCGAGTACTCGGTTTCAGAAAGATTCCACTCCTTGGAAGAACCTTCGGTTTTCGATGCGACAGCCAGAGACGTTGCAAGTGGAACGAAAGTGGAAGAAATTCACGCCGATACTGCTGAGTTAGCAATTAATGGCGCAGTAGAAAAGTTGGTCAAAAAACTCAAGGAACAAAAAGTGATGCCAGATTAATCAAAAACAAAAAGTAGATTACCTACCCAACATGCACTGAGCAATTTTACGATTTGGCTATACCAGAATTTTAACAATTGAAGTTTTAAAATCTTCATTAGTTCCGAAATCTCTCATCTAATCGGATTATCTTTAATAGCGTGTTATAAACATTAGAATTCGTATGAAAGATGACTGTTTGTACATTTACTTTATAAGTTGTATTTAATAACCAATAAAGACTGTTGTTTATTTCTTAGTAATTATGTATCAATAAAAGTCCTTGAGAACTGAGAAGACATGGGCCCAGTTGCACGGAGGCTGCATGGATAGCGCTGTCCACCGGATGATATCCGAGTGATATTACAGTACTGATGCATATATGATATCATTAATGAATTAGCTAGAATGAATTAGAATAAAAGATTTCTGGAAAGCTTTATGCATATGAATAGTTATTTTAAACTATTGAACGAAGGCAAAAAGAAGATAATATTTGTCCTAGATAACATGGAAAAGACGCCCAATGTACAAGCTGTTTGACACTAGGTGTTTTTAATCACTACCATGCCCGGTTTTTCCATCTTAGATTTAGTGGGAAAATGTCACAAGGCTTCGGGCTTTCTTCAAGAAATTTATGAAAATAGTAAAGACCTTGATTAGAGCTTTGTGATTGCTTCTCTGGGAATATTTAGGGTTTAATTGCTGATAATAAAATGATAAGAATCTTGGATGCATCGCTATAATATACGCTTCAAGATTGGCTGAAAGAATTGTCGCCGAGTTACTTGAAGCATTGCTGAAATTCAACAAGTTGTTGCAACGCCAACATTTTCATAACCACGTTAGTTGGGTGTAGAACAATCTTATCCAGTCATTTTTTTATGACCTGGGACAACTTATGGACAAAGGAAAGAAGACGAGATTCTGTTATGAGTTTCTGCGCTTGACCGGTGTAAATTTAGGAAGAACCCTTGACATGCATGCCACCAGTTGTAAACATGCAGGTAAAATATATCAAACGTTGTTATAGCATTTCGAAATTATACACTTGCGACATTGTAATTACTTTAGAAAACCAGTTGTAAAATGGAAAGAAATTATCGAAGTTGCGAGTTACAAATTTGTGACAGTTACAGCAAAAATGATGAAAACTACACAAAATATTTCGTACTTGACCAGCAAGAAAAAATCATCGAAACAGCTAAAATCTTGCACTCGTTCAGTAAACAATTTTTCGCCGAGCCCCTCTCGTTTACAGACGAGAGATATTACAGCGTTGGCGACGCATATTTTTCGGATTTTCAAAGTGTGGTACTAACGGTTGATACCTTAATCGAGTGGCTAGAGCGCTCTGGAAATGATGTGCTTCAAAATGTTAAGAAAAAAGAGGCTGTTTTGCGCGGAATGCTGCGATTGACAGGTATCATGCTCACTATTTTCTTCGTTGTCATGAATTAGCATGTTTTTCAACCAAATAAATAGATCTATCTTAATATATCGACTTGATAATATCAATTAATAATTGTATGAAATGTCACCAATGGCAATGCAACAAATTTAGAGGTCTTTGTTATATTTATATCTAACCACACATAATTTACTCTTTTCTCTGCGTAAAGAACTCGGCAGTCAAGCTAGTCTCTTTAGTATGCTGGAATTGGCCTGCAAGTTCCTCGATGTCCCAAAAAATCCCTACCCAGCAGAACGAGAATACATATCAGGCACCTTGGCTGAAGTTCATGATCAAAAACAAAGCATCTACAAAATCCTACGAGAGGCTGGCGAAACCTTACGACGCATTATCGACGATGATACGTTTGACATCAGCAAGGGGATGCAATTTGATAACGATGTTAGAAAGGTTGAGTTAGAAATTCAGTTTTGCCAACGACGTTTGGATGGCGCGAAAAAAATGACGGTCCAGTTAATGCAAAAAATGCAGTCGGTGAAATGGTTTTCCCGAGCTGTTCGAGCCGTGGGAATTCTCATCACTTTGTACTTTGCGTATTATAAATATCAGAATTCGACTATAGCTTTTCCTATCATTCTTCTGGGGTTCTTTGTGTCTGTCATAATGTGGTTGTCATTTTTTCCTTCTAACGCATACGGGTTTTACGAGGCACTTTCTAAATTGGAGGCCAAGCACCGTTTGTTAGACGAGGGACTGGACACCATTAATGAACGATTGAGGAGCACCACTGACCATAAGGATAAAGTTGTTGACGCAAAATTAACAACGACTTCAAGTAACTGATCTCAATAACTGGTCCACTACTGTACTAAGGGGTTGTATAACACACAAAAGTACTGTATGACAGTGATAAATGTGGGCCATTCTGACTTCCATACCCTTATTTTCCATCCAAAATCACTTTCTTTTAGCAGCGTTGCTCAAACTCCAAAGAAAAGCATTGATAGGGTCCATTGATACAGTCAAGTAGAACTGGTCTTTTTCCATTTATTAAACTGTTCGAGATATTGCATTATAGTGTCCGAAGGCTTGAATTTACTTTCACTTTTTTTAGCTGGTAATGAAGGCATTGCCACTGCAATTCCTGTAATTCCTTCAAGGAATTCCTGAAGTAAACTCCAGCACTGTGATGCAACAAGGCAGGGAAGGTACTCAACCTACAGTAGTTATTTCAATCAGTGCAATAAGTAGTTGGTCATGAATGAGAATGCATTTCATAGAGTATGTAGAGATCAATAATAAACTATTTTATTCAAGGAGAAAACTCTTAGAAAACCAGCATATTGTTAAAATTTAAAAGGAAGGAACACAGTCCAATGATCTATTGAATGATCTATCATAAATATTATAAATCGATTTTATTAATAACATGAATAAAAAATGTAGTACCTCAATAAGAATTCCTTTGAAACTAACTCCAACAGTAACCTGGCCAATTTTAATGACAAAATCACCTAGTTCATACCTCTGACCTTTTGCCTGAATATTAATATATGAGAAAAATTAATAAAAACTTTGGTGTTGTGACAAAAGACAGAAAGAAATCAGCAATAAACTCAGTAAGAAGTAAGCAGATTATTAGACAGGTGCTCAGAAATAGTTTAAACAGTATTATTGCATACATTTAGGATTATACCAGTGCAGTGCTATTTTCTTTAACTAATTCTATTGTGTATACAAACCTCAATTTTGGCACCTTTCCGAGGCTCATAACATCCTTTTATTTTTAACATGACATTATCAAACCCTCTGTCTGCTATAAGACATGATCCATTTTCCAGACATGCAAATGTAGAGAGTGGATACTCTGTGTTGTGGATGATATGGAGAATTTTTGGAGGGCTTCCTGCAATATAAACTGTCTGGTCATACTTGTGTTACATTACAGAGTGTAGTTCTATGGTTGCAGGACTGCATTAAAGCAAGACTGTTTTTAGATATGCACATTTGGATAATCAAAGACTATTATATTTGACACAACATACCCATGCTAGCAGCAGACTGGTATGTCTCACAATCAACACACCAACTATTTGACCATTGTGCACCAGCTAGTTCAACATTCTTTTGTAATATATCAACAACTTGTTGTCCATTTTTTCCACTTGCTAACGGCCATGGATATACACTACAAAAATAGGACAAACAATTCATATGTATATTTGGCTAATAACTATATAATGGTCATTCAACCTGTGGTAACACTTAATTCACAACCGTGTCAGTTAAGAGCAACATCATTGGGCCTGTTTTTACGAACCAGGAACAATCTGTGCATTTTAGTCGTGTAGATGAATAAGAGTTAATCAACTATAAAAAATCAATCCCCATTTAGCAATGCAAAAATATTGGTTGATCTATTTATAATTTATTGATTATACATATTGATTATACATTTATATAATATATAATAATTTGCTTTCCAAAAAGGCTCAGATTTTAATGAATGGCAAATCTCAGACCAAGACATAAGCTTGTTACTAACCAAGTAACACCCATTTCTTCGTACAAATTGTCTTCTTCTTGTAAAAATTCTGAAACCTGAAACCAACATTAATTCTTTTGCTGAGGTTTCAAATTTGTAAGCTATGTTAGATTACTTCATGTTACATCAAATAAAAAGTGACGAAGTATTTACGCGTGGAAATTTTGTAGTCCTCGCAATGTGAACCAATCAGAAGGCGACAAGTACGAGTACACGATTGGCACACGTTGTTGCCGGAGCCGGAGGAAAAGTTGTCAGAAAATATTTAGGAGTTAAACGGAATAGGCAATCATCTTTAAAATTGTTTGTTCATTTGTAATTCTTGCACGTAAAATTAGTGCAGATATGAAGATAATTACTTATACTACAACTGCCTTTTTTCTTGGCTCTCTAACTCTGAATGAAGCAAAATTACGGGAGGGTGACTGTGATGGTAAGAATAAAAATGTTTAGATACAAAACGGTACCAGGTGAAAAGACGAAAGATCAACCATTGTTGTGTCACTGGAAATATCAACATATAAACGCAGAGGGGGAAATATATATCATTCGTATACTACTTTTTTCATAAAATGTATTGGAACGGCCTTAAAAGGAAAAGTCGTTTGTGTATCTTTTATTAGTCATCAGAATACAAGATATTTAGTTATTTACCATAAATGTATAAAAATATCTTATTGGAATTCGTACAAAGATGTCAACAGTCTTAGGTTTCAAAATTTCTTGACTGTTTTGTGAAGTGCATCTATGTGTTATATACGATGCAATGCAAATTGATCTTTGCAGTTGAAGTTGTTAAACTGGAAGTTAACTTTGAAATGTCACTGTTAGTTTTACCATGCTTAAGACTTTTTGTCCTATATTCAACTCTTTTGACAACAGCAACAATCTTTTGACAACATCTTGTTATTACAAGATGATTTATTAAACATTGTGAAAAAATTGTTATAAAATCTTGTTTTTTAGTTTGCATCAAGTTCCTTACTAAATTTGCTGAGAAGCTTGATGGTAAGGAGAAAGGGCCTGATGACATTAGAGCAAAATTAATGGATGAATGCAAGAAAGCGAAAGGAAAGGATCATCGCTTTGTAAGTTAACTGAGTAAAATTGTTTTCGGTTGGATCCATAGAATAAAGCTACATTTATAAATAGATTGACTTTGATAAGCAGTTTACTTGCCATGTCTTGCAACCATAGTAGAACAGGTGGAAAGGAGAGAGAAAATGAGGTAGTTGAAATTTAGAACACTGTTATTAAGAATTTTAACAAGCATCTCATAATTTCAAGTCAAAAGATGGGATGACTTTCTATGAATAAGGTTATTCAATATCGTCAGCACTCAGCAACAAATCATTGCTTGAGAGCATTGGTTCATTTACTATGGTTTATTTGAAGTAGATATTTAAAAACATTTTGTAGCAATGCAATTTTTTTGTCATTTGTAGTGCTACTATGTAGGTGGTACAGAGGATGCTGCAACCAGTATATTAAATGAAGTTACAAAACCTATGTCCTATCATGTTCCTCCTGAAAAGATTTGTGAAAAACTTAAAACAAAAGATGCACAAATATGTGATTTGCAATATGGTAATAATCTACAATATGCAAAAATATTCAAACCTATTCATTTATTCTTTGTTTTAATGATGTTAAGTATTGCATTTTATGATTTTTCTGTAGAACAGAAGATTGATGTTCGAAATGTAGACTTGAAAAAAATGAGAGTTAAACAACTGAGGAAAATTTTACAGAGCTGGGATGAGGAATGCACTGGGTGTATTGAGAAGACAGACTTTGTACAACGTATTGAAGAACTGAAAGACAAGCACACTGAATTATAATAATAGTTGTAGTAGTATTATATATTGTTAAAATTGTTATTTAATAAGACTGTTTTGTAACATCAGTTGTCTATTGTTTTTAGATTGAGTTGTTAGATGTCCAAATTTCAATGAGATGCACTAATGTTGTTATTGTTACCATGCATAAATGCCCCAAACTCAGGAATGTTACATTGAGGATACATTCCCTTCCTGTACATTTAAGTACTTACCCATACTAGTACAAATACAGTGAATTTATTTGTTGTAAATCTTTGAAAGAAAGGATTATTATGGTTGTTTAAAACCTTTCATAGTGATAGGCAATTATGAAGGTTACAAGATTGCATGGTTACAAGATTGCATGCAAGTCTAGTTTGGAAAATATATACAAAATGTACACCAAAAATAAAGTTGGATTACAATGAATGTTGATCCTAAAAGGCCATGGATTAATCTTGGAACCAGAAGAGCTCATTCCTATCTAAAATGATACTGGTAAGTCACTTTCTGCAAAAATAAACTATCCTTCTGCTTCCTCAGATAGATCATCCTCATCTGCTTCAGAAACTTTACTTTTCTCATTAAGAAGAACATATTCTCTCGTACTGAAGCCAAATTTTAGCACATCCTAGGCAAATAGCATTTGAATTACCTTGTATATACATCATGGGAAATCCCCACCACAAATGGTAAAAAATAATCTTACCTTTTCCTTGAGTTCATAATACCTTCTAGCTTCTATTTTCTGATTGTTTAAAAATGTTCCATTGGCTGATTCCAGGTCAATTATGTAGGGCCTAAAGAATAATTATGTAATTAATTTCAGGTTGGTATGTAGGTAAAATAAATGTACTATTTTTAGTATGGTGGGAAACTTTGGTTCCTTGATATGCTTACTTGCATTTTCGACCTGCTGTGCCATCTTCTCTTTCATAGCTTACTAAGCGATACTGCAATACTGCATGTTGTTTTGAGCATGATGGATGATCAACTGCTAAGTCGACTATCTGAAAAACATTAAGAAAACTATATTAATGGCTAATGTAGATTATTAAAACTATATACAACTATATGTAGGGAGAAAAAAAAAACTAAATGAACAGCTCAAATGGAAAATCACATGTCATTAAAAAAATCCATGAAATAAAATACTAATATATAAATACAACTTACATGTCGTTGTCTTCCAATGAGATAAGCACTTTGGCGATGGATATACATGACAGCTAAAGATAAAGAACATCATTCATCGCATGAAATGCTACTGGCAAGAATCTCAGTTATGATAATTAGTGAAATCACTTAGTGTTTAACTATTTCAATTTTTTCAATATATTCAAATCACTACTATGTAAAGTTGTTACTTAGATAGTGATATAGGCTGTTAAATACTTTTGGGCTATATTATAGTGTGTTACACTTATTATTATTTTGTTTATTATTATCAACAACTTACGCATAGATTTTTCTCCCTTGAAAGGATATAGTCTCCATCTTGTTTTTGGTTTAAGTGCTTCAGGAGGTTCATTGTATTTAATTACCACACCCTGAAATAAATTAGATAATCATCATATGTTAATTGCAATACGTAGTCTATAATTATTGCTGCCAATATTTTTGAATTTTGACTTCAAACCTTATATGTATTGGTATATTCAGTTAGCTTTCCTGAAAGTTCAAAATTTGGTTCTTCTTTTGTTTTTGAGATCTCTTCTTTTGTATCCTCACTAAAAAGCAAGTATTTAAGTACATAAAATCAGGAAATTTGTGCCAGGCATATTGATTGTATATAATGATGTACATGTCATAACCACCTTATAAGTTGTAATTGTCATAGGTGAAAAATGAACAGATTGTCTACCTCACTGGTAAAAAATATCCTAAGGCAGTCATCTTGCTGGCAAGTGTTTATTGTGTGATATTTAGCAATAATTAACAGTTATTCTGCGAACTCGAGTCGTATATGAGCTGATAGCCGACGAGGCGCGTAGCGCCGAGTTAGCTATCGGCCATATACGACGAGAGTGAGCAGAAGAACTGTTTTATTATATACACAAACTTTGTCGCCCTTTCGGTGCATTTTGGTGTGCTATTATCATCTAAAGCTTGGATTTCTATTTCACTCAACTCCCCAAATTTTTCGGCCATTTTGTTTACTTTCTCTACTAGACAAATATGAGCTAATATCTGTCTAGTAGCCAACCAATGAAATTGCAGCATACCTCATATCTGGCGCAAATATCTGGCGCTTGTGTTTATAATAATGCAAGATATTCGTCATTTGTCATTACATCATTATTTTTATGACCTTTTCTGTGTGACCTATTTCATTGTTTTGGCATTTGTGGAGATGAAAATTTATTAGAAAATAAATTTATTAGTTTATATCAATTAAAAGCCAACAAATTACTACTGAAATGGCAGAAATAGTAAAAAATTCTCAGGCAGCCATCAGCTCCAGAAAGTGTTGTGGTGTGTGCATGACGTTTACTTTTGGGGAAAATTTGAGGTCAAAAAAATAATCTTTACCCATTCTGTGTCATTGTTGAAATTTTTAACCATGGATCACTGAACTCATAATACACTGGCATAGCATATATGATTATCCATATAAAAAACCCAGAAAATATTAACTTCTGGGCATTGTTGCTATACTCAGTGCATTATCAGAGTACTGAGAGAAGTCAATTAGACCCTTGGACGTTTTTACCATGTGCACTTTATGATGAACGCTGTGCAATATCAAGATTTTTAAACTTTTAAAGCACATATTGTGTTTAATAAAAGCTCTACAGACAGCAAAAGATGTGACAAAGGTATCAGTGATGTTTAATTAGAGTTCACTGGTCTAAAATTATGAATAAAATTATTCAATTTGGCCTATTAAACTAGAAATAAAATACCAACTAACTGTAATTGTCGCTGATCAGGAGAACCGTGATTTATTCGACGTTCTTCATAATTTATTCGATCATTGTCCTCCCTTCTTCTTGTCTCCGTTTTTACATCGTCTCTTTTTGACCTTGTTCTTTCTTTACTCCTGTCACGAACGTTACTACGACCATGTTTACGGTCACGTTCCTCTACGTTTGGTGATCTTGAACGAGTACGTTCTCTGTGCTTTTCTCTGTGTCGAGAAGACATTATTTACTGTCAGAACTATCCACTACATATTTTGTTTACAGTTTAGAGTTTAATATAATTTCCTAAAAACTGATAGAAAGAATGGAAAGAATCGGTATATTCATTCTCCATCTTCCATTCTCCGCCAATAACCGGAGGATTGGTGACGAGTTGGGTGGAACACGAACGTCGCGCGGGAAAAACACGCAATTTTCCGGCCCTCATCTGCAGCTCCGCCACAGTGCGTAGGTCCTCCTATTGTCCTCCGCAGAGGCTTCTCTGTGACGGGTAGTAGTTATCACAGCCTGTAGTTATCAGTGTTAGTTATACCATTTAATTTATGGATCTGGGTATTAATAACGAGATTGGTAGTAAAAATGCTATGCTAGGCTTTTGTTCAAGGGGAATCCCCATTTGAGGAAAATTCCCAAACTCATATTGTTTTAATGTAATAATCCATTGACATTGACAATGTGTTAATTTGAAAAATCCCGTTCTTTATGGGGTTTTCAGTTGGCTTGTCCGGACAAGCAAAATTATATTATATACATATACTATATATACATATACTTATACATAGATTTTTGATGACTACGAAGGAATTAACAATTGTAACATGACACGTATACACTTCTCTCCCCTGGGGCTTCCCCTCGATTTTTTGCTTATAAAACAAGGAAGGAAGGGAATATCATAAAGTACACATCCGTTGGCGAGGAAAGAGTTCGAGCGATTAAAATATTTAATATTGGTACCTTTAAAGAATACTAGACAGGGCTTTCCAGTCAATAGTCAAGTGGTCATATAGCCACACATTATAAAGCACAAATAAGAACTACAAAATGGCCGAGTGCGAGGAAGATAAAAATACAAACAACGAAGTTCATCCTGATATAAATGACTTTGGGGAAGATCTGCCACGGTTCCCGCTTGGCAAGAAAAAGGGGGAAAAATTCGGCTTGGCATTGGCGAAAAAGAAGCGGATCATTGAAATAGCGCAGATGCTGCAGGCGATTGCTGATTTCGGTGTTGAAGCTGAGCAAGAAAGTCTAGTGGAAGAACAGACAGCTGAGAGGAAGTTAAGGAGACAAGTATCAGTCAGAACATACTTTTCAAGCTGTTTAGGAAAAGTTTTCGAGACTTTAGACATTGTGCTGGTATGGTTGGAGCAATCGTCCAAGCAGCTAAAAGACGAGAGAAGTCAGGCCCGTCTTCAAACCGACGAAACAGATGCGGGAACGGAAGATTGTGATGATAGTCAAACAAAGGCCTTTTGTGACTACAATGAAAAGAGGGAAGGTGTATTAAGAGGATTGTATCATATTACAGGTATTAAGGAAGTTCAATTTTCTAAGAACCGCTTTTGTCAATATTCCAAGAAGATACGTTGGTGTAATGGTATAAATACAAAATTTCATTTCGTTCATATTGAAAGCATGCCATGGGTAAAACATGGGTATACAGGGGAGTGGTGACAAATGGCATAAAAGCTAGGAATCTCCATTGTGTTCACTGAATAATTAGTCTAATTTTGACTATTTATAATTTCTTTAGGTCTTGGTTCTTTTCCATGTCGTGTTGGTTTGCTCGAACTTGCATGCAAGTTCCTTGATCTGCCAGAGAATCCGTACGCTGCCAAGCGAGAACATGTGAAAGAATGCCTCAGACAAGTTGAAGAACAGAAAGAAGAAGTGTTTGAACTGATAGAAAAGGCATGCAAGATCTTGGAGGAGATCACCAGAGATCCCCAAGTCAACCAGAGCAAAGCAGCTGAATTCAACAGCACCGTGCGCCAGGCAAATGTCCTTATTGACTCATGCAATGATTTCTTATCTCTTGCTGACAAGACCATCGATGAACTAATACAAATAATGAGGACGATGAAAATCTTCTCTCGTGTTTTGCGTTTTGCTGGCTTCGGAATAACTTGTTTAGGATTATACCAAATGAGGCCAGCCAACCCTGCCATGAAATACTTCACGTTTGCCACAGCAACTGCTGTCGCTGCGGGTTATGGATGGTTATCCTTGTTTCCTAGCAAAGTCTATGGATTCCTGGACGATCTCGAAAAATTCAAGTTCAAGCACGCACGTCTCACCCTTGAGATTAACCGCTTAGATCGAAGACTGAAAAATGCTGTGAAAGATTTTGACGATAAGTCAAAGCAGCAACAAAGTTGGGAAGACAGTATTTAGATGAGGTCATAAGATCCGCGAAGGAGGGGGAAGGGTGGGGGGTGGGAATAAAATTGGGTTTTATTGACTCATTCTAACCTGTTTTTAATTAAATCATGTAATTTTTTTATGTACATTATATTTGATCTATGTGTAAATACATACATAATAATTTATATAATTCATGTTCAAACAAACATCATATTTAATATAATAAAGATATTTGATATAATCCAAGTGTAGATATATGTACAATTTTGGAGCAATCCTCTCTGTCTCTAAAAAGGAGCCCTGAGGGGGGTGGGGAAAGGGAAATGATAAAGGAACAAGAGAAAAAGAAAAGTAAACAGCTGAGTGCAAAAAAACTGTGGGTATGGTCGTACAACCCACAGAAAACTTAGCTACTACGTTAAGGATTCTACGTAAAATCCCTATTCAAACGTAAAAATGGATAGTAGCAAACATATATAAATTCAAACTATCAATTTGAATTTATAAGTTTTACTTACTCTACACTTACTTAATTTGGTCAGTGGCGACTGTAGACAGCATGTGTCAGCAATGTCAAGTCGTCAAGATCCAGTTTTTATTCATGACGAATTACCCATATAAAAAAACAATGGCTTTCTGTGTAGTATTCTGTGGTATGCCTGGTTTATCCCTCATACAAAGATTTCTATAGGCAATTTTATACCACATTTGATGCGAAGTTGTTTGAAGACGCTGTCACGCTGCTCCCTGTCCCTGTTCCTATTGTAACGTGAACTATGCTAGTTCATTCACTCCATGTCTTTTGAAATTCTATAACTCTAATACTTCACTGCCATTCTAAATACAAATAAAATAACAAAAATATATTTCTTACGATTAAGGGAAATTAACATTATAATAATCGATGAATCGTCTTCAAAAGAAAAGTATGGGAAAAGCAAGATGTTTTTATAAATGAATATCAGACATGGAAACGGTTAAATTACGGATCCCCCTAATAAATTATTTAAGGCAGATTTCCACTTACAGCGAAATCGTTCGCTAGCGAAATATTTGCATATTTTCTTTTGAATTCGAAACAGTCAAGTCGAACTGATTTATTTATGCTGTTAAAATTCAAAAGAAAGTATGCAAATATTTCGCTAGCGAACGATTTCGCTGTAGGTGGAAATCCGCCTTTAAGCATGTAGGACGGGAACACGACGACGGCAGCTATCAATACAATGCTTCATTGAAAAGAAATGAATTATTAAATACCTATGGAAGTTTTGGACGTGATCTACGTTCTGTTTACAACGACAAAACGTCGTTTATTACGTCCTATGTAGAACGTCTGCATTTCAGGACCCATGCAGTGAGCGCTATCTCGAATTAGCCTATAGAATTGTCCCTAAACGTAAGCACAATGTTTTCAAGTCTTTTCTCATTAAACTGGTACAGTTAATAATATATAACAACACTTTATCATAACATTTATTTAAAGGAGTATTCCAACCACGTCGTCGTCGTGTTGCCGTTCTACATGCTTAAGGTCCCTATTGTTTCCCCGAAGGGGAAACCCCCCCCTTATAGGCACCTTTATTTCGCGTTTCTCATGGATATAAATAAAATCATTTTTCCCTTTTCATCTTTTTTACAAACCGGATTGATGCACTTCTTATAAATAGGGCTATCAACTTTGTAAAAGGTCAATGGTATACTCAAAAGCCTGGGAAAAAGTATCACAAAAAGCCTTTCACCCAGTGCGATTAACAACAGTGTATGCTGGCGTTGTTCGGAAAGACATGTTTAAGGGATTAAGAGACAAAAAAATTGATGACAATGCATGTCAAATACAAGGTCATGACATATATGACAAATACAAGGTTATAACATATATGAAATATTTGAAGTATATACTGTTTTTACACAATGAAAAAATGAAATACAATCATTCCATGTCAAGTGTTGATCTCAATCAATGGCTTTTTCCTCATTCTCGTCCTACGCATGCAAAAAGAAAGACTTGTATATTTAGGCTTTAGGGACATGTGACCTTCAGTGAAGCCGGCCGGCACGTAAATCTGAAGCATGTTGCATTATTTGTATTACATTTATTTATAAAAAAAGTTAATTTGAGTATTCCATTCACAAAGTATCAGTACCCCTCAAAACAGAAGATATCGATAGTAACCTTTAATAATCATGAAAACGGTAACCCATATCATTTTAGCTGACTAAATCTAAATGGCATTGTCATGCTATAAATGCCACCTGTCTTTCCAGATGTTTTCCCCTTTTGAAAGACATCATTTCAAACAAAAATATATATATAGTCATTACAGACTATTGACACAGACAGTTCATAGAATTGACTTACCTTGCAAAATTATATTTAAACTTTCAAGGAGAGTTATTTCACCTAAAGAAGAGTTTAAGAAACGAAGAGCAATTATACTGAAACGCCTTTTTTTTTATTCTTGATTCTAAAATGACAATTCTTCTAGTTTATTAAATTCTTCAATTCTTGTTGATTTACAATCGGAAATTTTCTACTATATGAAGATGAGCCAAAACAAAGACACCCGGACGTGTCTAAGCTTGTTGAGGCGGAACTTCAGTCGCGTCAGCGAGTATTGTGAACAATACCAGGAAATACTCGATTTATAGCTGAATTGTAGTGATAAAACACAACATTCAACTGAAGAACGTCCTGAAGCTAAGAGAGTGATTCCTTTCAAGGATTATGGCATCCAGAGAAGTGCCAAACGAACTGATACCGCAATTGCTGTCAGTCGGTGATTTTATTGGAGCAAATTTTGATGCGACAGCTAATAAAACAGAAATTACTGAAGCCGGAAGATTAGCTCGTTCGATTGGCGACCGGTTATCTAGCCAACCAACAGTCGAGTACCATCAAGAAGACAGAGCAGAGAGATCTGGCATCGTAACAAGATGGCTCAGTCAATTCAAGAATGTCGTCGGGACGACTTTAGACTGGCTGGAACATTCTGGACAAATGAATGCTAAAAAACAAGAACAAGTCCTAAGGGGATTATATAATTTAACAGGTTAGCAACGAACGAGTTCAAGTAATTTAAGCAGCAACTTTCATTGTTTTCTAAATATCTGTTCACATGATCCAATTTTGTTGGATCCAATTCACGATGGATTTTTTATAGTCTGTGGTCTTGTAAATTGTTATGTATATGAATAGAAAATCCACTGAAGCGAATCCAGTACTGCTCACCACAGGGCATATTTTAACATATACACTGGGGTCTGACCCAGAGGAGAGATTGACAGAGCTCGACTCGCGGCTCCACGCGCGGCTCCACGCGTCCCCACATTTTTACTCGCACGCGCCGGTAAGAACTAAGAAAGCCTTTTCTTTAGAACGCCCAGGGATAATATGCTTGGTGAGAATTTGATCAAAAAAGTTTGAAAAATGACTGAAAAAGACAAAAAGTACTGTAATCGAACAGCAACTCTGCTTGAGAAGTAAAGACACATAATTATGAATGTTTTCAGTGAATGTTTGTATCATCAAATGATACTAATTATTAAAAAACCGATATCCTCTGCGAGTTAAAACTATAGAACGCCAAAAAACTCTGTTTTGTTTTGAAATGTTTTGCAATGTATTTTGTCGATATTTTAAAATTAAATTTTAAAGTTTAATTTAGAAGTATTCTTTGAAATTCGTCTTATAGTGTTATTCTACAAATATACAAACGCTCTGCCTGCTAGTTGACAAACAATAAAAAAGCAGCTCTGACAACGCTTCACTTTGGCAAACACAATTTGGCAATTCGGGTACAAATATGGCAGCCGACAAGGGTAATCAGAACTCACTTTAATACAAAGCAAGGACTTTAATGATTGCTTTTAAAAGCAGCAAAACAAACAACTTACCATTAATCCCCAAAATTTTAGTCCAAAAATGAAGATAATCCGACCCAGTTAAAAAAAAATCAATTTTTCACCTTCGATCAGCGTTTTCTCTATACTTTTGTATTGAAATTTGGCCGAAAGAGGTTACCAGAAGAGAATCGGGTAGCTGCGTGGTGCGTGGAAATGAAGTGAGAATGACGTGATATTTGGCAAAACTCGGGGACACTCGTTTCAACAATAGGGAACTTAAGCATGTAGGACGGCAAAACGACGACGACGTGGCTGTAATACTTAAAATAAATGTTATAATAAAGCGTTGTTCTAGATTATCAAACTGTACCAATTTATTGAGATATAAGACGTTGAAAACATTGTGTTTACGTTTAGGGACAATTCTATAGAGCCTAATTCGAGGTAGCGCTCACCTCACTGGGTCCTGAATTGCAGACGTTCTATATAGGACGTAATAAACGACGTTTTGCCGTTGTAAAAAGAACGTAGTTCGCGTCTAAAACTCCCATAGGTATTTAATAATTCATTTCTTCACCATTAATTCATAACGGTGATGCCACAGGCACAGTGCCCCCTTAAAATTTTTGACAAAGATCATGATTTCGGTTAAGTTTCAAAACGTGCTTGTTAGAAGACAAAGCATTGACTGCGAAAATATTCCGCTTTTTTATAACTTACTAAGTATCAGCCATATGACCCACATCAGTAACAATCCTATCCGGCATGATTCACCAATTCGAAGAGACCCAGCTTAATTGAGACATCTCTTCTATCACTCTATTATAGTGCTGGCCAACCAAGGGCATCTCTTTGCTATCATGGAAGTGGCCCATTCCTGTTTGACCACAGATGAAGATCCCTTTCCAGGCCAACGTCATTACATTGTCCAGTGCCTCGAAGATGTCAAAGCTCATCAGGAACAAATCGGAGTGTTAGTAGAGCAGGCCAGCGATATCCTCAAGGAAATCCTGGAACACGAAGGAGTGGATTATTCAAAGGGAAGGAAGTTTGACAACGTTGTTAGAGAAGCACGGGTGCAGATCGAATCCTGTAAACGTCGTCTGAAGGGCGCAGAAGAGGCTATTTTCGCACTCTCTCAAAAAATGAGTACCGTGAGATGGGCCTCCCGTAGTTTACACGCAACAGGTTTGAAATAGCTAGGATCAGTGGCGTAACTAGAACGATAGTTGGGTGTGTTTATTCAAATATTCAGTTCGGCGCGACGGATTCTTTTTATAAGGGCAAATATATACTGACTTCTGCTGATACATACACTAACTTCTTTACACTCAGGAGGGTACAAAGCGCGTGGTGTGTGTGTTTGAGAAGAGGCGGTAGGGGTGGGGCTCCGACTTAGCGGTTTGTTTTTGAACAAATCGGTCGTCGGCACCTATTGTAGTACTGATTTATAACTACATTACAGCGATAAACGTGTCAATTACACATCGAATCTTTCGTAACCAACATGGCTTTATCAGTGAATTGGTGAGATTACCGAGATACACACCCAACTGATTTGAACTCCTTTAGTGCTTTCCTGGGGACACTGGACCAAAATGAGGCGTTTCCCTGTAATGTGTATATTCCTTATATTCTGGATCAATAAAAACACCTTACTGAACCTCGAAGGGGTGTTGCTCTTACCAGACATTGAGATATCATATTTTTTAACAAGTAGGGATTACTCTAACTAGCCATTTACCGAATTCTTTATTGAGCAAATTTCACGAGAACTGGAAGATTCATCCAGTTTACGAAGTGAATGCATTAATGAGTTTGTTCAAAATTACGAAAATTAAAAAAAATAATTCTACTTTACTCTTCTCATAGGTTGGATGTTTTCGGCGTATATATTCTACAAGCGGTATCAGGAATCTGGTCAGTCGTCACTAGATTTGCTCAAACTTTTCGGTTTTGTTGCCGTTTCTGGCTGGATTTGTATGTCACTCTTGCCAGGCAGATCAAGTGTTTACTACGAGTCATTGACAAAGTTGGAAGCAGATCATCGCATGTTGAAGGAGAAATTGGAAGATTTACGTGTTAGCCTAACGAGCGCCAAAGATCACAGAGATGGACTCTGATCGCATTATATATATATGGAGCAGTGAACTGTAATAAAACTTGAAGCGCTAACTCCTATAGTTCATTGAACGGCAAAAAATTGAATAATAATAGTTCATTGAAGCCAAAGATTGAAGAAAAAACCGAGTTTTTGACTCTCTTTCTCGTTCAAATTCTATAAAAATTAGCAAATGATTGTATTTTAGACATTTCTAGATAATTACTCTCCACACGTCTGTCTCAAACGTTCAAAAACGCAGAAAAACTACCTTCAAATTTGGTTTGAAAGATAGCGGCCAAGTTAGCGTTCCAGATTTTATTACAGTTCAGTGGTATGGAGTCGTACCTAAAGAACTTTCTGTGCATGTGTGTCTTGCTGATTATTATTATTACCAGCGATGGAATACCATGCAGATTAAAGGTGGGATATGAATTGGTTTGATATATTTTTCAGGCTTCACGCTTGTCAAATTTTAAATAGAAGCCAATAATTGTTGGGGTGAAATTGCTAGGAGTAGGAGCCAATGCGTTATTCGTTGGACTGATGAACTTTGAGCGAATTTAAAATCTTGACGAGAGTTGGGTTCTTTGAAACAGCGGCCATGTTGGCGTGATGATGTTATATTATGTCAATATGAGACGAAGCCCCAAACTCTCACGTTTGCTTCATGAAATAATGTTAATAATGTTGAATAATCTTATTAATTTAATGTATTATAATAAGTTGATGGTATATATACTGTAAAAAGCACTTTTGGGCACAATTTTGCGGTGATTTCTGTGTAATCTAGGCCTGCACACTTTACATTCCAAAAGCTTAGAAATTACCCCTGCATGCCAGAGCATTATATCATGCTAGCATTAGTCAAAGAAGTCAAAGGACTGCGCACAACCTGTTAATGCATAAGCAGCCCAGACTTTGGCTTGCGCGTGTGATACTCGCGCGCGTGTCGCGCTTACGTTGTTTACTACGTCAAAATAAGCGCGACACGCGTGGAGGACCAAAACCGCCATGTTTCACACCAATCATGCATGCTTAGCGCTAGCCCATTTGGATATACAGAAAAGTACTAGAGATAAGACTAGAACCTTACACATGCAGGCAAGGTTTACACAGTCAATCACGAAGCTTTTTTATGATACATTGACATTATTATGGTAAGCAACTCATTCTTTATACTAACATTGGATAAAATATATTGTCTATTCATCACATGCAGTTGGAATTTTCAAACGACAAATCCTAAGTTTTAAAAGATTTGTTGAAAATATTGGAGGAAACTGTAACACTATAATTAATACATCCTAATCATTCATTATATTCATCCTAATATATAGGAAAGGTTGTTTTAGAAAATTACCACTTATTTATTTATTTAATGTTGTTTTCGATTAAAGTCCCTAACTAAGAGCCTAATGACGCAGTAATATTATAATAGCGACCTTAAGCATGTAGGACCACTAGGACGCGAACGCGACGACGACGACGGCTATCAATACAATGGGTCATTGAAAAGAAATGAATAATTAAAGACCCATGATGGGTTTTGGAAGTCGTCTTCGTTCTGTTTACAAACGGAAATCGTGGTTTTTTACGTCTTGCCTAGTCAGCCTAGAACGGGTGCATTTCAGGACCCAGCGAGCCCTACCTTGAATTAGGCTCTATAGAATTGTCCTTAAACATAAACACAAACTTATGCTCACTAAATCGGTACTATTAATAATATACAACAACAACTTCCCTACAGCATTTATTTAAAGGCGAATTTCAGTTGCATCGTCGTCGTTTTGCCGTCCAACATGCTTAAGGTCCAAAATTTCGTCAACGCATGATGTCATCGCCTGATAAAGTGTGGTTGTCACAGCTGTGCATTGCACTGCCGAGTCGTTTTTAAATTCACAACGCCGGGTTGTTTTGTCCGCCATTGACAATGTAAACAATGTGACAGCGTGCACTACTTAGACAGCTTAATTTGAAATTTCACGCGAACAAGATGAGCACAGTTCAGAGGAACTGGGTCCAAGCTAGGGAGCGACAAAGTAGTGTGAATACTTGCATGTATATATATTGAAACCAAAAATGCAGTGTACAACCAGAGATTGAAAACTGCATGTGCCAACTAAATTTGTATAACAAGGGCCGAGGCAGTCAAGAATAGTTCCGTTCCATATTGGACAAGTGCAGCATCATGGCAAGGGAAATATTTTGGGTAAAAACAAAATATAGGTCAGCGGTAAAAACGCTTTGTTGATGTAAATCGCAGATACGATACGCTCTGGAAATCAAAAACGTCGACATGTAATCCTTACAGTTACATACCACTTTTTTGTTCTACTCGCCTACCAGATATCCTAGCTGACAAAGTTTTGACAACATCAAGAAGTCAAAAATGACAATCAGTAGCCTTCGATCGAGATTTCATTTGCTTATTGGCGTAACAGGCTTGTTGATATTCTGTTTGGGGGTTCTCATATTAGCATCAGGAATACGAATAAGATATCTTCTAACAACATTTGACAGATTCGGGGATTATTGGAAGGCGTATAACACTTGCCAATATTGGGCGGGAATACCGGTAGGTAAAAATTAAACAAAAAAACGCCAAAATGAATCATTTCGTTCTTTGACAGATACGCTATATCAATTTGTTTTTACTTCAGACAATTCTAACTGGAGGAGCATTGGTTCTTTCTGTTCTCGTGAATAGACATCAGTCCTTGGTAAGATTTAAATTTAAAACATGATCACGCAATGTACTTCTGAGTCAACCTCAACAACCTTCATTTATTAAGTACGATAACTTAAAGACGATAAAATATCTTTCAATGAAACATAAAAATGCCTTTTAATCTATGTTGATTATATCCTCAACGATTCATTTCGTTGATTATGCGAATTGAAGAGAATGTAGCAATCTTGAAAGATGTGGGATCTAAAACATGCACTATGGTAAAATCTGCCGGCATACTTATAATAATTTCGATTTCCGACCTACATATAACCCAGATATCAAACCATGACGAGCACTTAAAGCGCTGGCGGCTTTGGGGGTCACACAAGGATAAACACAGCTGCGCGATTTCGCAACAATCAGTCAATTTAACGTAATAAAAATGAAAAGTTTAGAAAGACAAGAGTCACAAGACGCAATTATAAATTATTCAATTTATTAACATGCACGGCACGACCAAAATGGTGCCCGTACCCAATTTTATTCGTGCTCAAAGGTACCAACACAAAGGCTGGGCCCGGATGAAATGGGTATACGGTCGCACCCAGTACCTATTTCAGCCGTGGCGTGCGGATAAATTGAGTGTAAGCGTAAACGGGGCTAATATTGATTCAGAAAAATAGAGTTCATATATAAAGCTCATGCATGTCTCGAGGTTGCAAGATGTCTCTGTCAGCCGGTATGTTTCATCCTATATATGTATTTTTGAAATTATCGTCATTGTCTGTGTGGAAAAGATTTTGAAAGCAAAGCTTACACGTAGTCTCAGCAAAAATGCAATTATATAGTTCCCGAAGGTTCACAAAACACTCGGCAAGGTTGTGTTGAATGTATATGCACGAGTATAGTATTATACCGCTAGCAAAGCATCTTTAATACGTTACATGATCACTGCACGCGTAAAAACGCTCAGGTTGATGCAAGTTGATATAAACAGGATGAAGCAATGTTGTGCTGCCCACATTGTTCAGAGTTGTTATCAATATTGAACAATATTGTTACACCCGATTCAGTTTCAACAATATTCTTCAATATTGATAACAACTCTGAACAATGTGGGCAGCACAACATTGCTCCATCCTGTTTATATCAACTTGCATCAACCTGAGCGTTTTTAGGCGTGTAAGCGCAGCGAGTGATGACAGATGAGGTGGATTCAGACACAAGTTCCCAAACTTCCCATTGAGCTATTCCTAAAGTATTTTATTTTCCAACGTTAAAAATTATAATAATGACAATTTTAAACTGATAAAGCTTTCTAATAATATGTTAACTCTAAATTCAATTCACCTTAGGAATTAAACCTTACTATCGACATGCTCAAGAGTAGTCTTATAAATAAAAACTTTAAATAAAGTTTTTACATAACATTACATTTTTAATCTCTTTAGAAATACATCAGCTTATGTTGTGCTGCGATTACGATGGTTCTAACACTAGGGATCATCATCGAGGAATCAGGACATGTTTGGGACGTACATTACCTTGTCCAATACGGTAAATGCCATGATATAGATGTTTCATCCGATTCTTACAAGGATTGTTTAAAATTCATGGAGGCTGATCGCTGGTATTACACCATGTTATTTGGTGCAGATATTGTTTTGGTGTTGTGTTCATTGGTGACGCTGATGTTGTTTATTGACTGGATCACATTTGTTTTACCGGTAAGAATTATCCCCGGCCTCAGCGGACGAAGATTAGTAGATTTTTCTCGATTTGTGATTGTCAATGATTTCCTTGTTGTAACACGGGCTGGCCCCAAAATCAGAACCAATGACACCGGAACGTTTCGAAGGCGAAGAAGCAGAAAAGAAGAACTTTGGTACATGACGCACATTATGACATCGGAAGTTGTTGCCCTTACGCAGGCATCTCCAAATACGTCGAGAATGTCTATAATGTACACTGATATTTATTGCTGCCGAGCGTCAGCGAGGCAGCACACTATTCTTGACATTTTGAGGTTTCTCCAGAGTTCAGTCGACCCAGGCTTTTGCGCCGATTTATGTATTGTCAAAATTTGGATTTGTGTCTGTCCGGAAAGATGTTTGTCGTAATTCCGGGGGCATAATTAAGCTTCAAGTATGTTGGGAGATTTAGGGGGGGATTCGACCTCGAATAATTTTTATTGCGTATGCAAATTCGACATGCTTGAGTCCGAATGCAAACCACAAAGACATTGTACGAAAAAATTCCTGAAAATATACAGGTAAGTATGGCTTTATTTCTTTCTGCTGATATCCATCAAGGCGATGAACTTTTTAGTAATCATTCTAGAGGCAAGCAACGCGCTTTTATGAGTTTATCGCCGCTTCTTACAGCCCGAAATTTCCCTTAATAATATCGTCGTGGTCAAAAATTACATTTAATAATGTCTTATTACAAGGAGACAAAATGTACCTAAAAGCGCTGAATAGTGGCTTTATAATGTTAGAATCGGATGAAGATTTTTTGTCTGTGGGAAATTTACCGATTTTTTGAATGTTTCATATTGCATGAATATGCCAAATGACTTTTCGTACGATTTATGTCGATCAAATCACACCATATCACCTGGCCATGTACAGGAAAAAACTACATCACCTGTGACGGTGGTAAACATTGAGGCACAAAATATTGTTGACCCACCCATTGTGGTGGAGCCTGTTGAGGCACAAAATATTAATCATCTGCCCATTGTCATTGTGGTGAAACCCCTTGAGGCACAAAATATTGTTGATCCACCCATTGTGGTGGAGCCCGTTGAGGCACAAAGTAATATTGATCCACCCATTGTGGTGGAGCCGATTGAGGCACAAAATGAAAACAAAATTTGTCTCATAACATATAGAACAGAAATTCAAGGTCTTGTTATAACAGATCGAGAAATTGAGTGCCACTACTATGACATTCACACTGCACTGTTGAATATATTTTCAGATGAAAGTTATGCTATTATTATTATATTAGAAGGTTATATGATGGCCTTGATTAAGGAAATAGATGATTTTTATCTTATTGACTTGCATGCTAGAGATTCTAGTGGCATGCCTAATCCTAACGGCACTGCTGTTGTCATGAAATTTTATAGTATTCTGGAATTAGAGCAATATTTGTATTGTTTGTCAGTTGGACTACATGCCAACTTATTTGAAATTGTACCTGTGCAATTCAGTATGTGTAAAATGCCTGATCAAAACAATAAATGTGTAAAAGATCGAGAATACCAGAAAATGAAACATTCAGTAGAAACTGATCATGATAAACAAGCTAGACTTAACAAAGTTAATGAGTATAATAAAAGAAAGCAGTCTCATGAAACTGCCTGTGAGAAACAATTAAGACTTCAAAAAGCTAATGAGTATAAAAAAAGAAAACAGTCAGAGGAAACTGACAGTGAGCAAAAAACAAGACTTCGAAAAGAAAAGGAGTCTAAAACGAGAAAGCAGTCTGAGGAAACTAATAGTGGGGGAAAAGTGAGACTTCAAAAAGAAAACAAGTGTAAAAAAGAAGGCGGTCAGAAGAAACTGACAAGGAAAGGCAAATAAAACTTGACAAAGACAGATTATCTAAAAAACAAAAGCGGGCAAAGCCGCAACACAGAATAAATAAAGAGGATTACTTAAATTTGTTTGATATAAGCAATAATGGTAGAATTGAGAAGCAATGTTGGGAAAAAGCTAGTATAAACAAGTCAATGCAATACACTGTTGCTCAGCGTACAGTTTGCCATGAGGCATGGCCAATAAAATCTAAACCTAGTTCACTATAATTATGTGTGTTCAGGATGCTTTAGAGATAAAAAATCTCCTAAAAAATTTTCTTGTGAAAACTTGATGATACCTTCTTATGTTCCAGATGAACTACAAAATTTAACTCAGGTTGAGGAAATGTTAATTGCTTGTGCTTTGCCAATCATGAGAGTGTATGTTAAACCTGGTGGTCAACAAGGTTATTCAGGGCATTGTATTAACTTGCCACAAAATGTTACAGAACTTGCAACGTCTTTGCCAAGATACCCCAAAGACTTCGCTGTGATTATTGTCAGGGTTAAAGTGCCGATTAACTCATAAAAGCACATTGCTTGCCAGGGGTGGATCCAGCACTAGTGCACTAATTTGCATTACAAAGCAAAGTTGTTATTTTTAGCAGTTTTCTTGTGTCATGCAAATTAGTGCACTAGTGCTGGATCCACCACTGTTGCTTGCCTCTAGAATGATTACTAAAAAGTTCATCGCCTTGATGGATATCAGCAGAAAGAAATAAAGCCATACTTACCTGTATATTTTAAAAAACTATTTGTTTTTTGTTATTTCTGTCCAGTTTGCTTGCATTTGTATGTGTTAAACCCATACTTATTATCTAAAGGCCATGTTATCTATAACAACTTATTATCTAAAGGCCATGTTAAGTTATTCAATTTCTATTGCAACTTCAAATGCAAATTTATTGCAAAGATATAAAATTGTGAGTGTTTTTTGCTAATGCTTTAATGAATTTTGACATCTGAAAACAGTAGCCCAACAACAGCAGTACATCACGACCCATGATATAGTGCTATTGTTGTGCTACCTATGCTCAAAATTGCAATTACATTGTATCACCCCAGGTAGCTCAAAAGTATTTGGACACAAATACTTTTCGGCTACCTGAAGTATCACAGACGAACAATAGACTATTGCTCTATTATTCTTCTGATTGTATTGAAGTTGCAATTACGTTGCATAACATGTATTTAAGTTGAAGGCAGCAATCTCCTTGTGATAGCAACTCCTAGTTGTCATATTAACGATATAATTTTATATTAAAGGTTTTGTTCCTGGGTAACCACGCCCCCCATAATCTCTATGGCTACCCCCCCCTGCTTCCTTAGGTCTTCATCGCGCCCACAGTCGGCGATCTAAAAACAAAATTCCCATGATAATAAAATTATATTGTTAATATTACAATAAATATCAAAGTATATTTTAGTAATTTGTAACATTAAAGTAATAAATTTTCAACCCATTTTAAAGACTGTCTGCGGAGAAGGAAGCTAAACCTCGTTTCATTGCATTCTTTTTTGTTTGATGGTTTCGGTGTCTGCTTGTATTTATACATACCTCCGATTAAATTGCAACGCAATGTCCTAAGGCATACTCTATAATTGCCTCCCCTGTCCTTGCTGGTAAAATAGAGTATCGTATGTATGGCAATAATGGCATATCAACCTTTGATCATGCATTAAAATCCCTGTGTTTTTTGCAGAGAACATCGCTGGATAATTACGAAGTGACACGACATCATGTTTCTGGATATCAAAGTCACGGGCTGAGTCAACTGTCGTCAAATGATCAATATCATGCAATATCAATGAATACTTTTTAGTTTTTAATGGAAGCTTTGATGGGTCCAAACCACCAGCTTTATCCAGTTGTATGTATATATATATATATAGATAGATAGATAGATAGATATATGAGAAAAGCTTTTATATATCTCAGTAAATATCTATATATCATAATAGTTCGTTGAAGCTAAAGATTGAAGCAAAAACTGAGTTTTTGACTCTCTTTCTCGTTTTATAAAAATTAGCAAATTAAATTTTATAAAAATTAGCAAATGATTGTATTTTACATAGTTATAGACCTTTCTAGATAATTACTCTCTATGCGTCTGTCTCAAACGTTCAAAAACTCAGAAAAACTACCTTCAAATTTGGCTTGAAAGATAGCGGCCAAGTTAGCGTTCCAGGTTTTATTACAGTTCAGTGGCCGGAGTCGTAAGAACTTTCTGTGCATGTGTATCTTAGGGCCAGCTGATTACTATTATTACCAGCGATGAAAAACCATGCAGATTAAAGGTGGGATATGAATTTGTTTGATACATTTTTTAGGCTTCACGCTTGTCAAATTTTAAATAGAAGCTAATAATTGTTGAGGGGGAACAGCTAGAAGCCAATTATGCGTTATTCGTTGGACTGATGAACTTTGATCGAATTTAAAATCTTGACGAGAGTCTTGGGTTCTTTAAGGCGGCCATGTTGGCGTGATGATGTTATATTATGTCAATATGAGACGAAGCCCCAAACTCTCACGTTTGCTTCAAGAAATAATGTTAACAATGTTGATTAATCTGATTAATTTAACGCATTATAATAAGTTGATGGTATATATACTGTAAAAAGCACTTTTAAAAAAAGGCACAATTTTGCGGTGATTTCTGTGTAATCTAGGCCTGCGCGCTTTACATTCCAAAGCCTTAGAAATTACCCCTGCATGCCTGAGCATTATATCATGCTAGCACTAGCATCGGTCATGGATATTATTAGTTAGTCATTCATGCAGGGACTGCGCATAACCTGTTAAAGCATAGGCAGCCAAAGTGAACTCAAATAAGACTGGAACGCTCACTCTGTCGGAAGTTTGAAGCTAAGATGGCGGACACTGATGCCTTTCTTGTAATTTTTCCTTTGAAATTTCCGCGCCAGACGCCTGGATCATACCAACAAGAAAGGCTTCATGATCCGCCATCTTGGCTTCACTCATTAATGAGGGAAAGTCAGAGAGTAAGCGTTCCAGTCATAATACAAGTTATTTCATCCTAATATTCATTATATTCGTCCTAATATATACAGGAAAGGTTGTTTTAGGAAATTACCACTTATTTTTTTCTTTAATGTTGTTTTCGATTAATTACCACTTATTTATTTATTTAATGTTGTTTTCGATCAAAACGCTTGACAATGTGAGCAATGTGACAGCGTGTACTGGTTTGAAATGTCACGGGTCCAAGTTAGGGAGGGACGAAGTAGTGTGAAACTTGTATGTACATATTGAAACCAAAAATGCAGTATACAACCAGAATTTGAAAATATGGTTTAACTGCATGTGCCAACTAAATTTGTATAACAAGGGCCGAGGCAGTCAAGAATGGTTCCGTTTCATATTGGACAAGTGCAGCATCATGGCAAAAGAAACATTTTATTGGGTAAAAAGACTTTGTTGATTTAAATCAGTTGCAGATACGATATGGTTTGGAAATCATAACGTCGACATATAATCCTTACAAACAAATTTTTTGTTCTACTCGCTTACCAGATATCCTAGCTGACAAAGTTTTGACAACATCAAGAAGTCAAAAATGAGAATCAGTAGCCTTCGATCAAGATTTCATTTGCTTATTGGCGTAACAGGCTTGTTGATATTCTGTTTAGGGGTTCTCATATTAGCATCAGGAATACAAATAAGAAATCTTCTAACAACATTTGACAGATTCGGGGATTCTTGGAAGGCGTATAACACTTGCCAATATTGGGCGGGAATACCGGTAAGTAAAAACTAAACAAAAAAACGCCAAAATGAATCATTTCGTTCTTTGACAGATACGCTATATCAATTTGTTTTTACTTCAGACAATTCTCACTGGAGGAGTATTGGTTCTTTCTGTTCTCGTGAATAGACATCAGTCCTTGGTAAGATTTGAATTTAAAACATGATCACGCAATGTACTTCTGAGTCAGTACGATAACTTAAAGACGATTAAATATCTTTCAATGAAACATAAAAATACCTTTTAATCTATGTTGATTATAATCTCAACTATTAATTTCGTTGATTATGCGAATTGAAGAGAATATAGCAATCTCATGATTTCAAATGAGCCACAACAAAAACAGCGGTTAAGATGGTAAGATTGTGCAGAGCCCGGGAGTTTCAGGTAAACGAGAATCGTAGTGTGAATTAATACTTTATGTAAGGAATATAGAAAGACAAAAACTTTCTTTTAACAAGACGCGTAGCAAAGCATCTTTAGTGATGACAGATGAGGTGGATTCAGACACAAGTTCCCATTGAGCTATCCCTAAAGTATTATATTTTCCAACGTTAAAAATTATAATAATGACAATTTTAAACTGATAAAGCTTTCTAATAATATCTTAACTCTAAATTCAATTCACCTTAGGAATTAAACCTTACTATCGGCATGCTCAAGAGTAGTCTTATAAATAAAAACTTTAAATAAAGTTTTTACATCATATTACATTTTTTATCTCTTTAGAAATACATCAGCTTATGTTGTGCTGCGATTACGATGGTTCTAACACTGGGGATCATCATCCAGGAATCAGGACATGCTTTAAGCGTACATTACGTTGTCCTGTTGGATGGTCGATGCGATGATATAAATGATTCATCCGAATATTACAAGGATTGTTTAAAATTCATGGAGGCTGATCCCTGGTATTACACCATGTTATTTGGTGCAGATATTGTTTTGGTGTTGTGTTCATTGGTGACGTTGTTACTGTTTGGTGACTGGATCATATTTGTTTTACCGGTAAGAATTATCCCCTGCCTCAGCGGGACGAAAACTAGTAGATTGTTCTCGATTTGTGATTGTCAATGATTTCCTTGTTGTAACCCGGGCTGACCCCAAAATCAAGACCAATGACACCGGAACGTTTCGAAGGCGAAGAAGCAGAAAAGAAGAACTTTGGTATATGACGCACATTATGAGTGCTCGCAACTGACATCGGAAGTTGTTGCCCTTCCGCAGGCATCTCCAAATACGTCGACAATGTTTATAATATACTCTGATATTTATTGTCATATTAATAATATAATTTTATATTCAGTGGTTTTGTTCCAGCCTCCTCCACAGGCATCTCTTATGTATTAAGAATATGCGTATTTGGCCTGGGCTAGCTGTGTCGGGGAGCGTGAAACAAAAAATATTGAGGGGATCTCTTCGACTTTTTCCCTCGCCTTTCATGACACAGCATTTTAAAGAGTGCCTGCAGGGGAGGAAGCTAAACCTTTTTGCATTCTTTTTTTGTTTGAGGGTTTCGGTGTCTGCTTGTATTTATACATACCTCCGATTAAATTGCAATGCAATGTCCTAAGGCTAAGGCATACTCTAATTGCCTCCCCTGTCCTTGCTGGTAAAATAGAGTATCGTATGTATGGCAATAATAGCATATCAACCTATGATCATGAATTAAAATCCCTGTGTTTTTTGCAGAGAACATCGTCTCAAAATTACGAAGTGACACGACATCATGTTTCTGGATATCAAGGTCACGGGCTGAGTCAACTGTCGTCAAATGATCATTACGATCCAAATGCAATATCATTGAACACTGTTTAGATTTTAATAGGAGCTTTGATGGGTCCGAACCATCAGCCTATCCAGTTATATATATTATATCAGAGGAACTTTTATATATCTCAGTAAATATCTATATATATCATGCACATGATATTACATGGTGGTATTACTATACTATGATCATGTGGGGGTAAATCAATTATGATTCTTAGCACTTCACTCGTTGTAGGTAAATTCTAGTGGTTGAAAGGGTCTTAACTTCGAGAGGAATTATACACACTTTAAATTCAAGGGAGCGCACTTGACAAAAAGTGTTCTTGGCCAACCGCACAAGGAGGTCATTAGACTTGCTACAAGTCGACTCTTTAAACCCACACGCGAGCTTGAGGCCTTCGCGAACTCGCTACGCTCGGTCACTCAAGCTCGCGTGTGGGTTTAGAGTCGACTTGTAGCAAGTCTAGGAGGTCATATGGTGTCTTGGTTTCAGGTCATCCTTTTCGACGCGTTCCTAAACTTAATTTTCGACAAGCACAAAAAGTGGCAGGGTAATGACCAATAATGTGTAAAAAGGCAGGATGGCGTGAAATAAAGAGTGCATTTCTTGAAGATTTGGTACTGTCGTCATGTCACACACCATAGACAATCCAGAAGACATGAAAATCTGTCTTCTGGATTATTTATGGTCACACGCACGAAATGTTCTCTTTGAGCCCAGTCGCTAACCGCCACCCATTCCTGAATCCTAACCGCAAATCACGAAATCCGTAACATAACGATATAACAGAAAATTCTGATTAGGAAAGTAAAAGGACTTAGGACCTGTTTACATCGGGCGAGTTATCCCGGCTAGGCGAGGTGAAAACTGCATATAATGAAAGACTAATCAGGTTAAGCCTTTGATGTGATGCCTTTTGAACACGGAGCGAGCGAGCTCATAGAAGAAAACCTTTTGCATATTATTATATTCAAATATTTTTAACGAAGCGACGTGATCAGGTGTGAATTATTCAGTGGCTCTGGAGCCATTCCCCACAGCAAGTTGAAGTGCGCAACCTCAACAAAATTGTTCATTTAAGAATTAGCTACGGAGTTTATTCAGTACAGAGTAAATAATAAACATATATAATAGCTAAATAATAAAAAATGAAATGAAGAAATAATAACAACTTCAAATTTCTATAACAAGACAAATTACAACTATCAAATTTTCAAAACACGACGGCAGTTGAGATTCCTAAACCTACTTTTGGTGTTGTTAAAAGTAAAAGTTACTACACTTGGAACCACTTCGCAGTTTTCGCAGGGCAGCTTATTCCAGCTTCTTGAGCTATTTTGGTGACAGTCTCAATATTTTTCCACACAATTTTCCTTTTTGCACTTTTGATTTCGCGGCCAATGTCTCGGTGATAATTTTCCAGGATTCTCAAACAGTACTTCTCATATTTACCAGTACACTGTGTCTTACCTGCTTTAATTCTGCTATAGTGGGAATCATGGTTGAAAAGCATGAGCAAATCTTTCATGTCTGATGCACTGTAATTTCTACACATTTCTGGTGTATTACCTGCCACTTTTTGTGCTTGACAAAAACTAATTTTAGGAACGCGTCGAAGAGGATGATCTGAAGTCAGGACACCATGACCTCCTGTATGCGGTTGGCGAAGAACACTTGTATGTTTTGGTTCTAGTTTGTGCCCATTTGGTAAAAATTTGTTGTATTTAGCTAAGTCTTCACAAATCTCAAGGCTCCAGTCATATCTTTCTCTTTCAAAGTACCAGGCATAACTCAAAATTACACTCACTGGAGAGAGATATCCAGTGCCTGTGTGATAGAATTTTTTAAAGGCTTCTGCAAAGTTGGTCGTATTGAATCTTTTAAGTATGTGACTCCTGCAGTGCGTTACCGTATCGCGGTAAAAATAAACAGGGAAATATATCATAAAGTCAGCAATCATTGGAAACCCGATGGCCAATTGAGTGGTTTTCGCCCAGGATTTGACCCAACCGTATCTTTTTCCATTACAACAAGAACCTACAACACGGACCTTTGTTCCGTTAAGGATAGCGGATTGTGTCACTGGAATTATTAAACTGGCGTCATTATCCATCCATGCTATTATCGAGTCATTCGAAAATTTATCAATGAAGAAACTGCTCCAGAGCTGGCGATTGTAGCCAGGACTCTTGAGTCGACGTGGAAAATCTAAAACTTTCTTGTCCTTAGGTAATGGTTCGTATTTAACTTCAATATCGTATTCAGGGAAGTATTGATTTGTCTGTTGTTTGAGTTGCTTGTCAAATTCATGATCTTCTTGTGACTCCTGATCAAGTGCGACCACAATTTTTCCCAATGAAGGAGGCCAAAATACAACAATCGTCTTGAAGAAAATACAGTAAAAACGAGTTCTGTGATCCGTTCTGCCAGTCATCCTCACAAATAACGAAACATTCCCTGCTTTTGTTGAGATGACTTCTTCATTACTACTTAAATATTTGCGGAAATAAGTCTTGGTTGTTGCACTATAAAAATGTACGCAAATCAGCAGAACGATGGAAATTACACTAATAACAATAAAACTACTGTATTTTTTAAGCCGCATTTTAAAACGTTAGCATATGTGACTTTATACTGTAACGACGAACTAAAACCAACACGTTTGCTATTATGTTATGTATAGGGTAGAGCGTAATTCGGTTTTTGTTGTGGTACATAAATAAGAGATCACTGCCATGTATATTGTTTACAACTGATTGATCGCAGCGGTTAACCCTTTGGTTATGTAAATAGTGACATTCAGTTCGTTCAGTTTGGAAATCATTCTATCTTTCATTTCTGTTCTAACTGTGGTTCTACGTTCCTTCAATATGTCCCAGTCGACTAGGACTGAGCTTAGTCTGTGACTGGCCCTTGGACTTGCTCATTGACATGTTGTCGCAATTTCCAAATTACAGTAGATGTTGTGGCAGACATACTGACAAAATCTAAGGCACAGCAAGGGGTCGACGACTAAAGTACAGGAAAAAACGGTCACAAAAAAGCTCAGCCAAAAAACCCGATAATAAGTAAATAAAACTAGGGATCCAAGGATAGTGCAAAGTTAGATAGATCGTGCTAAGCATCCAGTCATTTGTCCTAACATAAACGTTTTGACTTATGGCAGTAAAATATAAAGAACTAGCTAAACATTACCCTTGATCAAACAGGAAATTACTCAAATACGTTATTTTCACGCCGCGATATTGTCACTTAAATTATAATTTTAGTTGTTCATGCATAGCGGGTGCAATTTTTTCAGTTTTGCATATTTTCTTCTGACGGAATTGAGAACAGTCATGTTGTAATAATTTATTTATGCTGTTAAAATTCTGAGAAGTTGTGAGGAGTATTTAGGTCTGAACTGTTGCTTTAAATTTAAGGTAATTTACATAGAGGAACAATTACTGGATAAAAACTGGATTCATACTCAAACAAGACGCCTGTTCTGGCGTTAACTCCGGCGTGCCGCGCACGTGCCAGTCTCAATATAAATTATTAAGAGTATGAATTCATTTAGATACAAATACAACAAACGTCTTGAAGATAATATAGTAAAAACGAGTTATGAAACATTCTCTGAATGTGTGAAAATGATTTCCTCATTTTGAGTAAGATATTTCGCGTGATAAGTCTTGGTTGTTGCACTATAAAAATGTACGTAGATTAGCAGAACGATGGAAATTACAAGAAGAATATTAAGAAAAGCATTCCGTTTGAAATTTTGAAGGCCCATTGAAAAGAAAAACGGCAGCAGAAATATGTAACTTGTTTAATACATTTCAAGCACAGATGCTTCTGTTTTATTTCTTCAGTTGTATAAGACTCGCTTAACTTGTAACTATAGTTAACGTTAAGGACAGACTTGGCTAACCAGAGTCGTGTATTCCTGATTTAACTATAGGATTTAGACAGCCGGTACTTAATGAATAATTAACTTTAAAACGCGTCAACAAATAACTCGTAGTTGTTACGCTATATAATGTACGTAAATTAGCAGAACGATAGGAATAAGACCAACCGTTAGATATTCGATGCCCCATTGAAGAGAAAAACGATAGCAGAAATATGTAACTTCTTACATTTCAAGCGGCACAGAAGCTTGCGTATATTAAAGTACGCCTTATTCCTCAACAATCATGAATATAATAATGAGTACTAGCTACCTCTGGAAGTAGTGCCCGTTCTTGGGCACCGTGCGCAATTTAATTTGGAAGCGCCGTGTTTAACTTACGCATTGACAGTTTTGTCTCAGTTAGGAAAAAAAAAAGAAAAACAAATAAAAAGCCTCCTTGAAGCAGTAAAAGGGGGTCTGGTGTGTGCTAATATTGAGGAGGTATGTTGTAATATTAAAATAAAACCATACAATGACATATAGTAAAATGATTTATTGCTTTACAATAGGAATAAATTAAAACATGTTATTTACAACATACCGTAAAATTATGAAAATCAACCACCTCATTTTATATATCTACAATATCTCCAAACCCTTTGATTTAACAAGGGTCCCCAATAAATTAATTTAACCCTTAATTTAACATTCCCACAACAACAACCCCCCCCCAAACATGACTGAATGTAGCATTCAACAATATCCAACCCACCCTCAATTTAAGTGTCTGCAACATCCCCCAAACCTAATAATAAGTGTCCCTAACAAACTCTTAATTTAACTTTGTCACCACCAACACATCCCCCCCCCCCCCGTGACTATATGTATTCATAGCATTCAAAGCATCTTTGTATCCTCAAGGTTTTAAATGTTAGACAAAATATTCTTCCTAAAAACAATACTTAGATTGAATTCAAAGAGCAATGTAACTCTGGATGCCTGGGACCAGTTGTATACTCTAGTTACATTTAACTGCATATAGTAAGGACAAAATTGGATTGCAAAAATGTAGTTAAAACGTTTTTAGTTGTCCTTATGATAGGTATTCTGTGTCAGGGAAGGTCTTTTGCCCTTTATATGTGCTATTTCTAACACTAGAAAATAAATGGTTAAAGATAGACTGGCCACAAGTTGGTTGAAAAAATACCCTGAACATTGCTTCTTTTAGGAATGCTATCATTACCCTTCTGCTCCTCACCGAATTCAATATCAACATCATATGTGTTAGTTTGTTTCTTTGACAGACGCTTAGCTTCAGAACGAATTATCATACTATTGACATTGTAACCATAAGTGTACGCTGTCATATTATTTGTACCACCACATGCTTGCCTTTGCATAGAAAAGAATGACTCAACTATATCTTGACTTATTCTTTTAGGAATGATATAAGGCGGACTTCCATGAAGGGATCTGAATTCAGGTGTACCAATGAATTTAACCAGTGCTTTAAAGCCATTGATTGTTACCTGGAAATATATAAGGCAAATATAATTATAAGGTATATATTTTGTTAGGCCCAATAGTTGTTAATGTTTTAGTTCGCAAACATGATTTACATTGACTGTTTTAGTAACTGTAAGCTTTTGCATTGCTGGTCAATTTACCATACCACTTCTGTTTTTCACTTAATATGTGAACTTTTTGTATATAAATTTGGAAATAAATGGGCTTTAAACAATCGCTTTTGTGATTTTTTTTTACCTGTATATCAAACATAGTTTGCCAACTAATGAAATGGGATGATATCTCTGATTTAAGTGCATATATAGAAGCCAATTCATTTTTCCAACTTTTAAAAAAGTCTAGTACATCATCTAAAGCTTTGATTCGGGTATCTTCTAATGAACTTAATGGTTTAGTATCGTTGAAGACATTCCACAATGCATCACAGTTTGAAATAAATTGCTGAGTTGATTTAGTTGCTTCATTTTCATACTTAGCCATGTCCTTTTGCACCTTTGAATTAAGTACTTGAACAGCTAGTTTAACACGCATTTTGCTCAAGCTGTCAAGATGGACATGAGAACTTCTAATGTCTGTGGAAAATAAATGTCTTCGTTTGTCTCGTAGATAAACTGAATATATATGTTCCCATAAGATATTCTTTGAATTCAGCAATAAGCACCTGGTGTATCGTGAGGAGTTTTCCTTATCGCCACTTTTGTAAATATTGTTCCGGAGTTTTTTGATTAGGTGAGGTGGATCAGACAAGAAAAACAATGGAAGCTTTGAAAATGGATTGATAACTTGAGCTACAGTATCACTACAGCCATTCATTTCCATAAATGCCCTGTTTTCAGAGGCTCCATCGCAGCACGACACAATGACTTTAAAGTCGAATGAATGAAGTAAACCTACTCCCTGCCAAAATGTTCTATTCAAGTTGTAAGCTGAAATTCCATTTGTTAAGAAATATGCACATGGGAATTGGAAATTACTGAATATACTTTTGAAGAAGAACTGTAACACATGCGTCGCTAAGCTTTTTCGTACAGAAGACATTGTTGTTGTATTCCCATTTGGAGTATCACCTTCATCACTACACAGGTCTGTAAAACCAATCAATTCCCAAGAAGATGGGTCAAACACCAACCCTTCTTTGATTTTAACTTCATCGAAAAAAAGCCCACCAAACTTCCCTATTTCTGAAATGCCTTGCTTTGTGAAACCTTCTCTCATAGCGTTTAGCACTGACGTTTGCCACCCAGATTTTGAAGAACTAAAGTTTTTGTAGTCTGAAAGAGTTCTACCACTTGGAAGTTTTAGGAGTCCAGATTCACGGAGGTCATCATAAATGCTGTGGGACTTAGAATAGATACGGAGGCACCATTTCAATACCAAGGGATGCCACCTCATTTGCCTTGAAGGCATATTCAAAGCCTTTGCTTGGTCTTGCAAGAGTGTTAAGAAGAATGTGTCAGACTCCTGACCAGTATGTTCAGTGATGTGTGATTGTAGAAGCTTCTTTTTGCCAAACGTTTTGTCACAACCAAGCCATTTACATTGATACTTCCTATTTATTGGAGCTTCATCTGAAACAGTTGCCATGTGACAGGTAGTTATATGCTTCACTAACAACTCTGGTTTCTTGTGATCATGCTGTAAATGCAAACAATCCTCCCAATAACAAATATTGTTGTCTTGCTTCTCAATATTTTTGCTAAGCCCCTTGTATAGCTGCTTAAACAATGTCCTGAAATCAGAATCTGTATCATTTCCCACTGTACTCATTTCCTGTTGGTACTGTTCAAGGCGTTTTAACCTAATTTGCATTCTGTGGACTTTCCCTGCCATTTCTCTACTGTTCTCAATAAGGTTCTCTTTGGACATGTAATCAAACCGAGTGTGTTTTGAATAATTGTTTTGGTTAGGTTTTTGGTTTCTGGATTTAACTGTCCTTAAATAATGTTCCATCTTCAAGCACTCTTTGCAACATCTATCATCTTCAATTAGAAAGCTACATTTTGTAGATCGGACACACTTCTCATAAACACCAGAATCCTTATGCATTGTCTCAACAAATGCACCTGGTTCACCATCCCTTGTCTTATACACAGGAAAAGTATTATTCTCATTTAGTAAATTTGTGTAATTTTCCACTGACACTCCCGAACAAATACTAAGCTTCTCCAGCGACTCCATGAGAAGATACAACTCACTCTTACTCTGTATGGTTCGAGGTATTGTGTTACTTAAATCTAAAGTTTCCGGTATGTGCTTTTCTTTGGAAACAAAGGAGTAAGTACCATCTGCTAATATTACTATTTCATAATGGACTGTAACCATACTATTGTTCATATAATATAAGTGTACTTCCAATTTATCAACATTGGAGATGACTTTCCACTTTGGAAACCTACTTTGAATGCTACTAATTATTAAATTGACACGGTATGCCAAAGCTTGGGTTTTTTCACTTTCTTCTAAACTGGAAAGGCATTCTGACTCTAAATCTTTCTTTAAACTCTCAAAGTTTTGCCAGTTGTTAGCATCTGGATCAAGCAGCAGAGTTATTAGATCTTGTTGGTGATTGGCAACAATTGTCTCAATGTAATTAGAATAATATTTCCACCTAAGCTTCCCATTAAACTTCCCAAGACCCTTGGTTATGTTGTTAATCGATCTGTAGAAATACATTTTGATGTTGCTGCAAGTGAAACGGACACCATATACTTTGTAAACAGCCAGTGAGATACCAGCATATTTTTCTGCAGAGCAAGTTCCTAATTTAGTTCCAGGAGGTAGTGCAACATTCACTAACGAATACATAAGCAGTTCCTCAGGTTGTAATGTTATTTTCCTGCAGTATTGAATGGGCGTTGAAACAGCATTTAAGAAAGCATTTCCCAAGTCAGCACACGGTTGTAATCTTTCGTTTCCATTAGGTGAAACCGGAGACACATTTGTTGTGTTTTGCTCAGACTGGGAGGTCGCTGGTTCATCAAATTGCGAAACTTTTATCCTCTTAGACGGAGAGGCAAGTTGCTCAGTCGCTCTTCTCTTACAATAAGTATCACACATTTTAATTTTTTGGTTTAACTTGATGTCCACGGACTTTTAGTAAAAGGATAATACAAAGATACGTTTGAACCGTTGTTTGGCTTTCGCAAGCGACATGGCGTGAAAACATTTAAAAAACCTTCTATTTGGTATACGCATCTTTTTCGTTCGATGAAATACAATTTGTTTTGCAGGCAACCGACTTTTGAAAGTAAATATCGAAAAGAGTACAATTCAAATTTTCGTTTTCTCAACAAATCTAAACGGGAAGCTTTCTTGGCGGAATGATCACACGATGTCAAGACTGGTGCTATATTTATTTAACACTTGCGCTCGGCATACTTTTAGCCAAGGCATATTTTGAAAATTGTCTTAAGCACAAATTTAGCTTACAGCTTACAGTTACTTTAACGCAATGTTTTAAAACGAGCCAATTTTTTTCTATTCAATGACGCAGAATCTTTATATAACGAAACTGCAGCTTTTGTTTACTTCTCTACGGTGAAAATCGTAGCCTAAGGAGGCAAGTTTTAACTCGCAATAATACGCGACTTTCAATCGCTATATCCTCATATGTTCAATTCAGATTTTAATAAAAACGTTAAAATATAAGAAGATAAATATAATCTTTGACATACCTGAATTCCAAGCCTGGGACTAATTGACAACATTCGCATATCCTGCATTAAAAATTACCCTTCATGGAAGTCACCAAAGAACAACTTATTATCCAAAATATTTTCTTTACAATACCACTTCATGCACCAAACAAGCGTTCAAAAGATAAAATAGTAAGTAATTTGTCGGAACAATCTAAAAACTGTAAAAAAAAATCGATTATTGAGAAAAAACAGCCATTGTACAAACAGCGTTGAAAAATGAACTCCTTTTTGACTTTTGTCGAAAAGCACGCTCGTGCCAGTCCATTTCCGCATCACACATCGATCAGCGCGCAGTAAGCGCGTTGCACCGCCCACTATATAAGCGCCCTGATGCAAACGTCATGGAAACACTCTAATTTGCGTAAGTGGATACCTCAAATAGCATTTCAATGTCAGTGAAACTATTTATATTATCTACGACATTTCATCTTCGGGTACGACATTGCATCTCCGGGTACGACATTCATCTCCGGGTACGACATTTCATCTCCGGGTACGACATTTCATCTCCGGGTACGGCATTGCATCTCCGGGTACGGCATTTCATCTCCGAGTACGACATTTCATCTCCGGGTACGGCATTGCATCTCTGAGTACGACATTTCATCTCCGGGGACGGCATTTTATCTCCGGGTACGGCATTGCATCTCCGCATACGGCATTGCATCTCCGCATACGGCATTTCATCTGCGAGTGCGACATTTCATCTCCGGGTACGACATTTCATCTCCGAGTACGACATTGAAACTCCGGGTACGGAATTGTAAAATAGCCTGGACGGAATATAGAGTGCAATACATTGTTTGTTACAATTTCGTCCATAACCAAACTAAATCGTTAAAAGTTTTTTGAAATCAACAATAATTGTTATACCGGGAAAATATTCAGGGTGGAAATTAATATGACGAATATCCTTCGCTCAAAATTTCATTTGCTGATAGGCCTAACAGGCACGGCCGTGTTTTGTTTGGGATTCTTTATATTAGCGTCAGGTATCGTGGTAAAAAATCTTCTGAATGGACTGGAAACATTTTCGCATCTTGGCCGAAATGGCGCTTGTGAATATTGGGGTGGATTACCGGTTAGTCATGCTATGTCACATGTTTACTGATGCCTTAAACGCGTACAAACGTACGGAGTCTAAAAATATTTGTAAATTATAAACCAGTTAAATCACACTTATGCATGTATCTCAAGCAAAACTCGAGCATATTGTATCAAAATTAAACTGTCAATGTTTTAAATGTTAAACGCTGTAATAATTTCCGTCATGCTGATAACGCTAAAAGTTGACACGGGAATTCGTAGTTGTGATGTTGGCATGTTGCATGTATTGTGTGAAAGTCATAACTGTCAGCTACCACAACAGCCACATTGACATGTTCACGACAAGAATATGTGGGTGCAGTGTGTAGACAACATGCACTGATGATCGATTTAAATTAGAAAAATGAAGACAAATTTACATCCAGACTATATTTCTTAACGGTGAAAGCGACCTGTTTGGGACAATTACTGACGACTCACTGGAAACCTGGTTTAACAATATGCGGCCCATTAAATGTTGTGAACTTTTATTAAGATTTTTTTTATTATGTAAATCTATAATAAAAATTGTTATAAAGAGAGCAAGAATAACTTAAATTGCCGAAATATAGCTTATTATAATGATAAACATTAGCGTACGACTCGATAGCATAAACAGCGAATGACGTACAAGTCATTTGCTGGGGGACTGCGTAGGAGTCAGTGTAAAAGGAACACTTTCTAGCCCCCCTCCCCCAGTTATATAAGGCAGGTTTAGCACGAGGACGTGAATGTCAAAGAGGACGTGAAAATGGCGTGATGCGCAAAGACATTGCCCCCAATCGAAGTATCTCGAAGACTCGAACAACGTGTTTTATCGTGTTTTTTTCTTTTAGACCATTCTTACAGGAAGTATATTAACGCTCGCTGTTATCTTGAATAAACACCGCTTTTTGGTAAGATCCTATGAACTTACGGGTATTTGTAAACACAGACCTAGGTTTTGTGGGGCGGTTTTACACACCTTGCAGGCACCAATAAACCTTTACACATTTTACATACCTTTCCAGAAATACATCAGTCTATGTGCTGTTCTAATTACGATGGTATTAACACTAGGAGTCATTATGGAGGAATTGCTATTTGCTGCTACGGTATACCAGTATAGCCGTGAAGATAGTTTTGCCTGCCGAAAAATACCGAGAGTTGATTGGATCGAACGTGAAGAAGATTGTCTAAAGTTGAAGAAGGCAGTTCCCTGGTATTACATCATGCTATTTGCAGCAAATATTGTTTTTGTATTGTGTTCATTTGTGGCGCTGATATTGTTTATTGACTGGATCTTATTTGTCGCTCTGGTAAGATGATCAATCAATTTTTTTTAATATCAATCAACCAATTTTTAATAAGCACTGTAGTGCGTGTATGCAAGAAAACGTTTAAAATACCGGAGGATTTGTAGCTTTTGGTCGCTCTAACTAAACGTTGCATGATCAAGTTATGTGTTGCTTAAATGACGTCACACATCTCTCGCCCCAAGCTCCTTTATTGTCGAAGAAATTATTCAAAAATAAGTAACTTTATCTGCTAAAAACTATACCATTTTTTTTAATTTTTTCGAAAAAATATCGACACTATTATATTCCTCCGGTCTGTACTTTATAATATCAACGAAGTTAAAATGGCTGAATATGCAATGTACTAGACTAATCCTACTACAACTTGATATTTTAGCATTGGACGTTTATTAGCTGTATATGTAATCCCATTTTACGCTGTCTTTTCTATACCAGGGTTGCCAGATTTATGAATTTCTGAGTCCAAACTCTGACACAATGGCCTTTCGTTTTCTTTGTCTTCTTGAGAGTATTAATGAAATTTGGACTCAAATATTCACTAATCTGGCAACCCTGTCCGACATCAAACAATGAACTATATATGAGCACCCAATGAGGGGGAATTTCGTTTTAGACCAATCAGCAAGTTTGTTTACATTTTCAGTAACCGAATCAGAATGCATAAATTTGGATAAAAAGTACAATATATACCATTTTACATGAAGTATTAAAAATTTAGACATTCTGATTGGCTTTGCCTAAAAACTGTAAACAAATATGGCGATTAGTTTAAAACGAAATTCCGCCTTGTTTGAGCAGTGAGCACGCCCTGATACATGCAAGAATTATATTGCGTATCTAGACTCATACAGCATATGTACATGACATGGTATTATCTCTAATATACAATCTTCGTGCATTGGCCTAAATCTACTCATGCGATTGGTCAAAATCAACCACGTGGTTTCTTGTTGCCTGGCAACAGATCATGAGAATTATAGTTTATTCGCAATAACCTGTGAAAATCGTGGTTTCGTAGTTTATTCAAAAATGACAGCCTGCAGCGAAGCTTGGATCTTCATTGCAGCAATCAAAGAACTCAGATTGTACATTAAAAGTGTTAGAGACTTTATGCCCTTAACCCTTAATTAAATCACACTTTTTTTTTAAATATTTGTAGAGAACACCGCATAATAATTTCGAAATGGTGTATCAACTCTCTCCAGGAAGTCAAAGAGGATATTCTGATTTGCAGAGTCAAACATTGTCCGATCCTTAAGAAAATCCAATCAAGTATTATCTTTACAACCATCCTCGATGGTGACACAACCAGTGCACTCGTATTAGACTTCGCCGATTCTTTTTTAACCAATGGCTTAGTTTCCACGTTTGCATAGCTAATTTTAAGAATTTTTTATCACTGCACATATCATCACAATGGTATAGTGGAGAGAGGGGACATGATAAAAATGGTCCTAACTGGAAATTGGTGATTTGAAGATAGGGAAATTGTATGGGGTCTGCAGGACCTCTTGTAGAAAATTTTCCGTATTTTTGAGTCCCTGTGACTTGATTTCCAGCATTTTGGGGGACAATTACTTATGAATCCACCTCAGCAGAGTGAGTTCTGTTGAGAAAATACCATTTTCACTGCACATTTCTCATTTTATCATTGCACATTCTACTTTTATCACTGCACAAATTGGTTATCACACTGCACACTAAAATTAGGTATGCACGTTTGGTGGCGAAATTATTCATGTTTCGACTCTTCTGTTCCGACTCTTCAAACAATTAAAATGCCTCCGGAATATGCAAATTTCAGAGAACGAAAATTAGGATGCCGTGTCAAATTTACAGGGGCCGGTTCACGGTTGTTTGAAAGGCGTTTACCTGCTTAAACGGTGGATAAGTTCAAAATGGAAACAAAATTATCTATTTATTGGTTGAATAACTGAGCTGAAATATTTCGATGTAAATAGTTTAATTTTCAACGGAAAAACATATTTAATGCATAAGATGTAATTTCAGTCACTCACAAGATGTATGAGAGTGTTTTTAAGCTTATCCCGACAAGGAGTACTGTGCTAAACATTCTTGTCGTGTAAACGGGGTATAAGGGCTGCTTTCCACGTGTTTTTCATCACGCACGTACACACACGTAAAATTCTAAATTCTTTTCAAATTTGAAAAAGCCATGTGAATAAATCGAAAGAACTTCGTTTTAAGAACGCACACTCATAATTCTCTTATTTCACTTTATCCTTTGGCTTCGTATAGTTTCCGTTTCCGCCGTTCAGTGTCAAGTATTTTATTTCAACCCTGTCGTGGTCTACTGATTTATTCAATTTTTATTCAGTGATTCAGTGATTTTGCTGTGACCACGCCATCACGGGATGTTTCATTGAATACACTTGCAGGAAAACATTAATAAATATGACGAGTAACCTTCGCTCAAAATTTCATTTGGTGATCGGCCTAACGGGCACGTTAGTCTTTTGTTCGGGAGTTTTTATACTAGCGTCAGGAATCGTGGTAAGGGATCTTCTCGATGATATGGAGACATTTTATGGTTATGGGGGTAACACTTGCCAATATTGGGCTGGAATACCGGTAAGTCGTGTTTGCCATGCAAATGTTAAGGCTGCTCGTCAAAGTGCAATGATTCGATATATTTTGTTGTAATCTACGAGTCATAATTCGTTGGTCTGCCATGCACGAAATATGTAATACAATATGTATTGAACATACGAATGTTTGTTGTTGTCTGCAGATTCACTTGGATGAATCTTCAGTCAAATTTGTACACCTACAAACTCATAAGCGAGATCTCGGACGGGATCTCTCCAGCCCGCCGTTTCATATAAACGCACAGAAGTTTTTATTAAGAAATATATTCGTGGTGAGATCTCGCTAGCCGGGCGGACGGCTTCCATATAAACAGCCCCTAAACGTTGTCTGTTCGCACCATGCTGTGCGACAAGACAGCGCAAAAGGAATTCGAAATAATAATAAATGTAATGAACTAATGATCAAGCAACGATTTGCTTTTACGCGTTCTTAAACCTTTTCTTGCTGTGTAAAAGGAACATTTTCATTTTAACTTTGCTTGACAGCTCCACTGTAGTCAAAACTCTTTTCAGATACCCAGTATTTGGAAGTGAAAGGTTAATGCCAACATTTCTAAGATTATATATGTTAACATTCTTTTTAAATTAGGGACCGGAATATATTTTGTTTAGTATTTTAAACATCAAGACACATTTATTCATTTTATTTCTGTCATTTAGACTCATCCACGACATAGCGTGGAGAAAATCTGACGACTTAACATCGTAATTTTCCCTGTTATATTTGTAATTTTGCATACTTCTATCAGTTCTATGCACAATTGTCCCATTAAGGAGAGCAATAATCGTAATATGGGAACAAGCCAATTATGGCTACATAAGGAGTCTATATATAGTTTCTCCCAGCTCATTCTTTCATTTCATTCTACTCCCAAAGAACGGAGATTAAATTTTGTTATTAGTTCTGGGAGACTTGAGGAAGAGGAGTATATCTGAGTGTCATCAGCATACATACCAGAAGTTGTACTTTTTAGACACTCTGTATGGCAGGTCAAGAACAATAAAATCACTACCATTAAATCGTTTAAAATTTCGAACTTTCCAGGGAGGTTTGCTTATATTTTGGAATATTTTACCACATAAATTAAACTATGATCTGAGTTCTCAGATCAATAATAACCATGCACAATCAGAAATATTGTCAGGCTGGTCATGCACCTTTATAGGCACTATAAGCATGTCACCTATGATAATCACCTGCTTGTCTTTTGAACTGCATTTACTAAGAAATATCTCAAAGAAATGAAATAATTTCATCATTCTCAGATTTGGGCAATCTATACCATGCACTAATGTGAAATGGTCTACTTTGTGGTTTGCAGATCTCAATTCTCAGTACAAATTATTTTAAGATCTTCTTTAAAGATGGTTTAAATCCTTTCTTTCATAGAAGAAGTGTACTTATTACTCGGATGAAGACAACTACTCCACTGCCAAATTTATTGCGATCTCTACGAATTAGCCATATCCTGAAATACCTATTTCACTATCAGTTAACTTGGAATTATTTAGTTTGACTCGTTATTTCGTTTATAGCAAAAACATTACTTTTAGAATTACCAACAGCAGTCGTTCACTGATAAACATATTTTAATAAACTATCACGTTTCAATCGACGTTTCTCCCACTTGTTTATATAATCATTTTTCTTTTGTTTCAGACTATCCTTACAGGGAGTATATTAGTCCTCGCTGTTGTCTTCAATAGTCGCCAGTTCTTGGTAAGACTCTGCATGGTTGCATTATATTATAATAATAATAATAAATACGCCAAAGACTAAGAAGAAATACGTACGTAATGGGAAACTAAATTTTTTTAGACTCCCGATAAACGGTCTCCCAGCCATATAACTGAAATCGTTTACATCAAGTGCAATTCAATAACTCGAGCTGGAATTAAGCTGCACTACCCTCTCCCCCTAAACTTTTGGCCCGTACGCCTGTGACTTTACAGCTATGTAGCTACAACACAGACACAGACCTAGGTTTTATGGGTTTAACTATAAAACCTTCGTATATTTCAAACACTTTTCTAGAAATACATCAGTCTATGTGCTGTTCTAATTACGATGGTACTAACAATGGGAGTCATTATGGAGGAATCGGTACATGCTTCTAGCGTTAATTACCATTCCCGTAAAGACAGTTTTATCTGCGGAGATCTGGAGGATTCTAACATGGACAAAGAATCGCTCCACAAACGCAAAAAAGATTGTCTAAATCTTAAGCTGGCAGCTCCCTGGTATTACATCATGGTATTTGCAGCAGATATTACTTTTGTATTGTGTTCACTTGTGGCGCTGATATTGTTTATTGACTGGGTCTTATTTGTCGCTCCGGTAAGATGTTGTTATATTTTTTAGATGATCCTTGACAGGTCAGTGATCATGCATGACCTTTGTTTTTGAGATATGATGTTTTTAGAGAAACCTCTAATTCTTTTAACATTGTATCCACTTATCCTTTACCTTGCTATTTTAGTATTGTACGCTTATTATATAGCTACAGCTAATTCAATCTTACGATGTTTTTCCGGAAACATTAAACTATGAACTATATGCATGAGTACGAATGCATGCAAGAATTATATTGCGTACTTAGACTCGTACAGCAGATGTATTTCATCCCTTTTTAAATCACACTTTTTATTAAAATATTTGTAGAGAACACCGCATAATAATCTCGAAATGGCGTATCAACTCCCTCCAGAAAGTCAAAGAGGATATTCTGATTTTCAGAGACAAACATGGTCCAATACCTAATAAGAAGATTCGAATCCAGTTTTATCTATACAACCATTCGCGATGGTGACACAACCAGTGCACTCGTATTAAACATTAACAAATTTTTGTTACCCAATGGCACGTAGGATGTAGATAAGAAGTCGGTTGAAATATTTGAAAGGTTTTATAATCTTTGAATATAATTTTAATAATTTCCTATGTAACTATGTAACGATTACGAAAAGATTTATAATACCTGTACATATATACACTGGCGGTCAAAAAAAACTGCTCAAAACAAGTTAAAATGCTCTCAAATTAACGTAACTGTCCCTCTAACAATATATACGAGTAAATATAGACTAGATTACATGCTAAGCTATATGAAATATTAATACTTTGTTGACCCTCCTTTGGCCTTATAAATGATGACAGCCTTACACCGGCGTGGCATACTTTCTGTTAAGGTGGTAATCTTAACGGTCAAAAGAAATTCATCCTATGGACAGTCTTTACAGCAACCCATAAATCATGGACGCTTTATGAATTAATTCCTTTCTTGCACTATCCCCTTGACATTGTCCCATAGATTTTCAATAGGGTGAAGGTCTTTTTACTGTGCAGGTCAATCCATTTCTGTCACGCCCTCTTCCTGAAACCATTGTTTGACTATATCTTGGAAGTCTGGTAGGTTGCATTACATTATTGAAATATTGCTTGGAATAAGAGAATTATCCAAAATGCCTATAAAGCTCTCTCCTATGTTCGCTTCCTTTTTATGAATTGGTATTTAAACAGTTCTTTTTGATCGTTAATGCGCAATAAAAGATAGATGGTAATGATTCCTGTCACATACGATAATAGCAACATTTGAGCAGTTCTTTTTGACCGCCAGTGTATATCCTAGCCATGCATAACTTATTAACGAAATGACGTCTATTAAAGTTTCCAAAGAAATTGAAATGTTAGGGTGAACAAAAGCCTTTCTTCCCGAAGTAACATGAAGACTGTCTATACAGCGCACTTGTCTACATAGACAACTGTAGTTAATATTTTTTAAACTACAATATAGGGCAGGCCAGTGTTATAACTGAAAAATCTTATGAAATTCTCTCATGTGAAATCTTAAAAAATCCAGGATGCCGGCAACCGCGCTATAAGAGATCCAGAGGCCTGGATCATACCTACAAGAAAGGCTTCATGCAATCTCGTTCCCCGAGCCAGAGATTCCTCTGGTGAGAAAACAAAGGCTCTGGGATAATCCAAACCGGAAGCCAGAAATCCTGGCTTCCAGAAGTTTATAACGGTTTTTTGTATTTCAAAATTGAAACGGTGTGAACGACCAATTAGAAACATTTCTGATTTCGATTATCCCAGAGCCTTTGTTTTCTCGCCAGAGGAATCGCGGGCTCGGGGAACGAGATTGGACTTTACTTCATGTTCCGCCATCTTGGCTTCACTCATTAATGAGGGAAAGTCAGAGGGTAGCGTTCCAGTCCAGTCTTATTTGAGTTCACTGACCTCGACACTAACAAACTCATAGCGTCAATCCCGACTTTGACGCGGTCTAATGCGTGATTTCACTTCAATCTTAAAGATCAAATGTGATGATCTGATCGCCTGATGTATATTGTAAGCACTTAATATACTTAAAGAACCTTACGGGTGCGAATTATTAATTAATATGAGGAGTAATAGTAACCTTCGATCGAGATTTCATTTGTTGATCGGCATAGTAGGCACGATAGTGTTTTGTTCGGGAATTTTTATATTAGCATCTGGTATTGTCGTAAGAGATCTTCTGTGGAATAAACTAACGCATGTATACGATGTCGGTCATATCACCTGCCAATACTGGGCTGGAATACCGGTAAGTCATTTTTAGCATGCAAGAGCTAAAACTGGTTTTTATGCTAGAAATCGCAGCTGTATTTTGTCGTAACTCGTTGTAACTCGGTCAGATCATTAAACAAAGAAAACGCAATATGATATATGTATACACAAACGTTTTATACTGAATGTCCGGATTTTCTTTTGCGAATCTTCTTTCTTCAGTCCTAATAAACACGTACAATCGTACAAGCAATTTGTAAATTGTAAATTAGGAGAGAAACGACACTTCGACAAGGCTCATGCACGCATCTGAAACATTTCTCGGGTAGATTGTATTTCAAAAATTATGATTGCAGGCAAATGTAAACGACGTTTGGAAGCAGTGACGAACAGCCTTGCCGAGGGTTAATGAATGAGTTGATTTGTATCACTATAGCATAGATTTTATTAGTCAAAATGCGTGATATTTCGGTCAATAAACATTGACGGCGGAAGATCGTCGAGGGGGTGTATTCATGTATTCAAGTTCAGCAATATTAGTTCCTTTTGAATTTGATTGCTTTTACCGGCTGCTAACAAAAATATATACAATATGATACCCCTCCGTCTAACGATCTTCCGCTGTCTATGAATTTTATTTGCCTTAATATACATGATCTATTTTCATTTTAACCCTATTTTATTGCCTTTTTTAATTTTATTGTAAAGTTTATTCTGCGCATATTTTTGGCACAATTAAGCAACATTTCAAAATACGAAACAAACACGGAAATTTGGAATTTTACGCTTCCAATTAGTTTAGCTTTTTACGGTAATCTGGCAGCGAGTAAAACAGTGTAGCCAGGCTAGCCAGCATCACTACATCATCACTACATCGTCGGCCTCCACCTGCACGCATGTACACGCCGAAATCGCACGCACGGCTTGCGCGTTGACGACCGCCTTGTAAGTAGACTACAGTTCTACTGTCAAACGTACAAAAAATTAGCCGCAACGGCCGGCATTAGTGACCAGTTTCGAATCATCGAGCATGCGCTAAATCGGCCGCAATGACTGTATGTGCCAGTGAACTCAAATAAGACTGGAACGCTCACTCTCTCGGAAGTTTGAAGCCAAGATGGCGGTCATGAAGCCTTTCTTGTAGGTGTGATCCAGGCCTCCACGCGGATATTTCGTAGGTAAAATGGCGGCAACTCTTATTTTTCCTTGAAATTTTCGCGCCGGGGCCTGGATCATACCTACAAAAAAGGCTTCATGATTCGCCATCTTGGGAAAGTCAGAGAGTGAGCGTTCCAGTCTTATTTGAGTTCACCGGTTGGTGCAAGTGGGCCGATTCTCCATTGCGCGCCGGCGAAGCGCGCTTTGTGGTTCTTCAGGACCGTCACGGTCGCATGGGCAGATTTTTAAAAGCCGGTGAAGCGGACGGTAATGGAGAATAACCTTTAGTCCCACTATGCAAATTTCATTTTTCAAATCATAATTTAGAAATAGAGTGTTTCCAACTTTGGTTTTGGACTCAACAAAATAATCACAAGTACTACATAATTCATTAATACAAACCATATTCTTCGTGTTTAATATTTTTCATGTTTTCTTTCAGACCATCCTTACAGGGAGTATTTTAGTCCTCGCTGTTGTCTGTAGACACCAGGTCTTGGTAAGATGATTATTGTAACAAAAACAGTTGATGGCATGTATACAAATACATAATGTAGAGATAGATAACTGTCCCTCACAGTCATACCTATAGAGTTATATACTTAGGTCGAAACGTCGAGAGATGTGTTTTAGTTCTATTTTCAGTAAAGTGGGTGGGTGGGTGGGGGGAAGTATTCATATATTCGTCTTATTCGACTGATTTCTTTTGATAAAGATTTGTTTTTGCGCTTATTTTAACATGAATATGGTATAGCTGATATATCGATTAGTATAGCTTCGTGTAATATTCACGGAAAGAAATGGCATTATTTAACAACTATTGGATGAGATTGAGTGTGTTATTCAGTGTGTTACTCAGCTTCGCTTCGGCGAATAACGCAAACCTCTGCTTGATAATTCTCGATATTATGCGAAAACCGAATTCAATTAGACTGATGCGACTCGTGTTATTGCATTAGACAAAATTTCACAAACACAAAAATTTGAATACAAAATTGGCGTATACCATCTTCGGGTATATTCTGCTATGGTCGAGTATAGCATATTTCGTGCATTGGCCTAAATCTACTCACGCGATTGGTCAAAATCAATCACGTGGTTTGCCTTGACGACAGATCATGGCAACCCATGAAAATCATGGTTTATTAAAAAATGACAGCCTGCAGCGAAGCTAGGATTTTCAATGCAGCAATCAATGAACTCAGATTGTATATTAAAAGTGTTAGAGATTTTATGTTCGTGTTTTGTTTACAAATAAACGCACTTGCTGACCATACAATGAACTTAAAATGTCAATATTGCACTCGGCGTCGTGCAATATTGAAATTCCTCGTTCATTGTATGGTCAACGCGTGTGTTTATTTGTGAACAAAACACTCACAACAGTCTCTAACCTTAAAAATTTGATAATGGTCGAGTATACCATATTCCAGTATATTCGACCATGGTCGAGTATACCCTATTTCTGTACCTACTTCGGTCATACCATTCGACCATGGTCGAGTATACCATATTCCGCTATATTCGACCATATTCCGCTATATTGGACCATATTCCGCTATATTCGACCATATTCCGCTATATTCGACCATATTCCGCTATATTCGACCATATTCCGCTATATTCGACCATATTCCGCTATATTCGACCATATTCCGCTATATTCGACCATATGCATGGTCAAGTATACAGTTGAGTATACTCCTCGACCATGGTTGAATATACCGGAATATGGTATACTCGAATATCAAAGGTATATTCAACCTTGATGAGACATCAATAAACTTCCATCAATTTTAAATACTTTCCTAGAAATACGTCAGTGTATGTGCTGTTCTCATTACGATGGTATTAACACTGGGTGTCATTATGGAGGAATCGGCAAAAGCGTCAGCCGTACATTACCATAGCCGTGACGGTTTTTTGTGCAAGGAATGGTTGGAAAGACAATATAACGAAAAAAGGCTACACGAATTGAAGGCAGATTGTTTAAAATTTAAGGAGGCAGCTCCCTGGTATTACATCATGGTATTTGCGGCAGATATTGTTTTTGTATTGTGTTCATTTGTGGCGCTGATATTGTTTAGTGACTGGTTCTTATTTGTCGCTCCGGTAAGAATTATATTGTTTAGATGATCCTATATATCATGTCAGTGACCTTTATATCATCGTCATTTTGACTTGTGAAACTGGTCATCGTTTATAAACCTGTGGTTAAACACTCTCCTGGAGGCAAATGCTTATAGCGCGCAGGGGCCTGTCTTCCGTATTAACTTCTACTATGACGTTAGATTTCATAGAAGACGCGATAAAGTACAATGATTAATATATGAATACGAATGGAGGAAATAGGGAGTTGTTTTGAAATGTTTAACAGCTGTATATCAACATATCCTTCAATTTGCTGTTTGGAAGTGTACAGCTAAATCGATTAATGCATGGTTATAATTCAGCTGATTCAATTTACGTTATATCTTTCTAAAACATCAAACACTGAACTGTGCATGTGCACGTAATATATAATATTGTTTTCATATAGCATATATTCATAATATGGTATCATTCACGTTTAGATCACAATATATTTTTAAAACATTTCTAGAGATCATCATATTATAGTTCTGAGTTGGCGCACAACCTTCCTCCAGCATATCAAACAGGATGTTATAATATGCAACATTTGTCTAATACTCAACAAGATCCGAATCCAATATAGATGTTTAACGACGGATACCACCAATAAATACACAGGGAGTGCACCAGCTTAAAAATAATATATCAGTGACCAGAAAGATCTTGAGCAACATGGGGCAAGCTCGAGTTATGTTTGAAGCTGTTGTAGGAAAGACGTCCTTCCCTAAGATGTAGTTCCAACTTCAGCGATAGTCGATTAGTCAGTTTAATTAGTTTATAAAAACGATAGCCTAAAAGGGATAGTCAATAGTCATTTTATAAAAAGTAATAGGTTAAACGTGCTAAAGGTTAAACGTGTTTGTAACATAATGTTTCAAACAAAAAGAGATGATATTTTATAATTCGTAGCTATTACTGTTAGATGAACTGAACTGAACTTTATTTATCCACGGTGGATTCATCAGGGTTACAAATTGTAGCTACATGCATTAAACTATAAATATATATATACACACTAAAATATATAATACACAAATACAAATGAACCTGTTTTCCATGAATGCCGTGTTTACCGAATATAACATTTCAACAATCTTTGAAATTCATTTAGGGATTCTGCCTGCATGTCTGATATTAGAGAGCTTTAGATTTGACTACGGCTCCCGCTACCGCTACGAGATTATGCTCCCGCTACCGCTACGAGATTATGCTCCCGCTACCGCTACGAGATTATAACTAGGTAGGCTGTTCCACAAGACCGCAATACTATAACTAAAGCTGTTTTTAGATAATTGGAGCGGGGTAATGGAACAGCAAGCTTGTTCACAGAGTCTCTGAGTGAATAGTTAGTTACATCGTTACGATTTATAAATTTGGAATGTAGATATTCAGGAGTGAGACCGTGTGTAGACTTTTAAACCATCAACGCTTTCTGAATTTGGCGTTGCGTATTTAGATTGTCCCACCCTAAAATTTCCATTATATGTCCTGCATCGGTGTCAATTCGTGATCCTGTATACTGGACAATACTGGATTAATACTTAACTTATCAACTTTCGTTATGATGACGTCAAGTGTGGGGTTTGCTTTATATAAAATTGCTTTAATTTGCCAAGTAAGAATCATAAGTTGTTCACTTAAATGTTTCTAGAAAGGTAAAACTACAACCAAAAACGAGTTCAAGGTCCATATTGACACATTTTCACTGAAATCTCACAGTATATATCTATATATATAGTTTCCGTAGATTATATCCTTAGTAATGTATTGATGTAAATTAGGTTTTTCCCTTAGTCTGCATGCTTTTAAAGATACCGTTGTTTTATAATGAAAGAAGACACACGTTGATAGCAGTAATTTATTACTGAAGTGTTTTTATCCTGTGTTTTTATCCTAAATATTATTTATTATTTAGGATAAAAATAATAATAATTATAATTATAATAGTATATAATAATGATAATAATGACTTCGCCGAATCAAAACCTTTCGTTTCTTTTATTTACTCTGTAACTATGTATGTTATTATGTAACTTGCATCACAGGTAGCCCGCTATTGGATTTCATTTTAGTTTTAAAATATTAAATAAATTCTATGCAAAACGACATGAAGTGTCACCTTCCTTCATTCACTACTGACATATTATCGCAGGCGCCAATTCGTGCGGTGCAGTGTACCTTTATGTATATATTAATATAATAATATGGTATGTGCAAGTTACCATGCAAGTTACCACTATGGTATGACCATATTAATTATTATATGCAAAATGTTCTAAAAGAGTTTTAGACAGCCGGTACTTAATGCATAATTAATTTTAAAACGCGTCAACAAATAACTCGTAGTTGTTACACTATAGAATGTACGTAAATTAGCAGAACGATGGGAATAAGACCAACCGTTAGATATTCGACTCCCCCGTTGAGGAGAAAAACGATGAAATTGCATCTCCAGGTGCGTGTGTATGCAAGAAAACGTTTAAAATACCGGAGGATTTGTAGCTTTTGGTCGCTCTAACTAAACGTTGCATGATCAAGTTATGTGTTCCTTAAATGACGTCAAACGTCTCTCGCCCCAAGCTCCTTTATTGTCGAAGAAATTATTCGAAATTAAGCAACTCTATCTGCTAAAAACTATACCGTTTATCTTAATTTTTTCGAAAAAAATATCGACACTATTATATTTCTCCGGTCTGAACTTAAGCTTGACGGGAAACGTCTGACGTCAAACTGCAGTTTGAGGTTTGCGGTACCCTGAAAGAACGCAATGTTGAAGGTCTCTATTAATATAAACGAAGTAAAAATGGCTGAATATGCAATGTACTAATCCTACAACTTGATATTTTAGCATTGGACGTTTATTAGCTATATATGTAATCCCATTTTACGCTGTCTTTTCTATACCAGGGTTGCCAGATTTGTGGATTTTGGAGTCCAAACTCTGTCACAATGGCCCTTTGTTTTCTTTGCCTTTTCTTGAGGGTACTAATGAAAATTTGGCCTCAAATATTAACAAATCTGGCAACCCTGTCCGACATCAAACAAGGAACTATGAGCACGCAATGAGGGGGAATTTCGTTTAAGACCAATCAGCAAGTTTGTTTACATTTTCAGTAAGCGAATCAAAATGCATAAATTTTGATAAAAAGTACAATATATACCATTATACATGAAGTATTAAAAATTTAGGCATTCTGATTGGCTTTGCCTAAAAACTGTAAACAAATATGGCGATTAGTTTAAAACGAAATTCCTCCTTGTTTGAGCAGTGAGCACGCCCTGATGCATGCAAGAATTTTATTGTATATTTAGACTTAATATAGTATAATCCCTAATATACAATCTTCTAATAATTTCGAAATGGTGTATCAACTCCCTCTAGGAAGTCAAAGAGGATATTCTGATTTGCAGAGTCAAACATTGTCCAATCCTTAAGAAAATCCAATCCAGTATTATCTTTACAACCATCCTCGATGGTGACACAACCAGTGCACTCGTATTAGACTTCACCGATTCTTTTTTACCCAATAGCTTCGTTTCCACGTTTAGTGGCGGAATTATTCATTAGGTATTTCTAAACTGTTTTGACTCTTCAAACAATTAAAATGGCTCCGAAATATATATGCAAATTTCACAGGACAAAATTAGGATGCCGTGTCAAATTTCCAGGGGCCAGTTGTTCGAAAGGCGTTTAAAGGGTCGATAAGTTTAAAATGGAAACAAAATTATCTATTTATTGAATAATTGAGCTGAAATATTTCGATGTAAATACTGAGTTCAATTTTCAACGGAAAACATATTTAATGCATAAGATGTAGGTACAGTAGGGGGCAAAAGTTTGAGTCCAGTCGTTGTAGAATACCAGTATTAAATCCTGGCAGTGTATTCGAGTTAAGACCTGCGTGCTAGTGTTTCAGAACAGTAAACCATATTAATTGCACACTGTTTCGGCCCTAATGATCTAAATTATAACAAAATAAAGTTCTTATTCCTTAACATTGCCCAAGATGAGTGGAAAAAGGGCGAAGTGGTGGTGCACAAGGACAAATAGTTGCATTAAGTATTGAAGGATTCTTTCGTTGTAAGATCGCAGAAAAAGCGAGAATTTCAAAAGGTGGTATGCAACTAACCTTGGAGAGGTTTGAGGAAACTAAATCCTACTCAAGCAAACTTTTAGCTGCTTCGGTCATGCTGGGTTTGGCAATATTGAAAGATATAATAGGATCCTAATTAGAGAAAAGTATCATCCAAATCTTCAAGGACACGGAATTTCATCTGCTACAAAGATGATCGCGCGTCTAACTACATGATAATCACCCTAAGCAGATGCACATCTTCTATGTGCCAGAAATCTTTTAGAAACAAACTTGCTTTGGTGATCTCGTTCTCATGGCTTTCCACCTGAAATTCCAGATCTAAAACCTATATGGAGCACTTGTAGGACCATTTTAAGCGGAAAAGGGCGAGGCACAGACCCACCAGCCAGGATGACTTGAGGCAAGCGGTCAACGAATGCTGGCAAGGTATTGAACGTGCGACATTAAAAAACCTATGGAATCTATGCCAGAAAGAATAAGGGCCGGTTTAAGAGCAAAAAAGAGGGATACTAAGCATTGACATGTAATGCATCTTATAGTTGTTGTACAGCATGTATTTTTCTGTTTACTTATTTACTTTTTCCTAGTTCACTTATCGGTAAGGTTTTCTGTAGAATATTAATATATGCTGCTAAAACAATTAGATACAGTAACTGGACTCAAACTTTTGCCTCCTACTGTAGTTTCAGTCACTCACAAGATGTATGAGAATATGTTTAATTAAACTTTGGCTTATCCCAATAGGGAGTACTGTGCTAAACATTCTTGTCGTCATGTCGTGTAAACAGTAAACCGGGGGTATAAACACAGCTGCTTCCACGATTGTTTTTAATCACGCAAGTACAAACACGTAAAATTCTAAATTCTTATCAAATTTGAAAAAGCCATGCGAATAGATCGAAAGAACTTCGTTTAAAAAACGCGCACTCATAATCCTCTTATTTCACTTTATCCTTTGGCTTCGTATAGTTTCCGTTTCCGCCATTCAGTGTCAAGTATTTTATTTCAACCCTGTCGTGGTCTACTGATTTATTCAATTTTTATTCATGAATCGGTGATTCAGTGATTTTGCTCTGACCACGCCATCACGGGATGTTTCATTAAATACACTTGCAGGAATACATTAATAAATATGACGAGTGACCTTCGCTCAAAATTTCATTTGGTGATCGGCCTAACGGGCACGTTAGTCTTTTGTTCGGGAATTTTTATATTAGCGTCAGGAATCGTGGTAAGAAATCTTCTGGGTTATGAAATGGAGACATTTTATGGTTATGGGGGTAACACTTGCCAATATTGGGCTGGAATACCGGTAAGTCGTGTTTGCCATGCAAGTGTTAAGGCTGCTCTTGAAAGTGCAATGATTCGATATATTTTGTTGTAATTCACGAGTCATAATTCGTTGGTCTGCCACGAAATATGTAATACAATATGTATTGAAGATACGAATGTTTGTTGTTGTCTGCAGATTCACTTGGATGAATCTTCAGTCAAATTTGTACACCTACAAACTCCTAAGCGAGATCTCGAGCGGGATCTCTCCAGCTCGCCGTTTCATATAAGCGCACAGAAGTTTTTATTAGGAAATGTATTCGTCGCGAGATCTCGCTAGCCGGGCGGACGGCTTTCATATAAATTAATAAACAGCCGCTAAACGTTGTAGTCTAAATCTGCTCCCACCATGCTGTGCGGGAAGACAGCGCAACAGGAATTCGGAATAATGATAAATGTAATGATCAAGCAACGATTTGCTTTTACGCGTTCCTTGCGTTTATTGCTGTGTAAAAGGAACATTTTCATGTTAACTTTGCTTGACAGCCCCATGCACTGTCTGTAGTCAAAACTCTTTTCAGATACCCAGTATTTGGACGTCAAAGGTTAATGTCAACCTTTCTAAGATTATATATGTTAATTAACATATTATATATGTTCTTTTTAAATTAGGGACCGGGTCGTTGTTTAGTATTTTAAACATCAATACACATTTATTCATTTTATTTCTGTCATTCAGATTCATCCACGACATAGCGTGAAGAAAATCTGACGACTTGACATCGTAATTTTCCGCTGTCATATTTGTAATTTTGCATACTTCTATGCACAATTCTCCCATAAAGGAGAGCAATAATCGTAATATGAGAAAACAAGAGCCAATTATGACTACATATGGAGTCTATATATAGTTTCTCCCAGCTCTTTCATTTAATTCTACTCCCAAAGAACGGAGATTAAGTTTTGTTCTTAGTTCTGGGAGACTTGAGGAAGAAGAGTATATCTGAGTGTCATCAGCATACATACCAGAAGTTGTACTTTTTAGACACTCTGTATGGCAGGTCAAGAACAAAATCACTACCATTAAATCGTTTAAAATTTCGAACTTTCCAGGGAGGTTTGCTTATATTTTGGTATATTTTACCACATAAATTAAACTATGATCTGAGTTCTCAGGTCAATAACACCATGCACAATCAGAAATATTGTCAGGCTGATCATGCACCTATAGGCATACGCACCATAAGTATGATAATCTCCTGCTTGTCTTCTGAACTGCATTTACTAAGAAATATCTCAAAGAAATGAAATAATTTCATCATTCTCAGATTTGGGCAATCTATACGTACCATGCACTAATGTGAAATGGTCTACTTTGCATGTGGTTTGCAGATCTCGATTCTCGATACAAATTATTTTAAGATCTTCTTTAAAGATGGTTTAAATCCTTTCTTTCATAGAAGAAGTGTACTTATTACTCAGATGCAGACAACCACTCCACTGCCAAATCTATTGCGATCTCTACGAATCACATTAGCCAGCTTTTAGAATTACCAACAGCAGTCGTTCACTGATCAACATATTTTAGTAAACTATCACGTTTCAATCGACGTCTCCCCCATTTGTTTATATAATCATTTTTCTTTTCTTTTAGACTATCCTTACAGGGAGTATATTAGTCCTCGCTGTTGTCTTCAATAGTCGCCAGTTCTTGGTAAGACTCTGCATGGTTGCATTATATAATAATAATAATGTTAAATACGTCAGAAGACTTAGAAGAGAGAGTTTAAAGTAATGGGAAACTAGATTCTTTTAGATTCCGCTCAGTCACAAAGCAAACGCCCCCTCCAAACTTTTGGCCTGTACGCCTATGAATTTACGGCTATGTAGCTACAACACAGACCTAGGTTTTATGGGGTTAAATATAAACTTTCGTATATTTCAAACACTTTTCTAGAAATACATCAGTCTATGTGCTGTTCTAATTACGATGGTACTAACAATGGGAGTCATTATGGAGGAATCGGTACGTGCTTCCAACGTAAATTACCATAGCCGTAGAGACAGTTTCACCTGCGGAGATCTGGAGGATTCTAACTGGGAAAAAGACTGGCTCCACAAACGCAAAAAAGATTGTCTAAATTTAAAGCTGGCAGCTCCCTTGTATTACATCATGGTATTTGTAGCAGATATTGCTTTTGTATTGTGTTCACTTGTGGCGCTGATATTGTTTATTGACTGGATCTTATTTGTCGCTCCGGTAAGATGATGTTATATTTTTTAGATGATCCTTGACAGGTCAGTGATCATGACCTTTGTTTTTGAGATATATTTTGCAGAAACCTCTAATTCTTTTAACACTGTATCGACTTATCCTTTACCTTGCTATTTTAGTATAGTACGCTTATTATATAGCTACAGCTAATTCAATCTTACGATGTTTTTCCGAAACATCAAACAATGAACTATGAGCACGGTCTGATGCATGCAAGAATTACATTGCGTATTTAGACTCGTACAGCATATGTATACATGACATATACATGTACATATACAGTAGGAGGCAAAAGTTTGAGTCCAGTCGTTGTAGAATTCCAGTATTAAATCCTGGCAGCGTATTGGAGTTAAGACATGCGTGCTAGTGTTTCAGTACTGTAAACTATATTAATTGCACACTGTTTTGGTCCTAATGATCTAAATTATAACAAAATAAAGTTCTCATTCCTTTACACTGCCCAAGATGGGTAGGAAAAAGGGCAAAGTGATGGTGCACAAGGACAAATAGTTCCATTAAGTATTGAAGGATTCTTTCCTCGTAAGATCGCAGAAGAAGTGAGAATTTAAAAAGGTGGTATGCAACTAACCTTGGAGAGGTTCGAAGAAACTAAATCCTACTCAAGCAAACTTTTAGCTGCTTTGGTCATGCTCGGTTTGGCAATATTGAAAGATATAATAGGATCCTAATTAAAGAAAAGTATCATCCAATTCTTCAAGGACATGGAATTTCATCTGGTACAAAGATGATCGCACGTCTAACTACATGATAATCACCCTAAGCACATGCACATCTTCTATGTGCCAGAAATCGTTTAGAAGCAAACTCATTCTGGTGATCTCGTTGTCATGGCTTTCCACCTCATATTCCAGATCTAAAACCTATGGAGCACTTGTAGAACCGTTTTAACCGGAAGAGGGCGAGGCACAGACCCGCCAGCCAGGCTGACTTGAGGCAAGTGGTCAACGAATGCTGGCAAGGTATTGAACGTGTGACATTAAAAAACCTATGGAATCTATGCGAGCAAGAATAAAGGTCATTTCAAGAGCAAAAAAGAGGGAACTAAGCAATGACATGTAAATGCATGTTTGCACATTAAAATACGTAAAAATGAATATCATAACATCTCATAGTTGTTGTACAGCATGTATTTTTCTGTTTACTTGTTTACTTTTTTCTAGTTCACTTATCGGTAAGGTTTTCTGTAGAATATTAATATATGCTGCTGAAACAAAGAAATACAGTCACTGGACTCAAACTTTTGCCTCCTACTGTATGTCATTAGTTATTTACATATACATGTACATATATGTCATATACATGACATATGGTATTATCCCTTTTTAAATCACACTTTTTATTAAAATATTTGTAGAGAACACCGCATAATAATTTCGAAATGGCGCATCAACTCCCTCCAGAAAGTCAAAGAGGATATTCTGATTCGCAGAGACAAGCATGGTCCAATACCTAGGAAGATTCGAATCCAGTATTACCTCTACAACCTTTCCCGATGGTGACACAACCAGTGCACTCGTATTAAACTTCACCAATCCCTTTTTAACCAATGGCTTCGTTTCCATGTTTGTTAGTTTAGCACGTCGGATGCAGATAAGAAGTCGGTTGAAATAATTGAAAGGTTCTATAATCTATGAATATAATTTTAAAAATTTTCTATGTAACTATGTAACGAGATTACGTGAAGATTTATAATATATATATATATATATATATATATATATATATATATATATATTAATATATATATATATATATATAGCCATGCATAACTTATTAACGAAATGACGTCTATTAAAGTTTCCAAAGAAATTGAAATGTTAAGGTGGACGAAAGCCTTTCTTCCCGAAGAAACATGAAGACTGCATGTCTATACAGCGCACTTGTCTATACATAGACAACTGTAGTTAATATTTTTTAAACTACAATATAGGGCAGGCCAGTGTCATAACTGAAAAATATTATGAAATTCTCTCATGTGAAATCTTAAATTATGAAATCTCATGTGAAATCTTAAAAAATCTAGGATGCCAACCGCGCTATTAGACCGAAGAAAAGTAAAATATATTATTTATGTACAGGATAGGAAATAATGATTTCTTGGATTCGTTGATGGTAGTTTAAACATTGCCAACAATAAAAACTACAGTCTTCACAGTAACGTATTAGATCTTGTAGTTCCAAGACCTTATGCTAATCATCTGAAAAAGTTTCAGCTATTCAAGTGCAGTGGAAATGACTTCTGAAGTGCACAAAAGACATAGAGAATAATAACACATGGCTAGATTTTCTCCGTGTATATATGTCTGGTATAATATCATGTTATTTGCAGCCGATATTGCTTTTGCATTGTATTTATTTGTAAGAAGTAGCAATATATATAAATATATATAGGTAAGAAAGTTGTTCAGATGTTTCTATACAGGTTAGTGAGTTCAATCACTTTTATATGATACATGAACACTCATTGTTAAATAGACCTCAACAGATAAGTCACGATCTTTCAAGCCAATTTAAAGCCGAATTGGGCAATTCGGCTTCATATTTGCTTCAAAGATGGCTACAGTTATCGTTCCAGTCTTTAATGTAGACTTAGAGTTCAATGGGACTAGCTATGTACCAATCTCGTTCCCCGAGCCCGCGATTCCTCTGGCGAGAAAACAAAGGCTCTGGGATAATCCAAAACCAGAAATGATTCTGATTAGTTGTTCACGCCGTTTTAATTTTGAAATACAAAAAACCGTTACAAATCGGAAGCCAGGATTTCTGGCTCCGTCATTTTTGATTTCGATTATCCCAGAGCCTTTGTTTTCTCGCCAGAGGAATCGCGGGCTCGGGGAACGAGAGATTAGGTTTCATTTTCCGCCATCTTGAGTTCACTGACCTCGACCCTCGACACCAACAACCTCATAGCGTCAGTCCCGACTCTGTCGCGGTCTAATGCGTGATTTCACTTCAATTTTAAAGATCAAATGTGATGATCTGATCGCCTGATGTATATTGTTAGCACTTGTTTATATACTTAACGAACCTTACGGGTGCGAATTATTAATATGAGGAGTAATAGTAACCTTCGATCGAGATTTCATGTGCTGATTGGCATAACAGGCACGATAGTGTTTTGTTCGGGAATTTTTATATTAGCATCTGGCATTGTCGTAAGAGATCTTCTGTGGAATGAACTAACGAATTTATACGATCTCGGTCATATCACCTGTCAATACTGGGCTGGAATACCGGTAAGTCATTTTTACGATGCAAGAGCTAAGACGATTTTTTATGCTAGAAATCGCTGTATTTTGTCGTAATTCGTTGTAACTCGGTCTGATCAAACCAAATGTGATATATTTATACACAAACGTTTTATACCGAATGTCCGGATTTCCTTCAACGAATCTTCTTTCTTCAGTCCTAATAAACGCGTACAATCTTACAAGCAATTTGTAAATTGTAAATTAGGAGAGAAACGACCCTTCGACATTTAATCGACAAGGCTCGCGCATCTGGAACATTTCTCGGGTAGATTGTAAACGACGTTTGGAAGCAGTGACGGTGGTTACCGAAGGTTGATGAATAAGTTGATTTGTATCACTATAGTATAGATTTTATTAGTCAAAATGTGTGATATTTCGGTCAATGAACATTGACGGCGGAAGATCGTCGAGGAGGGAGGGGGGTATTCATCTATTCAAGTTCAGCATTATTAGTTCCTTTTGAATTTGATTGCTTTTACGGTTTGCTAACAAAAATATATACAATATGATACCCCTCCGTCTAACGATCTTCCGCTGTCTATGAATTTTATTTGCCTAGCTTTATTTGAGAGCTCGAGACCAAGTGACCGAGGCGGACGTGTATTTTGGAGCTCTGTTGTTTCTCAAGTTCTGTTGAGTTAAAATGAATTCCTCAACTGTTTTAAATGTGTTATACAGTTATTTCAACATTAAGAAAAGTAAACTTATTTGGACGGGATCTCTTGAAACCCTGAAAGCGCTTGTACTAACCGAAATTGACGAGGAGACTGCCGAAGCAACAACATGGCGTTCCCCCAGTGGCGGTAAATGGTTATTTGAAAGTAAGCTGTTATCAGTTACTTGGCTAACAAAAAGCCAAAATATAAACTTTGGTGGTGAGAAAGGTAGTGACATAACGGCAAGAATACATTCGCTTTTAAATCAAGATCTGGACAGTGCTTCTGAAATCGATAGCCATGCCGAACTACATCTAAATCAATCAATTGAAAATTTGCTAGCTGTCGAACCTGACGATGTCAATGATGATGCACTTGAACATTCGTTTAGTTATCAACCTGATGTTGAAAAGAAATTGGAATACCAAGACGAAAATCAAGCGAAAATAGATTCTGAAATCGGTGTAAAGTATGATGAGTTGAATGCGAAGTCAAAAAATTTGCATGAAGGCCCAATCGGTATGCACGCAAACTTAACAAATTGGCATAATCCCTTGGGAAGCAACTCCAGCTATAACTGCGACTCCGAGTCAATAGCAAGATTGAATTCGAAACTTGAGAGATTTTCCGAAAATGTGGCAAACAAACTACAGGATATTACAGTTGAGATAAACAATATTAAAGAAAGTAAACCCTACTCGATTCTGGTTTTGGAAAACGTAGTTAATGACCTAAAGAAAGACAAGCTTGAGCTAATCAGAATGAATGATGATCTTAGGGCACAAAATATGAACATGTCCTGTTCTATATCTGATTTGAAAATGGCAAATAAAAATTTGGAAAACGAAAAGAGCAGCCTTTTGACTGCTCTTAAGTTATTTCAAAATGACTCTCAACATACGTCCATGACTAACACTGTGATTTCAAAAGACGGAGAAATTAACATTGAACCGGCCTGTGAAATCATACATAATAATGAAGTCACTCAACTGAATCATGAATCTGATCAGCCTGTAATCTATAGTCAGCCCAACGCCAAAGAAAGTCTTACAAAAAAGAGTAAAAAGAAGAGTAAGAAAACCAAGTCTAAACCATCAGCTCATAATACCAGTCAACTAAATGCTCCGGATGCAAATACCTCTGGCTCTGGCGGGATTTCAAATACCTCCAACATTGAAACAACGAGACAGGGCCAGAACTCGCAGAAGCAATCAGTTGTTATTGCAGGAGACTCAATTGTTAAAAATATTATCGGTCCGAAGATGAATGCTGAAGATCCTAATCATTATTTTATTGTAAAGCCGTTCCCTGGAGCAACAGTCACAGACATGGAGGACTTTGTCAAGCCACTTACAAGAAGAACACCGGACAAGATGATTTTACATGTTGGAACAAACGACCTGAGAAGTCATTGCACGCCAAAAGTAATAGCTGACTCTATCGTCAACATTGTAACGCAAGTAAAAGAAGATTCACCAGGTACAGATGTTGGAATATCAGCCATTCTGGTAAGGTCTGATAATCATGACTTAACTGTTAAAGCTACTCAGGTTAATAACATTCTTAAAGGCTATTGTATTCGCAATAAAATTCCCTTCTTAAGTAATTCAAATATGAATGAAAGCCACCTAAACACGAAGGGCCTTCATTTAAATAGACAAGGTAGCTTAGCTTTACAACAAAACTTTTTAGATTTTGCTAAATCTATCTCAGATTGACAATTTCCCAAATCCGTTATTCCTACCTCACGCGGGTTTAAGTTAGCAGCCCTTAATGTGAGAAGCATAGTAAATCACATTGATGAGCTGCGAGTTTTGCTTGCTACTAGCCCAATCGATGTTCTAGCAATTAACGAGACATGGCTTAATTCTACAATAAGCGATAACGATGTTTACATACCTGGATATGAAATTATACGTCGGGACAGAGCATGTAGTAGTGCTGGAAAAACGTATGGAGGTGTTTGCTTTTATGTGCGCTCCTGCGTAAATTTTATACTTCGCAAGGACCTGTTTATCGATGACTTGGAAAATTTATGTATTCAAATTCAAAAACCAAATTCTAAGCCCTTTCTCGTTACAACATGGTATAGACCACCTAATTCGAATACTGATAAATTTAATCATTTCGAAACGTTTATTGATATGCTTGACGCAGAAAATGTCGAGTATTACCTATTGGGCGACCTAAATTGTGACCTTGGATCGCCTACTTTAGATTGCAATTCGAGATCTTTAATTGGCATCACTGAACTCTATGGTTTACATCAATTAATAAATGAACCAACTCGAATTACCGAAACTTCATCAACTATGATCGATCATATTTTTACCAATACACCAGATAATATTGTTTCCTCTGGTGTTTCTCATGTCGGTATCAGTGATCATAGCTTAATTTACGCATTCCGTAAGCTTTCTATCAGTCCACGCAACAAAGGCCATTCTACAATAAGTTATAGAAAACTTAAAAATTTCAACTCTGAATATTTTCGACGAGATATTTCTTTACAGAATTGGGACGTGATAAGGATTTATAATAATCCGAATGATATGTGGCGTATATGGAAAACGACCTTTAACAACGTAGTGGAAAAGCATGCCCCTTTACGAACTAGGCGAGTAAGATCTTCTAAGGCGCCGTGGATCACGCCTGAATTAAAAAGGCAAATGCATGAAAGAGATGTTTTGAAAATAAAAGCTATTCGATCCAAAGATATTTGTGATTGGACTGTTTTTAAGAAAGCTCGAAATTCTGTAAACAATGAAATT